TTGCTGGTGAGAGAAATGAAACCCCCCTGAATATTGAGACCAAATGATGGTTGTGAAGCTGTATAAGGGATAGGGGAAGTTGTGTGCTCAGAAACGGAAGCTGTAAAGACTTACAAAAAGAACTGGTATGAGCCTGCAGCTTCTGAAAAGAAGACAATAAGATGGCATGATACTATTCTGTATACACACTCATCAAAGGGAAGGGAAGGGAAGCAGGACAAGTGGTACTGCTCTCCACTGTTTAACAGTCTGGCAAGGATTAGGAACCTGCGGTTCTCCTGATATTGTTGGACTCCAGTACTCATCATCCCTGACCATTGGCTGTGCTGTTTGGGGCTGGTGAGAATCCAAAAATATCTGGAGGGTCAACAGTTCCCATCCCTTTTGTTAAAAAAGGGCCAACCACTAGAGTGGAGAGGTGAAGGAAGACCAGATCGATCCTATGGGATTCACTGCCCCAGAAGGGGAGCAGACACCAAAAGGGATAGCAATATTCAAGAAGAAAATCATTACTGCCCATGAATTAGACTTTACATGCCGCCTTATGTAGGGAAAAGTAATGCTGTTCAGGACCATTGTTTGTGGGCAAACTATTCTTGCAAGTGCTTAATGTAAGATCTGACACTCCTGCTGCAGCACCAGCTGCTGTCCCTGTAGAATGGAAACAGTGAATGCAGCCAGTTACTTTTAGACCCAGGACTTAATGGTCTTATGCGGACCCCCTTTAGATGGCCATGCATATTCCCTAAATAGTGAAGCACACAACTAATGTTTCTCTTTCTCTTTCTCTACCTCACTATGCCAAAACAGTGACCAGCATCAGTCTATGAGACCTGGCATCCCCAGACTGGCCCAGGTGCTAGTGCCAGGCCTGTTTGCCAGTGTTCACAACATCTGCTTCTCTCTAGGTTGTCATCTTGGAGATCCCTAGAGCTGTGGGTTTTGACACTAGCTCTGGTGTTGTGAACCTTTGACCTCCCAGATGTTACTGAACTACAACTCTCATCGTTCCTGGCCACTGATGAGGCTTGTTGGGACTGATGGGAGTTGTGGTTCAGCAACATCTGGAGGGCCAAAGGTTTCCCACACCTGCGCTAGCTGCACCACCAGAGAGAAAGCCAGGATGCATGGCCAACAGCACAGAGCAAAATTGGCCACTGCCATATTTCTGCAAAGACCGTCATCCTCGGAGGCTCATCGTTTCCTGTGGGTGATGTGTGTTTCAAAAAAGGGGATAGGCGGTGGAGGTTTGTTTTTAGGCTTTTGTGAAAGAAGCCCAGGAGCCCCAGAGTTAAACAGTAATACCAAATAGGCAACTAGCCAGTAGATGACAGATGAATTGCTCTTAGATGGGAAAAACCAGGGCCCTCACTTACATTGCTGACTGGGACCCGAGCAAGCTAGTAGTTGTAAGGAAGTTGCATTTCAGGATATAGTGGGGGCGGGTGGGTGGGAAAGAGTCATCCTTCAGCTGGTGCTGTGCACACAGAGACAGACAGAATGTGTGGGATGTTATGTGGAGGGCTTGTTCTCATTACCTCGACTGCCTTAAATATGTCAGCATCCCATTGCCTCTGAGGAAGGATCAGGAGCAATACTGTGCTAATGGGGACTGAGGCCTTTCAGAAACTTTTAAATCCTATTGTAATTTTTGCTTATTTTCTGATGTTTCAGAGTATGTATGATCTTGGTGAAGAAAAGGGTGAGCAGAGGGGGATATAGTGATAAAAGGCCACTTTGGGGGGATGCTGAAGGTAGGCAATTGTTCCGGAATCAAATATTGTGGATTCCACAAACTTTCCCCCCAGCAAAAACATGAAACCATCTATCACAGATAATAGTAAAGACAGAGTTATGTCAATAATGCATTTTCCTCACCCTGGTTGTTGGTAGGAACACAGGGCAGGGTAGGGATGAGGGTGAGGGAGAGAGTAGAACACTGTGAAGAAGATTACTGGATTTTAAAGGTAGTGGGTGTTGTTTCAGGTCTGGCTGACCATCCAAGGAAGCCCCCAATAGGATTTTTTTAAACATCTGTCTATCTAGTTTGAAATCTTCTCTAGTTCCCACTTGATCACTTCAGAAGAAATAAAATGTTTCACTTTTATAATTTTGTCAGTGTCCAGTTCCATACATACGTCCCCAAAAAGCCACTACGTAATACTCACATTTATTTCAAAACATAGCATGTACATGCATTCATGCTGTACTACACATGCATAAACCCTAACACAAAAAACCAGATAAACGGTCTCCAATATGTAATACGTTTCTTCTTCCTTACCACCCAAGTTCTTCTGTAAAATTTACATTCCCAAATATTCATCAAAGGAGCAATCTATTGTTTCCTAATATGGGAACAGCAGTGATTGTGCCTCCATCAAAGGAGGATGGAGAAGTGCAATTAAACGCTACTGGCTTTGGTATTGGTTCTCCATATTAATGCACACTCCCATTTACTTTGCATCCAGTACACTCCTGCCACTGGTTTTGGAAATTGTGTATACATACGTTTTGATGCATTTTCCTCCAAACCAGCTTCAATCAAAATTGAGACTTGCTCATTGGGTAAGAAAAGTCCCACCCTGTCTCTGTCTACCAGTGGAGATATACAACGGGCGACTTAGATATGCATCAAACTATGTTCATGAGTACAACAATGTGCAAACATGGTGGGAAATGCAGTGAAATGCAATGACCTCACTGCATGTGTACATGTGTCATGTGTACAGGCCTTCACTTCAGCCCAGAGTGAGTCACATGATTACTCAGGCTGCCATCTCCGAGCCAGATTAGTCCCTCCCACATAGTGGGTCTGTTTTCTTCCAGTCCAAGTTCTGCAGCTAGAATCCAGGTTGTTCATTGGTTTTCTGTTAATTTTGCTGCTGCCTCCTTCTCTGGCAAAGGAAGGTATAATGGGCATCTTACAGGGCTGAGAGAAAACAGACCTAATGGGAGCTCATCACCTGCTAATTGAAACCTGTCACTTTTTTTCTGTGTCAGAGAAGAGTATTTCAAGGTTACTTTAGGAAAAAAATGTATGAGGTTCTGAGTATGATGTAGGGGGTGGTACAATCCTGCCCCTTTGTGGACCACCAGCCTGGTTGTAGTTTCTTAGTGGTGGAAAGTGAGGCACTGACTTTGCAGCTGGCTTTGTGTTTCCTGGCTTTCTTGTGGGTTTGGTCAAAGGAAAGTTTGTCAGTAAATTTCCAAAATGAAATTCTTGGGTTTCAGGCCTGCCTGGATGTCACACAGACGAGAAACCCATCCTTCCCTCAACCCCCCTCCCCGCTCCCAAAAAAACTGGATAAAGTTGTCACTGCTCCAAGGCGTATGAAGGCTAGTGATTATTACTCAATGATGAGTACTTTGCACATGTTCAGAGATTATTCCTCCCCCGTTTCCAAGACTGGCAGTGCAATTCTATATGACTTAAGTATATACTCCTAGATATGGGATTATATGATCCCTAAACCATTGAAAATAGGTTATAATTTGAAGGTCTGGAGGACCCTGGCTCATATTTTGGCCCATCCATATGGCCAAAATAATTAGTTATTCCATTTTTATGGAAATACAGTTTTGTTTCTGATGTTGACTATTATTATTATTATTATTATTATTATTATTATTATTATTTTGCCCCTTTAGGAACCCTGCATGCTTCTGAAGCAAGAGTTCCTTGGTTTGTGTTGTTTAAAGATTTGATAAATTTGTTTTCTTGGATTTGTATCTGTTCAAGATACAAATGTATTGAGTTCAAGAATCTATGCCATGTGATTTGGCTTAATTTCTAAGCGACAGGTGTTGAGGCTCTGTTTTGTTTGGAAGTTTCATACTCATGCCTGCTCACATGGAAGGCATTCCCTCTGTCCATGGGGTGTGCAGAATAATCAGGGTTTATCAGTGCAAGGGACGGGGACTACAGCACTCTGTACATGTTCAAAGGCCTTTTGCCCCTGTGTGCTTTACAAGTCCTGGTGAGGGAAACGTTGTGCGTACATGTGTGTGCGTGTTAGATCACACACACACACAGCTCAAAAAGTCATTACAAAGCCATCACAGGATAAGAAAAGTTGTGTTGTGTTGTGTCTCTCCCCCCCCCCCTTGATGAAGGTGATAGTGCCACTTTGGCTTCTCCCACTGTTTATACCTATTTCAGCTTTTTCAATAAATCAGTCCTCTCCACCTGCCTTTTAAAAAACCAAAACAGCAAACCCCAAAGTTTTTACCCTTTTCTCCCCAAAATCCTGGAGAGTCCACCCTGTGTGTCCCCCCCCCGCCGCCGCCCGCAAAGTTTGCAGCTGTCCCACTACATCGCTGCGTCCGCTTGCAATAATAAATAAAGGAGCTGGTTTGGATTTGGGAGGGGGGCAGCTGGGAGGGGGCAACGGGCAGCATTTGAAAATCTGTGGAGCAGAATTCCTGTGTTGAAGGCAAGTCTCTCCCTCCCTCTGCCCTCATTGATTTGAGGCGGGGAGGAGGGAGGCGGGGGAGGGCGCTGCCTGGGTGGTCTCTTCTCTCTCCACTTTGGTGAGCTGTTGCTTAGCAGCTAATAATAGGAGATGTTTGCGGAGTAATTTGCCTCTTCCTCGGCCAATGGGAACCGGGGCACTTTCCCATCAAACCAAACCTTCCTCCCCCCGCTCCTCTTTTCAGGATCTCGAAGGAGACTGTTTGTTCCAAATGTTGGTGGGACGCGATCCGAGGCGCACTGCACCGCCGGGCACCAGGGCGCCTCTCCTTTCGGGGGCTGTGTGAGCTTTCGATCGCCGTCTGCTGCCGCGCGTCGAAGGGGCCACGCTGGGAGGCGCCGAGGGCGCATGGGGCGCGCTTGGATGGCCCTGGATTCGCCCCCATAATGTCCACATGGGATCCCCGCAGCAGCCACTCCTCTGAAGCCTCCGACCCCGCGCTTCTCCCCTCTGGATTACCGCTCCCGGGAAGCCGCCTGCGCCCCTGCGCCTCCCGCCAGCACCGTCCTCGCTCGACCCTGGAGCATGGCTTCGGATCGGCCGGTCCCGGGGGCCGGGGGCTTCCGGGGAGAACTCCCGCCGTCTTACGCGGCGGCGGCCACGGCGGCGGCGGCAACTGCCAACTCGGATCTTCTCCGGAGACCCAGCTACTGCCACGCTGCCTTTGCCCTCAAACAGATCTCCAAGGTAAGGGAATGGGGCGAAGGCGCTTTCCCACGGGTGGGGGGGGGGACGAGAAGTAAAGTTGGGGCGACCCCGTCCACCCGGGAGAGAGGCGCGCAAGCAGCTGCAAGGAAGGGGACAAAAAGGCGAGGGATCGGCTCTTCTGGGCCCGGGGGGGCTGGGAAAGGGGGTCCTCTTCGAAGCTTTCGGCTTCTTTGGGGCCAGGGAATGAAGGAAGGGGGCAGGCTTTGGCCGGCGCGCTCCAGAGCGAGCCCGCGCCGTGGCCCCTGGAGTTTGTTTATGGAAAGGGGAGACGCCGGGGAGCCGTCCAGGAGGGACGCGAGGGAGAGGCCAGCCCCGGATCGGATCTGCGAGGGGAGACGGCGGCTCGGGGATGGGTCTGCGTGGAGCGTTTCGCTCAGGAGCGAGCAAGGGAGGCGGGTGGACTTGAGTCGCTGAATCGGTGGAAGGAGAGGAAGGGAGACAATGGGGGAGTCTCCCGCAAGGGAAAGCAAGGAAACTTGACAGGTCAGAAGGACGCACCTGAGGAAAGGGTGCAGCGGACATCTGCTCTCCCCAGAGCTGGAAACTAGACTGTGGTAGGACTCCTTAACATACCGGGTTGCCTTTTGCAGGGCTCCATTCTAACAGGGCACTTCAGCTGCTGGGTTGCTCTGAAGGTGAGGAGTGTATCTGGAACTGGGGAAGGGAAGCAGACCACCGCTGAGGAACAGAGGAGGGAGATTCCTGCTCAGCAACCTCACAGACATAACACATGGATGGTGGCAGGAGCTTCCCAGTGGCCTGTTTCTCCACCCTGAGTAGGGGACTCACCCACATCTACAGCTGTCACTCAGGAGTTCATCTTTCTGCAGACTGGGAGGATATGGGCACTGGCCTTCACAAGTTCCGAGCAGATGGAAGCGCTGCAGGGACAGGCAGGCGTGCACATATATGCCCCCACAAATAATCTGTGGCAAGGTTCTTGCTGAAATGCTTGCTCCCAAAGGCTTGAGGTCTGCTTTAACCCCAGTGCCAGCTACCCTGGGGCAGGATGTTGCTGTTCTCTGTAGCAACAGTGTCTTGGCTAACTCTCCATTTCTCTCCCCAGGGTAAGGCTGTGGGCCAGAAAGCCCCGCTGTGGCTGCGGGCCCAGTTCCAGGCCCTGCTGTTTACACTGGGCTGTTGGATCCATCGTCACTGTGGCAAAGTACTTTTTGTGGGGCTGCTGGTCTTTGGGACGCTGGCTGTAGGGCTGCGAGTAGCCTCCATAGAAACGGATATTGAGCAACTCTGGGTGGAAGGTAAGTTCCATTTTGTGAGTGTGTGTGAATACTGGGAGGGCTGCATAGCGCTTTAGGACATTGTTGGGTGATGGTGGAGCAGTTGTCAAACATAGTGGAAGCAAAAGGCCAAGAAGAGCCTTTTAAAGGGAGTTGTTAGCAAAGGGGCCCCTCTCTAAGCTCCACACATGTGTGTAAATCCAGATTTGCACACAGTTTCTTGGAATTGGCATCTTGGGGGAAGCTACCAAGTAACAGGGGGATAGAGAGCACTTTCTTGGATATAAAAATGTATTCCAGTTTGAGGAACTCTTAAAACCTCAAGTCTTGCAATAAAACCCTGTTTCCCCATTTTAACTTTTTCGATAATTGAAGAAGAGTTTGTAAGCCTTGAGAAAAGCTTGAATTATGTGACTTTTCAAACAGGCTAGAAAGCCTCCAAGACCAGCTGGCAAAGTGATGAAAACAAGAAGCTCTTTTATTTAAAAAGATAATTGCACAGGGAACAATCATGCTGGGAACTTCTTCTGTGCAAGCCCCATTGATATGAATAAGAGCTGGATGATAATGTGTGAGTGCCCTTGTGCAACTCCATTCAAGTTGAAGGGGCTTCCTCCAGAAATGTTTTCAGTGGGTTGTGCCAGTGGTTTTTAAGCCAGTTCTCTGATTTTTAGAGCCCAAATCAGAATTCTTTTGAATGTTGGTTAAATACTATTCTCCATGATGGTAATGAGCACTGTTTGTGAATACTGAATGATGGGACAGACACTTTCCATGCCCTAAATTTACATGTAGACTTGTGGGGTGACATGGTATAAAACTGGAGAATGTAGGGTTGCCTTAAGTGCTTTTGAATAATTGAAGATTGTGCCAACGATTGTGGTTTGGATTTATAGGCACCTGGCAGTTCTGTTCTTGGAGGTCTCAGTAATGGGATGTATCACATTTATGACACCCTGCCTTGCAGCCCATTCTTCCTCTTACTTGCTCAGAGTGGTTTCCTTACATGTGGTTTCCAGGCAGTCTCCCATCCAAGCACTATACAGTGCTTAACCTGTTTTGCTTCAGCAATAGAATCTCACTCATCCTATACCTTCAGACCACCTTCTAGAAAGAAAGGTGTTGTGGTGATCCTCACTGATTTCCTGTCCAGGCATGGAATTTTCTTCCCTTTTTTTGGATTCAATCTTGTTTGGTTATATTGGTTATATTGAGAAACAATGATTTATACACCAGAAATATTGGGAGACAGACCTGTCCCGTAACCCAAAGGGTTTGGTGTGGTTGTGGTGTTATAGAGAGAGATTTCTACCTTGAACTTGTTCCGCAAGAGTGTGTGCGAGTGTGCATAAACCTTCCTATGCTGCTCTGCATGTGTGTGCCTGTGTTCGCCATGCCGTGTGTGCAGTCCAGATCCCTATCGGTGCAAATACATGCCCCCACATAGACAAGTGCAATTAAATTATTTCCCCCATCTCGGATAATATGGCTTTTCTTGCCACCGGGCCCTGCTTGCTGCATTGCATTATTGACATTAAAATCCTAAATTACCTTTCTGAGGGTGGTGCTGAAGGAGAGGATAATTACTGTCTACAGCAGAGCTGTCAGTTGAAGTTTAACTTGGGTTACACTTGCCTGCCAGCTGAGAATGGAATTGGGTTGAATGCAAATAGCCGAAAGCAAAAGGGGTCACCAGGAGCAAATCCTAATTTCCTACTGGAAACATTTGATAAAAATGATGCCTTTGTTATTAATAAGTTCAGCATGTTATGCTGCCCCCTCCATTCTCGGCACTGCCGTCAATCCATGTGGCAGTGCCTGGGGTTTGCTCCTTGCTTTCCATCCCCTGCTTATTGCAGTCTCCTCTCTTTTCCAACACCAGGTTGCGCTGAGTTTTCACACCCTAGGATTCTTATTTTATTTTTATTCTTTTTTTAAACAAAAAAAATTGCAAGCAGCCTGGGAGCTTTCCAAGAGCAGATGTTTCTCTGTGATGACTGTCAGCGATCTTTGGCGTTCCACACCTCCTCCCCCTGCACAACCCCAGCTCCATGTGTGGTCCTAAACTACTCTTGGATTTTGTTCAACAATAGAAGCAACTTCACTCTTCCACCCTCCCACTCCCTTTTAAATAAAACCCACACTCACATGAATGCCAGTAAAGTTTACCCACCTGTTTCACACACTGAAGGGGGACTGGAAAGGGAAAAATGCCTCAACCTTAGCCTTCTGCCCCCTCCCCTTCTCTCCTTGCTTCTGCCTTCCAGAGGCTTGTAGCAAAAAGGAGATCCATCAAGACCTGCAGCTGTTAAACATTTAAAGAAGGGAAATCCCCTTTTTGTAACCAGCCCATCTCAGCCCAAATCAAGAACATCCCCTGAGAACCTGCACGGTTGGGCTTGTACTTATTTATTGCTTTTGATGCTGACATTTGCTCAGCTTTAAAAGAAAAAAGAAAAAAATCTGTTGGCTGCCCCATAGTTGGAGTGATGGCTTGTAAGCTACATAAAGCAGAGGGCACACATGATCTAGGTTTTGGGGATGTTGCACTGAAAAGAGCACTAAACTTTGTGGAGCTCTTTGATTGGATGTTTTGTTTTGCTACAAATTTATATTTGGATATATCTTCATTTTGAGATTAAAAAATGCTCAGTGATACTATTTTACTTTAAATTATGCATGTTAGAACTAGGTACTGTAACAAACAGTGTAAAAAAGCGATATTCTGATTTATCACTTGTGTTTCCTTGAATCACAGTTTATCCTCTCAGCTGGCTGGCATTTGCCAAGTGGGGCTTTGCAATATTGTCTTTCGGTTGGCTGCTTGGTGTGTGGCAAAAAAGCTGGCTGGGAAGAGTTGGCATACAAGTAGAAGTGGAAAAAGTTCACAGCTGTAGATCTCCTGTTGTGGATAGTTCCAGTGTGTAAAATGTTGCTGTGATTACTTGTTTGCTGTGACGCAGGCTCCTTTCATTGGAACCCCATGGCGCTCTGAGGATACTTCTGTGAAGCTGTGCTTTGAACTGTACTGCATCCCCCTTATCCTCTGTTGTGGGCCATTTGGATCAGAAAAGGTTTGCTGTCAAGATTTGGATTCCTACACCAGAAATTCCTTAGCTTCCCTTGCATCCGTGACAAGCAACATGCAGCATTGATAGTGAAAAACCAGCTGAATCTAACTGCGAATTATCCACAGGCCTAGCCATTCTGCAATATGGCAGTTGCTCCATGACTGAGTTTTGTTCATGCCATGCCCTTTGCCACATTTGATTGATCTGATTTGTGCATAGCCCTGTACAAATGCCTCTGGAGAAAGCTTCTTTGCATAATGATAGTATAGTATAGATGCTCTTTCTACCAGTGGTGCTTTTCACTAACTTAAATTAGACAAATCCAGAAACACATAATTTGAAGGAAGTGACCATTGACTCTTGTTTGAAGGTCGCAGTCCCCATACTCACCACTGTTCTATGAACAAATATCTGTGGTAGCTTCTCACACTTTTTGCACTGTGGTACACTTCAATCACCCTGGAAAAGATGGTTGAGTGTATTTGTGCTCAAAACATGAAGCTGTCATGCAGAGTGTGTGGGCCAGAGTGTGCGCGCGCAGGGTGAAGCACCCTGACCTTGTGTATAGTGGAAAACAACAGAACATCTGATTCCTTAAAACAGATGGGGTATCATTCTAGGCGTTAGTGTAACCATGGCTGTCTCTCCTTCCAGCCCAATCGTCCTCCCTAAACTACTCCTTCTACCAACCTCTTCCGTTTGCAATGCTGTTGTGGATCAGCCTTTGCCAACATGGTGACCTCCAGATATTTGGGAATATTACTCTCATCAGCACCAAACAACATGAGAGATAGCAGGAGAAAACATGTTTAAAAGAAGGAATATGCTTCTGTGACCAGTATGTTTGGCCCTTAGAAAGTTCTCTCTTGGTGTGTGTTGTCCACAAGAGAGAGAGTAGGGAGGAGTATAGATACATGAGTTTAAAGAACTGCCAAATTGAATTGAACCACCTGACCCTTATTTATGAATGGTGTTGAATTTTACTGAGGCAGATAAATGGAAACACTGTGGGAAGTGATCAAACGATTTGATATTGGTGAATGAGCTTTTTGCCCTACTGATATCCCATTTGGGGGTTATATGATGTGGTTGGTAGATTCTGTCCATGGAACTGTGTTGTATCCACAGATGCACTCTGACTTCACACTGTTGTTTAGTTTAGATGAGGAGAGGAGAGGAGACAAGGGACCTGCTGGGTATTGATGGGATGGCAGTGTGTCATCCCAGGTCCATCTTAACAGCAGGCTCTGCTTGTTCCTTGTATTGGCATTTGGCTTTAGCAGTGAAAAACTGAGCTCCTCTCTCACAGTTTGGCCATATACTGTATGCCTTTTCCTTAATTCCACTCTTACTGTAAATGCTCATGTTTAAGAAATTGGCTTTGTTTGTTTCCTATGTACAAAGTGACCTCAGAGGACTGTGAGGAACTAAGAAAGATCTATTCCATGAATATCCACCAAGTCTTGTTAGAATTGGCATCTTATTTTTGGAAATGTTGAGATAAAGGAGGAGCGTTGAAGTCTGTAAACAATTTGGTGTAAAATGCACGAATATATCCCACATCTACACCATGCAACAGTTTATATGGCAAGTGTGCATTTCTCTCCAGTTTCTGGGTCCCCTTCTGTGCAATAGCAGCTGAAAGCCTTGAATTAAGCTCAATTGAAAACAGCAAGGTTACCTACCTTGACTAAGGATCAGGTGTCTCACTGTGTGATCTATTTTACAACAGTGTTGACACCAGTCATCTCAACCAGTTATTATTATCTATTAAATTTGTATACCGCCTTTCATCCGTAGATCTCAGGGCGGTTCACAGCTTAAAAATAAAAAATAAAAAATGCAGTGGATGGGAAAATACCAAGAGCTGATGTCAACAGGAACTGACTGTAGGCACTTATAGGTAAACCTCTATAAAGGTACTTGCCTGTTGGCATTGTTATGACCAGGGTAGACTGCTGAGTGGGAATTAAACCCTAGAGCTTGGGGCTTGAAAACAAACCAGCATTGGAGAGGCAAAAGGTCATGGTTGATTTATAGGCTAAGGGTGACCTCAAAGAAAGGCAGGTTTAATCTTTAACCAGAACATTTTGGTGTAGCTATGTGGCTGCAGGGCCTTTTTAAAGGTTGCTGCTACTGAATGGCTGTTCTGCCAGAGGAAATGTTTTTATCTTTGAATTCCTGAGAGTGTGGGGAGGCAAGAAAAACCGATGAAGGATTTTTGCCCACCCATACTGGAACTTACAAGGATTCGGAAGAAATGAAGAGTTTGATGGATTACTGCTGGGGCAATGGATAGACACCCTTGCTGGACAGACTGCAGGCAGCATGCTGAGGTGATAAGACCAGTATGCAGAGATCTGGAAGGCACTGTTCAAGAGACTTGGTGGTGAGCCCAGTTGCTGTTCTGAGCTGGCAGTCAAAATTGACCTTGAACGTGTTTCTATATCTTGAATGAGTCAGAACACCCAGAGTGGACAGTAGTGACATTTTCCAGGATAAAGTGTTGTAAGATGCCTTCATGCTGGAGAAAATGAAATTATTTCACTGTACTGGCCTATATCTTGGGATAGGATAATGTCAATATTTAAAAAGGAATTAATTAATTAGCACAGGATTTAGGGAAGCCAACTCCTGGAGTGTAATTTGTGGAGTGGCGTGATTGAATTTCTACTTTATAACCTGGGAGAATACTTTGATGCCAGATGCAGCTCAGTTCTCAGTAGTGTTTTGAGGGAGTGAACATCTAAATATATATGACTAGAGGTAACTTGTAAAGGAGGGAGATTCTGTAGTTTGGATGCTTGTAGGGTACACAAACTGGACATTTAGCTCAGAATGACTGGGGAACCTAGCCTCATTTAGGGACTTCAGCTCAGTATAAAAACCATGCACCATTGGCTTATCTGTATCTGATGCCCAGTGAAAGATGTCTAAACTGCCCATTTGAAATGATAGCAAAGAATGGTTCCTTTAAAGAGTGCTGGGGTTCTGAGTCTATCTAGTCTGAGAGAGCTGACGCCTGACACTTTTACAAACTTAGCCTGATATTCCTGCAGATGGGAGAGGTGAAGCAGCCTTTAAATCAGGTCAGACCTCAGGGTGTTTGAGACTGGAGATGAACCCCATGAAGGCAGGCCATGTGAGAAATACTAGAAGGCCCAGTATATATTCAATGAGGCTTTTCTACTCTGAACTCTCCTTCTGAACAGATAAATAAACTGTGGATGTGGGGCCTGCATACCTCGCTCACAAGAGCAAATAAACAAGCCCCCAAGGCAGCTGAGTGCAGAGGCCAAGGGGGCTTCAGTGTATATATGTACGTAATGTTCTTGGGTGGCCAGCAGAGGTGGGTGGCCTAGTGGCTAGCAGAAGCCTCTGAAGTGGCCTTGGTGCTGATAAGAGTGAGAGGACAACTTCAGGAAGGATGAGAGCCATGGGGGAGATGGGTGACGTGAACAAGTGTGCTTCCCATATTGTTGGACATTTGCATTCCTTAGAGGCAAAGGAGGCTGGCAGCAGAATTAAGGAATCTACAAAAAAGAATTTATAATCTCACATAGACAGTGTGAAAGTAAACTGGACTATTTAAAGTGGAAAAGCAAACTCCAGAATGTTGTGATGCAGGGGAAGTATGTGAATCCAACAACGATAGGAGAAGCTAGGTAATTCAGGGAGTCTGGGTATAAACTTAAGGCCTATCAAATTTCCTCCATAAAGAAGTCCATCAGGCTGCCACAGGGGCACACAGTTTCTGCACTATTCTGCACTGAGTGTGTCCCAGCATCTTTCCCTCATACCCTCCAAAATTTTATAGACAATTCCTCATTGTTTCCAAGAAAGAAACTGTATTTCTTGTAGTGTTTTGTTTTACAGAGATGTCTGCTGGTATGTCCTTTGATAGTTTAGATTTGGTTAATATTCTATGTGTTTCTCTTCCTTCTGTAGAAGTGATGATTCTCCCACACTTGCTATATATTAAATAAACCTCCTGTTGTGGAAGTCTTAGGTAATGATCAGTCTAGTCTTAAGCCAACCTATTTCCTAGGTTCTTCCATAGTCACCTTGCCCCTTCTTTTGTCTTTTCTTTGGCCGGCATTTGACAGGATTCAACACATAAACTTTGGCACAATAAAGAAAAGAGGTTTTAAGCTGGGCAGAATCCATAGATACATTTTAAAAACACCACCACACAAATGAAAAAGCAATTGTCTATGGGCCACAGTGGAAAAATGCTACTATCAGTGCAGGTAGGAACAATCATGACAAACTAGGATAAAGTCCAACAAAGAGGGAAATGCCATTAGTTTTGTTCTTTTTCTTTGTCACCAAGTCATTACCAATTTCCATTGGTAGTAAATGCCAGTAGCAAAGTAACACTGGAGTTAACTAAATGCAGTTGTTTATAACCACACTTGAAGAAGAAAAAAATCATTGAACAATTCTCATATGCTTCATAGTATTTATTGTGATTGCTAATAACTGCTGTGAGGGTTGCACATGTGATTGCACATGCAAGTAGTAAATAATACCTGCAGAATAGAAAGTGTTGTAACTACTATTTAAAAAATAGTGTATTTGAGGATACCCTTCAGCCTCTCTATCCTCTAAAAGAGAGAGAAAGAGTGGGAGAGCGTTGGCCATTATCCTCTAAATCTGCTTTGTTTTCTGCCTCTGCTTTGACATTTGCTCTAAGAGGCATCTTCTACTGTGACCATGGCCGGCTTTGAAAGGATCTTTCTTTTCTCAGACTAGCTCAAACTTGCTAGAGTTGCCACTCAGGCTGTTTCAGTTTCCCAAAGAATTGAAGGGTTGGGGGAGGAAAGAGCTCCTTTTGTTGAGGGGGGGGGTGGACAAGAGAAGAGTGAGAGGACGGATGCTTCTAGATAAAGATGGGGTCTCCCCACCTCGCTGATCTGGTTGTACATATGGAGATTCCATTTTTAAATGATATGTGAAGAAGGGTGTCTGACCCAGCCCTAGAGATTTTATTTTTTATTTTATTAGCAAGAGCTGTGAGAGGGGAACAGAAAGTGGAGAGAGAAGGAGAGAGTGTTATTCTCTGATCCATCCCCCCTGGCTTGGAAAAGTGGTCTGAGTTCAAAAAATTCATTTCTTGCCTGAATGAAGGCAGCAATGTGGAAAAATTTCGCCATTCAGAGGGGGATGAATGTATGTTTCAACCGCACATTAAGTCACATTAGCAGGCAGTGGAGTGCTTAATGTGGGCATTTTTCACAGCGGCCAACAGAGGGGATGATTAGCATAATTAGTCCAGGCAACTCTATACATATGGAAATGCCAAATGCGTAAATGCCAACACCAGTGGAAATTTATGTCAATGCTGACAGGAGTCTTAGCAGTGAATGGCTCCCAACTGAATCTCTTTTAGCCCCCTTTTTCGGGGGTCGGGCTCTCCCCTCGTCTTTGGCCAAGGCTCCTTCATGCCGTTCCTCTCCCTCACCCGCCCCCTCCACACTGGGAACCTGAGCCCTTCGGATTTCTGGTAAATAAAGACATTAATTTAGGTCTGGGATAAACAAAAGGCCAGGCCAGGCCTGGGGAATGGAGAGTAGGCCTCAAACGGGCCTTTCAGTGCTCTCCTTAAAGCCAGCTCCCCCATCCAGCCTGCCAGCCACCTCCACCCCCTCTGCCTTGTTTATTTAGAAAGCAGCCTGGCGTCTCTGTCTTTGTCAGACTAGGTTTGTTAGAGAACAAGCACCAAGGGACACGGCGCTGCACATCTCCCCCTACCTCGGCCCTCAGCAATGTTTAGCCCCAGGGTGTCAGTTTAATGGGGTGCTTGGGCTCCCTTGCTTGTCTTGATGGAGCTAGCTGCTTTTCCATGGTGAACAGGATCCTGGTTGGACGTGTTTTGACAGCCATAGGCCAGCTAGCGGCTGGCAGGCCTTTCAGAGCAGCCGGGACAGGTAAAAATGGCTCTTTTAGCACGCCCCCAGCGAGACTTCCTCCCGAGCAGCATGGCTCCTTTCACAGCCTCCCTAATCCAGCTAATCCGCCCCTCAACACTTTGAAGGTGGCCCAAGGCATGTGCGTGCAGCACTGTGTTGAGGACGCTGCAAGAAATCAGATTCGGCTGCGGCTGCCACTGCCATAAGGGAGGGAGTGTGAGAGGGGGGTGGGTGCATATTAGCCTTCCCCATCCTTTCTTCACTGTTTCAGGCCTGTCAAGGAATCAGATCTCCACATGGATATGGAGGGGACACAGCTGTCCACTTACTCTCTGTTTAGTTGCATTATTGAATTTGTTGCTGATGGGAATAGTCATGGATTAAACCAAAACATAAGCTGTCCATGATGAAGCCTCACTTTCAACCTGGCTCACTTCCAAGGCTATCTGGACTAGTATCCTGCTTCAGATCAGGCAGCTTCTAGTTGTTGGGGTTTTTGCTTTTGAGGAGATTTCCCAGTGAGTAGAGATGTGGGCATAATCTGCCAAAATTACAGTTGACGCCTTGATGCAAGCAGTCAAGGATAAGATTTATTCTTTATACTTCTATGTCATCTAGATCAACATGTTCACAAATGCAGTCAAAACGTGGGTCTCTGAATCAGGATAAAACCATGCAGTTGCAAAGAAGACAAACATAAGTTATTCTTTAAAAAAAATCACATTTAACGCATTACTGTCGTGGACAACAAATAAGCAGTCTTCAGTGTGTAGCTTTAAAACCTAATGTTCATGACAGTATTGATTTGTTTAGAACAAGGATCTTAAAGCAAAACACCACACTACAGCAATAACTTACATGATATTTTATCACACTGAATTTCCTAAGTAGTACATTTCTTAGGAACAATATTGGTTGATGATTTCTTTTGTTAAAGATAGCTGTTTTATTTCTCTTTTACTGGACTTTAAGTTTTTATTTCTCACGATCCCTTGTGTGAATATTCAGTTAATGAAGGATGCATACATATGTGCATAATTAGTGTGGTTTGAGCTGCAATCCTATAAACATCTATCTGGGAATAAACCTATTGAACTCTGGGAATTCCTTCTGAGCAGGCATGTATAGGATTGCACTGTGAAACTGTACCCATCCTATTTTAGTCATACATGCAATATTCCATGAGGATCAAGCTTTGCATAAATTGTCTCTGCTATTTTCCAACAGAAGCCAGCTGTGCAGAATGCTGTGTGCAATGTAAAATTAAAAAGCCACATCCCAGCAGATTTTCAAATTTAAAAAATTGGGTATACAAATAATAATGAACAATAGTAAAATAATAAGCCACAGAACAAATGTCTAAGTGTATAAATGGACAAGACAGTTGAAGGGATATTAAAGGTGGAAAGGGTACCTGAAGCAGGGAAAGAGCAGCAAAGAGGACATCAGCAAAAGATCTGTCACTTGAAGAGTCAAGTCAAGGGAAGATAGGTTTATCCTACAGCAGAAAAAACCAACAGTTCATGTTTATGCATTTATTTATGCTCATCCCAAGTTCACCTTTCACAGATTTGTAGTGGTTTGTAATATATAAGAGGTATGGTGTGGTTGTAGCCCTAGTCCTGCTGCAAATTTTAAATTATTTTTCTTGTCCTTCAGAACAAGCATTCTCCTTTTTTTCCCTTTTCACTTTGTATATCTTGATGTTTAGACCTTATTTTTTTGTTTCTGATTTATCTGTTCTGCTGTTCATACCTATCCTAATTAATGACCTTAGTTTGCCTCATATGGTTTTAGATCAGGCCTGCAGAACTTATGCCCCATTAAGTCAGGCCCTCCCACCAACTAAGTCTTGTGTCTACCTGCTACCTGTTTGCCTGTCCTCCTATATTTTTTTCCTTTTCCGGTAGTTGTTTCTCCAATTTTTCTTATGTGTCACTCCAAAATCTATAGAAACACCAAATATTCTCTGTGGTTGGCTGTTGTAGATAACACTCTTCAAGGTTACCACCTTTACCTCTTCAGAGTATTTGGCAGAAGGCCTTTATATCCCATCTTGTAGAAAATCTAGGATGTGGGGGACTAGGGCTAGGATCGGCCCACCTATGTGGCAAGGTTAGATGACCACCTCAGGTGGCAGGATCCACAGAGGCAACAGATCCTGATGTAAATCTTTATTACTTTCTTGTTCCTGTTGTGGATCTTCACTTACCCCTTCTTCCCTGGTGGGGTGGTGGTGGTGGGCAGCGTTTTGTGGTTTGCCTCAGGTGCCAAATTGTATTGGGCCAACCCTTAATAGGGTTTTGACACAAATGTCCTCCAGCTAGCTTCATAAATTCTATTAGTGGACTGTCTTAGTGAATACCACATCAAATACCCAAAGACCTTGTATGCTCCTGGCTTAGGGCATCAAGTGTTCAGATTCAGAATGTACAGATGTGGATAAGCTACTGGGTTTTGGAACACAGTAGGTTGTGAATCCACTCCCATAAGTTGTGAATCCACAATCCATGAGATAAATACAAGGAGACTGAGATCACCCAAGTCTCTTACAATATTACAAAGCACCTCGCCTAGGATCAGTAGAGGTGGGAATACATACAAGAGGTCCATTGGCGCTTCTAAGATAGAGAATCTACTCCCAAAGTCAGTGAAACTCTCTCTAGTGTAGAACAAATCTGTCTTTCTATTCACTTTTGAGGCAGAAAGGCCCACTTTTTTATTTCCAAGGCTTTGAATTGAAAAGAAGTCCTCTTTGAGGAACTATTCTCCTGAGTCCAGTTCATGACAGATCCAAGGATATCCTCTGATTTTAAAAGGCAATTATCCAAGTTATGTGTAACACTGTCAAGAGAAGAGGTTTTTCCCTCTGGATTTCATGAAACCTGGTTCCACTTTGCTTGTTTAACAAGACTGCAGCACTCACACTGTGACTGAACCAAAAAGCAAGTCTGGATACAGATAGTGCTATTTATGGGGGGGGGGTGGATGTCATTTAATCATCTAGTTTCCATACAAAAAGTTAAAGTCTGATGAATTTATTGAGATGAATATAGAATAAGTCTTACTCCCCTATTATGATCTTTTCAAATTAGAAAAATGAAAGAATGAACACTAATACCCTCCTGAGCATCTAGTACCAGTTCCACATTTTGGGATTGTAGCAAGATTTGGATTATCTCTTTCCATCAGTTGTCTCTTCAAAAGATTTCCAAGAAGAAGAGAGAACAAAGCACTTATTGGTAATGCACCAGGCTCCATAATATGGCTTCTGGAGATGGCACCTAGGACCCCATCTGTCGCAGTGGGGCGCCTGAGTCAGTCACAATTCTTGTTGTTGGGCTGATGATGAGAGAAGTTCTAGGAGTATTTTTATGTCCCAGTTGAGGTTAGTTTGTGCTGGTACAGGTAGCTAGAGTATCAAAAGGATTGGTTGATGAGTGTTTTGTCAGAAGAATGAGCTTTGGAGGGCCAAGGGAAGGGCCACTGCCCTGCTTCCAAATCAGTGAATAGCTTTTCATATGTTCTTTGGACAGGTTCTCACTTGAATATGGCAGTTTTCCATGCCCTGGATCAGAGGGGTTTGTGGTTAGCGCTACGGAGTCTGGGCCAGGACACACACAGACATTATGCAAGCAGACAATGTAGCAGTCTCTAGGCCAGCACCCACTGCTCAAGACATTTTGTTGATGTTTAGGTCCACCTTTTGTCACCCTGAAGTTGAGCCCAAAGATCAATTAACCAGGACCAGGGAACTCTGCAGCAGAGGCTTTAAGAGCACACGGCTTTCATTTTAGTACACTTTCTTTCTTAAACTATGTAGATCAGATATTGCAAGCTGTGGGGAGTGCTGTGTCCTTCATTAAAGCTCCATCTACTCAAGAGAAGCTTGACTCGAAATACTTGAGTTGATTTACTGACCCTAAGAGCTATACTTTTACTTAAGCTGAGGTTTCTCATTTATAAGGTGATCAGAGCTAAACAGTTCACCCACACAGTCCCTCCTGTGGAGAAACCAGAAATTATAGAATCTTGATCAGCTGGCTGTGGTGCTGGCTTGGGCTTCCTAAGAGCAGTCTCTGATGGGGAAGATTTCCATGCCACTTGACCCAAATCATCTGACTTTTAGGATGCAGGCATGCAGAGTAGGAGAGGAGTGTCCTGCTTTGTTTGTGACCAGGGTAGTTGGTGATACAATGTGGGAGCGATGAACTTTGAACAGTTTGTGGTGTCACAGATCACACAAGCATTATAAGTCCATGCAAATGGTCTAATAAGAGACCCCAAACTTCAGTTCTGACTGAACTAAATTATGTTTTCTGCTCAGGTTCGTAATGCAAAGGTGAGAGAAAACAGCAAGTGAAAGGCCCAAGTTTCCCTTCTAATTGGGTCTTACATCCTCTTACTGTCATCAATTGAGCCCTTAGAAAGGTGGGAAGATAGCAAGGGTGTGACTCAACTTGAAAAGTGGATGGTTATTTGTCCATGTAGATCAGTTGCCATTCTATTTGAGGTTTTTGGGGGCTAAGGCCAATTTAAAGGAACTTCTACTAATTTCAGTCTGCCCTTATAAACTGGGCCAGCAACCCAAAGGATATTCTACTCAAGTCTCTACAAGGAAGAGATTAGAAAGCAAAACTGTCCACTGTCTGCAACCATTTGCTGGGGCAAAGTGTGAATGGGAGACTTGCAGGAAAGATTGGAATGTTCCTGTAGTATAGACCAGTGGTGTCCAAACTTTTTTCAAAGAGGGCCAGATTTGATGAAATGAAGGGTTGTCAGGGCCGACCAAAGTTGTTAACCTTTTTTTAGGATTCAAGTTGTTGAGGTAAACTGCCACAGGGGTCGGATTAAACAACTGACTGGCAGTCCGGATTAGGCCCCCGAAACGGACTTTGGACAAGGCTTGTATAGACCTTAGTGCTTCTTTTTTACATGTCTACCTTTTCTATTGAGCTAGAAGCTCATATATACTTGGATAATACAGGGCATAGCCCGAAGTTACTCTGGTTTCCTTGTGTCCATTCTGTTAAATCCTTATTTAAACTTTTGTTCTGGAAGTCAAGATTCCGCCCTTGTTCTAGCACGGAGTAGGTTTGTTGCAGAAAAGGATCCAGGGAGTTCCCCATATCCATTTCCGGCATGCTGGCTTTGAAGGATGCTCCTCCCAGCCCCAAAGAGTCCACCCAGCTGTTGGTATCTGATAACTGAAGCCTCGTCTCTGGCAAACTGCTGTAAGCAGAAGAATCCCAGCTGGATCCTGGGGTGAGGCAGTGTCTTCAACCTTTGGATTCAGGGCTTGATTTTATTTTTATCATTTTGAAAAGATGGAGCTATAAAAGGTGTTGAGGAACATTTGATTATGGTCCCTCAAAACAGCCATGATAGGAGGTCAAGTTGAAACCCATAAGGACATATATCAATATCATACTTTTTTACCCCAGATGACTTTCATCCATTGGACTAGAAGAAAGGTGACCAAAAATGTTCTGAAGGGTTGATGTCGAAATATACAGAATTTTGTGGCACCTTATAGACTGTTTTCTTTTCACATAAGCCATAATAAATCTGTTTCTAAGGTGACACAAGTTATTTTTGTGGGGAGGTTTGCAGTATCAGACTAGCATGGCTATCCCTTTGGAATTTATCAAAACATACATATCCTTATAATTGAGAAAACAATGCATTGTAAAACTTGTATCTTGCAATAGTCATTATATCTCAAAAGATGAACATGTTTCAAAATTCAGTGAATGCTGTGGAAATGGGGAAATAAAATCAAGTAAGTCAGTCTTGTACTACCTACAGAAACACAAGTGGCAGGTACACTGCAGTATTGGGTGCACATGTTTGCACATGATAAAAGGAATGAGAAAATATGTAGTCTGCTTATTAAATAAGCACATTGGGAAGATATATGATTTCCGGGATGTTACCATGGCTTATATAGAGGTGCCCACAGGCATGTGTTTTCTATTGGATGGGATCTCAGCAGATGCCAGGAACGTGTTCTTTACTGATACATTAAGAGCATTATATTTCCCCTCCAGCAAATAATTGTGGGGAACTGCATCCTTTGAATATTGGAAGAGACAGATGTGTAAGAGAGACCTATGTCTTGAAAATGCTTCCATGCTTTTATCTGGAGTTCATGGGTCCCATATTCAAGTCTGACCCTCTTGACATTACAAAGACACACTTTCCTATGTTTAAAAAACTGGATTGTTCCTAAGAGACAACAGTTCAGATGCTGTTCAGTTGCACTCTAAGCTCCATCTAATGCAGAACAACCTTGGACTAGGATTAATATTGTTGCTTTGGCTGCTATAGTTAGAAGCCTACCCCTGACCACTAGCACATGGCCTCCAGGAGTTGATTACTCCTGCTTTTCTTTTATACACCCACTAGCTTGTTTTGTCACATTCAGTCTAGTTTTGCTTTTTAAAAGAGATGAGATCCACTGTGGATCTGAATAACCTTTCTCTTCTAGACAACAAGCCCTATATTTTTATCCATGGCAACTTTTTTGTTTTCATTTGCTTTGTTAGTTATTATTATAATTATTTACTTAGTTGCCTAAGGTGAGAAACAGTCTCAAAGCAGCTTACAAGCAATATGAAACAAGCAGAGGGCCTTCTCGGTAGTAACACCCTCCCTTCAGATGTAAATGGAATAAACAACAATCTTGACTTTAGAAGACCTCTGAAGGTAGCCCTGTTTAGGGAAAGTTTTAAGGACTGCTGTTTTTAGATAAGTTGTAAGCCACCCAGAGTGGCTGGGGGAACCCATCCAGATGGGTGGGGTGTACATAACAAAATTATTATTATTAATTATTATAATGATATAAAATATAAAACATACCAATAACAATAAAAAAATCTAGCATACAAATGCTACTGCCACACCATCCCATGAAAATACCAGAAACATCACTGGTACAGTAGCGATTTTAAAGTGCCAACCAAGAATTACTGCTGCACATACTTTTATGTCCAACATCATAGCTTCTACCTATCCTAAATGTCTGTGATTTGCATTTTAAATGGAGGTTATAAGATACTTGAAATACAGGGATCAGCTTACTGTGCAGTGTTAACATGTCCCCCATAAGAGGGTGCTTCCTCCATATTATTTTTCAGAAAGGGAAGACTGTTAAATTATAAGTTCAAATAGAAGTTCATAATGACAGAAACCACCATTACAGATCAGACATCACAGGCAGAGCTTCTGAGCCTTCTCACTATAATTCAGAAATGGTGGGCACAATCAGCAAAAGCTAGTCACAACTTAAGACTCATTCAAGTAATGAAATAGAACAGATCATAAATACTTTCCCTTGAATGTGGAAGCACTTTTATAGTGAGGCAGTTTTGCACATTCAGCTGTAGATAATCAAATGATTTCTTGGCCACTATGAGAATGAGATGCTGAACTAGATGGTGCTTTGTCCTGGAACTTTGGCAAGTCAATCTAAAAACTGTGGGTTGTTTTTTACAATAAGTATAGAAAATTATTTTTTTTAAAGTAAGTTGGTATGCGCAAGTTTTGTACAAAAAGTGATCTTGTACAAAAAGTTAATCCAGCTACTTGGAAATAAGGAACTGAACATATATGGATACTAAACAGTGCACGGAATGGTGCCACAGTGGGTGACAGAGCCCTTCGTCTTCAGGTGGCTGAGTGAAGCACGATGTCTTACGACAATGTCAATTTTCTCAGTATAAAATGATGATGTGTGCTAAATTAACATAAGCAGTTCAAACCTCAAAAGTCCTCTACTGTATTTAGTCTCTTGGTTTCTGATCATGGGTGAGTCACTTAAAATTCTGGGGCTTCAGCTGCCCAACTGAAATGAGATCCTTCTGTATCTCCAGCAGTGATAGTGGGTAAGGGCAGGATGAAGGACAATATACTGAGGACGCATGGTCAAGAGGCATCTACGGCATATATTTATCCATGTTTTAGCCTCCATTTTCCAATTGATATTAAGCATGTACTACCTAAACAGTATAGAAATTATTTAAACCATTAAGCTTCCATCTCTCAAGATGGTAAGACACTTTTGGGGTGGTGGGGTCTTTGCTGTGGAGCCCCAGCTGATGTCTAGCTTTCCACCTGCTGAAGTCGCAACAGGTCCGCCTCAATGTAAAGCTACTATCCCTGTTTTCATGCATTAAATGTTGAAAATTTAAAAAGTAATCTGTTGCTCTTGCTTGCAGGCAATGTTGGACTTTATTATTTATTTAAGGAATTTATACCCTTATTTTCTTTATGTGTCTTAAAGTGGCTTTCAGTAAAAATATTAAGTCTCTTTGCGCAGTACTGCTGCCTTCATAATTGGGAGAAGAGAATGCTTTTCACTCAGAATTCCTGATAGAAGGATGCAAGGTAAATATCACGGGTGTCAATTCAGTACTTGTGTGAAATTGATTTGTTGTACCTTAGTTTCCGTACAGAAACCACATAGTTCACATCTTCAGGTACTGAAACCTCTCCTCCAGCTTCTGATTTCTGCAAGTAGCTAGAATTTAGGATTTTCCTCTATATCACCTGTGTCTCATGAATCAAATCCAGAATCTTTTTCAGCAGTAAATGTACCGTAAATTGTTGCTCATGTACTTCAGGGTGTTGTTGTTTTCCATCAAGGAAGTGCTTTTGTTTCAGGGTTATTTTATTTTCCCAACACAAACTACAATGTAGTTTCAATGAGAAAATCTCCTTAGCTTGAAGGGCTGGTGCAATTTGAAGTGTTAATATGTTATGTGGCTGCACAGGTGTCACAGGTTTGAGCAAGATATTGCACAACTGTTGCTGGATTATGACTTCTGTGAATATAGTACTAAAGGGCTATGTCTGAGATTTTTTTAAATCATTTGGATAACCCTTCAGGACCCTAACAATCTTCCTGAGGCAAGTTTCTATCCTCTCACTTTATCCGGATGATCTTTTGGCATGCTCTTGGATTGTTTGTCCCTTCTCCTTTGGTGACCTCTGATATCTCCTGTTAGGTGCAAAGGAACATTATGTGTGTTAATACAAGGAGCAAAGACAAACTCTGTGCTCCATTGTTATTTGTAGTGACAATGCCTAGACTGAATGGAGAGGGCAGACTGAAGGTGGAAGCCAGTTTTATGCATGGAGAAGGGTCTTCTTGTCCAGTTGATTAATTACACAAAGGTTTCTTAATGCTTTCTAATCACTGCATCCCTGGAGGGTCTCATGAGTCTATTCTCTGCCCTACAAGCTAATGCCAGGTGCTTTCCTTTTTTGGTCTGGCCCAATACTTGCTATTAATACTTACACCCGATCCAGGGCAAATTATAGGGTTGCCCTACTCATGGAATCAAGGCAATTGATTTCCCTAGATAGCTCCAGTAACATTCAAACTGCCCAGTTCTGTACTCCAAGAAGGGCTTCTCTGGAAGCCCATGTGAATCAGACCAGGAAGTACAGCAGCCCTATGTGGGCTTGCTGTAGGTTTCCTGCCCATGTGTACAAAAAACCCTTGTGATGAAAGTGACCATGTATATTTTCCTCAACCTCGAAACAGTTACAAATGCTTTTTAAACTCAAGGTTGAGTTTCTGTTCCCCTGCACACCTTTCACTCTGGTGAATTACCCCCTCCACCCCCACTCCCACAAATAAAGAGAGAAGGGGAGGCAAATGTTGGAATTTCCCTTCCTTGGAAAACATGGGATTTGTGGAGACTGCTGTTACTCATTTGTTATATATGGGAAACAGACAGCTTTCCTCAAGGAAGCATTTCTGTTTCATGCATATTGCATTTTTCCAGTGCTCAAGCTGCAGTATTAGCTGAGTAAATGATATTTGACCCCCCCCTTCTGTTGTGAATACTGGATAGAACAACATGGCATGAGAGTTACAGACACCTATTGGATAGTGCTTGTAATGGCTGCCCCCATCAAGTATCTGTGTGTCACTTCTCGGGGTCTGGTACAAATTTGTAACACGAGTCTTCTTTCCTCTCTGCTGCTCCCTCCCTCTTCTCCCAACCCCCCACAAAAGGCTTTGTCTATTTTGAAAAATTAGAGGCTTGATTGGAATATGTTAGCATAAATAATGGGAACTAAGGAGGCTCTTTCTATTAGTGGCTGCCTGATTTGTGTTTATAGCCAGATGTGGCAATATGGGTGTGGGGGGGGTGTATCTCACACTAAATGCTGTATAGGCGCTGTGTTCCCTTGTCATGGACCTACTGTAAGTTCTACACATTATGAAGGCTAGAGGCCTAATATGTTTGCTGACATATGTTCTGAGACCTGCAAATCCTATCAAGCAGCACTCTTGTCTTGCTGTCCCTGGTTGGTACAGTGCTTGTTCATCCCTCCTTCTGGCAGTCAGATGCCAAAAGTGTTGGATTCTTGTCTATTGGGATTTTATGTTTAAAGACCATCGTATGTGGTGGTCTTGAAGTTAAGGTTAAAGCTTATTGGGAAATGATATATAATGAATTGAAAAAGATGCTTAAAATAACATTAAAAAAAACAAAACAAAAAACTAGAAGCTTTTATTCTGGAAATTATAGGGATAGAGCAGGGATCAGCAACCTTTTTCGGCCATGGGCTGGTCCACCATCCCTCAGACCATGTGGTGGGCCGGACTATATTCTTGGGGGGGGGAGAAATGAACGAATTCCTATGCCCCACAAATAACCCAGAGAGGCTTTAAATAAAAGGATACATTCTACTCATGTAAAAACACTCTGATTCCCGGACCGCCCACGGGCCGGATTTAGAAGGTGATTGGGCTGGATCCAGCCCCGGGGCCTTAGTTTGCCTATCCATGGGATAGAGCTACCTAAATAGTATAGAAATTTATTAATGTATGCGACTACAGCAGCAAAAATGTTATTTGACCAAAAATGGAAAGAATAAGAAGTCTCGATGAAAGAAGAATGGATACCAAAACTTATGGACTTTGCAGACATGGCAAAACTTACTGGAAAAAATAAGAAATCAAGATAACAAACTTTTTATAAAAGAATGGAAATGGTTTATTAAATATTTACAAACAAATTGTAAACAGATAAGGACATTGGCAGGATTATTGTAATAACCTGCAATTTCATAAGAGTATACAATTAAAGTAGATGAATAACTGAAAACTACGGTATAAATAATTTTTAAAACAACAACAACAGTGTGGGATTCTCTTGAGTGTGCACAGGAAATGTCAGCAGGAACATAGGAACTCTGGAAGTTGTGGCTCTTGAGAGAGCATCTTATGTAAAAGGGTGTATATCTCTTTGACACAAACAAAGACATTGTGTTAACTATATAAGTGGCTTTTGTGTGTGCTTTTCTTTACCTGTGGGTGGGGTGTCCTGTTTGGGGTAGCAATGTGAAGGTAGGACCTTTTATCCTTTGTCCCTGCTGTGGCCTTGACCTCCCGGCTGCTGTTTTCACCAGGGGGAAAGTCACTGTCCCACTTCTGCCCACATGCTTGGGCCCTGCCCCCCCCCTTTTAACTACTCCAGCATGTTAGCAAGGAACACCCCCTTTGCAGCAACACCCTCTTTAGGATGCCTTTATGTATTTATTACTAAGTGGTGGGTGAGTCACCTCCTTCAACAAAACTATGTCCACAGCAAAACTACTATGAATTGCTTTGGAGACAGGATATTGTGTTATTGCATCCTGCTTTGAATAAAAGCTGGGCTTTTTAATGTCTTCGAAGGCTCTGAGAAGGGATTCTCTCAAGAGCTTTGTCTGCTGCTCACTTGCCACCCTTACTCTTTCTGTTCAGTCTATGGGGTGATGTTTTCCCACAGGTGCTATGGGCATAAGGGTTTTGTTCCCTTCTTAGCCCCTGCTGTGGGGCTGGAGAAATTCCAGTCCCTTTCCTTCTGTGGGCCTGACTTTCCTCTTGCCCAGTCAGACCAAAATTTCAGTTCTTTGAGGCAAGAAATTATCTCTTACTTTTTTGTGTTTGGTGCTGGATCTCTGCCTTCTACCATAAATATCCATAATAATAACTATGAAGCTTTAATAACAGATTACTCCAGTATGGTAGCGCTAAATTGGTTGAGAGGAGGTTTTACCCTAGAAGAGAGTTGGAGTTTTCTTTTGGGGGGGGGGGAGTTTATTGTCCGCACATTTTCTCAAGCCAGGTGGGCCCTTAAGAGGAGAGCCCTATCCTGTCTCTTTTAATTGAAGCCCTCTTGGGCCTCCCAGCTGGTGTGGAAACAGAGCAGGGGGCTGCATTTGGGTGGCCCAGCTGGGAGGGAGGAGGTGCCCAGCCCAGCAATTTATCCAAGAGCCTGTAATTATGGGGATAATTCTGAAGGCCTGTTCCACTGCCTGGGAAGTGGCTCTGCTGAACCTAGGGGGAGAGAAAAGGGAGAGACGGTGTCAGCATGTGCAACGCAGGACTGAGATAAGTTGCTTTTGTCAACACCAGGTAATTGATCTCCCCTGCTCCTCAGTTACATAGCTACCCATTTCTCAGCTGTGTTAAGAGATGACCCTTGCCTTGAGGGCAGTTGACCATGTAGCCAGGCTGAAGCGGCACTCTGGAATCTACTAGGACTAGGATGTCATAGTGAATCCCAGGGTGTGGCTTGGAGTGGCTTCTCAGGAATGAGAAAGGGTGGCAGGAAATAAAGTCTTCCACAGAATAACCTCGCTATGAAGCTCTGCTCCAGTGCCCTGTTGGCACTGGTACTTCCAGGCATGCTCTTGCACTAGGCTTGCAACCCAGACTCTTTTTGCAAAAGCAAATTGGCTAGGCCCTTTAGACACAAGTCCTGCCGGACGTGCTGTGGGGATGTTCCTAGATCAGCCAGCTCTGGGTTACTGGGCATCTCTCCACTTGGCTCCCAACCAATTCTGCTTTTTCGGCTGCCCCTGTTGGTACCCAGCTCTGCTGCTGTGGGGAGACAGGGAGTGTTTCTGGGAGCATGCTGTGAGGCATCCTCTGAGCCAAAGAGGCCCTGCTAGGGGAGGAGTGTCCTACACAGTTGGCTTGTCTAGCAAGATGGGGCAGTGTAAGTCTGTCGGACCCCACACAGTGCAAGGGCCAACTGATGGGATGGAGCTTGCAGCCTCTCCTTAAAGAAACCTGGGAATCTTGAGTACAAGAAGACCCTAATGTTTACAAGGATGTGGTCCAGTGTTTTCATCCCTGCTGTTCTGGAGATATTTCAGTGCTCCTGGGGAGGCTGTGAGAATGAGATATAGCATATCTGAGGTGTGTACGTGTTCAATGCATGTGGGGTGGAATGAGGGATAATCCAATCTAATACTCAAAGCCAAAGCAGCAGTACAATTGGGAGTTTGATCAGGAGGGAGAGGGACCCTTTGCATGAAAAAGGAGAGGGCTTCCTTTGTTAATTGGAGTAAAAAAGAATTTGCATAGGGCTCCTCATTAACATGCTCACTGTTGCTACCTCGCTGTAGCCCAGAATCCCCTCCCCCAACTTTGTATCAAACAATGCTGCTCTCTCAGTGGAGGGGAGGGGGGTTAAGCAGGAGCAGCTGGGGGGGGGAGGAGGCTGTGGCACATAGAGTGACAGTACCTAAGTTTAACGCCCTCCCCATCAGACAAGAGAGTGCCCCATGTAAAGCATACTTGGCAGCTTCTCTCATTTTGCCTTGTCTTTTCATGTTGCTCCCTGGTTAATTAGGGTGTTGGAATTTGAGGCTTCCTCATTCCCCTTTGAAGCTTCAGATTGTCCTGTTCCAAATTAACCCTAATTACAAGGAATATCTCCCTCTCTTCCCTTCTTCACAACACTTGCAGATGTACTGTCATTTCAGCTCCGAACGTTGTTAATAAATAAATAAGGCTCCCAGTGTCCACTTCCTACTATCACTCATCCTGGGCAGTGACAAGAACAAGGTTGTTGAGAGGGTCTCTCTCTCTCTCTCTCTCTCTCTCTCTCTCTCTCTCTTTCTCTGCATATTTCTGTCCTGGCCATCACATGGCACAAAACCATCTCCTGGCACTTGTTTAAAAAGAGGCTTTGTACTTAAAGACCGTCTGATGAAGGACTCCTCTAATTTTTGGGATCCATCTTCGCCTGTGGCTTCAAAGTTTGGCCTGAATGTGTTCCCCACCCTTCCTCTACATTCTGGTTGTACGTGTGGTTTCTCTCCTGGGTGGCCTAGTCAAGATCAGCAGAGCTCAGCATGACTCCTGGTGCCTTGCCTCCCAAACAGCCTGGAATGGTTTGGATTCTGCCTCTGATGCTTCCCTCCCAGCTCTTCCCATCTCGGACAGACGCAGAGTGTCTGTCCCCTCCCTGTGTTCCTTGGCATAGCCTCCTCCCTCACTGGCATCCCAGCTGTTCCTTTGGGGAGAGTGGCGTGGAAACCAAAAGCATGCCTGTCAATCAGCTTGGGTTTATATATATATATTTATAAAAATCAACAGCTACGAAGTATTAAAAGAAGAATTTATACTTACAAAAAGTGACAAAATAGCAGGACAGGATAGAATTGTTGAGCTCAGCAGCGAGCTTGTAGTAAAAATGTCTACACAAACTCTCTCTTACCAAGTTTGAGAAATATAATTTATGATGAAGAACCCAGAATGATGGAGCGGGAGAAGCACCAATAAGCAAGAGAATTATCAGGCTGTGGAATATGTGGTTTTTATGTCCTCATTTTCTGCTTCTGTTAAAAATAAGGTGAGCCAGAGAATTTGAAAAGGAAAAGATAATATGTGAAAAATGTTTTTTATTTTAATATGAACAATATTTGGATAGGCTATCCTGTAGAGCATTCTTCCTCCCACTTGGGGCGCCCTCAGATAGAAAGATAATTTTATTTTTTATTTTGACAAAGTAATAATAATAAATAAATAAAAATGAGCACTCCACCCACAAGACCATTCCATTGTAACTACCCAACCTCCCAAAATTTCAGCACATCTTGCGATGGTTTGACCCATATATTTTTATAGACTACAACTCTCATCGTCCTTGACCATTGCTCAGGCTGGCTGGAGTTGATAGGAGTTTTAGTCCAAACCACCTGGAGGACACCATATTGAGGAACGCTGTACTAGAGTCAAATAGTTGGGAGTTACTGTAATGGCAAGCACCCTACAGTACATATTATGAACCTTCCATTTATTGTGCTCCACAGCTGCTGCCATAAGACGTACCTGTGTCACAAACCTATTTTGGTTTTGCCCCAGTTTAGCTGTCATTACTCCTTCCTCCTCCCCATCCCTGCTGCTGCCGCCAACAAATACAGTAATCCTGGGAATTGCAATTTGTGGTGTTTTCTGGAGAGAGGCAACATGTATTAAACCAGTTAAAGACAGATATGTCCACACACGTTTAGAAGAAAAGGAGTTGGGAAAATCAAGAAAATGTTAGAATGCATTGGTGTTTCTTGGATTCTGACCCTCAAGAGACAGCTATGTTGTCATTAGCCCCATAAACCTGAAGCCAAATGTTGAGAGTCTTCTGCAATGGCTTGAAAATGGGAGATTGTAGTCAAAACAGAATTTGTCTTTGGGTTCAGTAATCAGTCGCTCAGCCTGTGTCTCTATATCTGCAAAATGGAAATAGTGACAACTTCACTATGCTTATTTTAAGAATGATTAAGGGAATATCTACACTATAGACTCAAACAAGTATGAAATTGGTTTAACTGCCATGGATTTCCCCCTGGAGAAGTGTGGAAATTGTACTTATTTTTGTGAGGTTGCTTTGAGTGCTCAGATATAATCCCTTGAAAAAAGCACAATGAACATAAAGATGGTTTAAATTTATAACACAAATTACTTAACAAATTACTGAAGCAATACTGAAGCAATGTAAATTCAATGTCAATTTCCAAATGATATATCTGTTGTTAACTTTATAAATAAAATTTTATGAATACACTTGTGCAATATTCCTCAATGAGAAGTTTAACCACGGCAAACAAATGTCTCTGGAAGTCACCTTTGTCCGTTTAACTTCCTATCTTCTGCAATGTTCAGCCACAGAAGCTTGTGTGTGCTAGGGTGTACTTTCACTTTGCACAGAGTAAATGTGAGGCTCAACAGGCTTGGGCATTACTATGACTGAACTGAGTATGCGCTGTAGAATATTTCCCAGAATCCTTTGCTATATACAGCGGTTCTGTGGCAGGCAGGCAACTTCCTCCACAACTTGCACTATTTTGTAGCAAAGCTACCATTGGGGCATTCTTCAGACTGGGAGCTTGGGGCACAGTGAATTTGCCCTTGGCATTATTAGTTCACTCATCCCACTCAAAGCCATAAGGGGCAAACAAAGTTATTCCCCTTCAGTTTTTAATATACTGACTACATTAGTCATATTTATATACTGTACTTCTTATTGTGGCTTCTAGAGCACCAGGTCAGTTACAGTATACGGTGGGCAACTTCCTCTGGCAGACAATGAACTATAGCACTCTGTGGTGGTAGCAGCTTCTCAATATGTAGTTTCTCCTTCCACTTTCCCTTTCCCTTTCTTTTTCAAAAATAAAATACAGTCCCAGAAGCTGCAATTACAGAGGAAGACTGTGGGGGAGGCAGTTCTTAGCCCTTTCCCTCCAACAGTTGTGTCCCCGCCCCCCCAGTAAAACCACTCTTTGCAAGTTGCTGAACACCTGCCTCCTCTCCAGTAGGATTTTGCTTGTGGGTGGGGAGCATATCAAGCAATATCACTCCATATTGAGCCCCTCCTCACTTCTACCTCTGCAGCTGCATTTTGTTTTATGTTTTAAAGATACTATATGTGATCAAGCACAACACTTCTCTGTGTCTTTTAATTTGTTTTAATTAATTAGACAACTAACCCAGATTGGAGTCATCAGTCTACTAGTTAAATCTTCCAAGGGTTGGGGAAATGTATTCTTTTAACCATGATAATGTGAAGAAGAATACATGTGTTAAAGGGAAGACCAGACTGCATGATGTTCCCCTGTGGGCCTATTCTCAGTTCTAGGGTCTCTCATGTGAATAAGCGAAGAGCCAAGTAAGAGGACAGAGGTAAGTGGGAGGTATATTAACTCCAGTGTTTCTTTCCCTTTCCCTCCAGAGGGCAGCCGTGTCAGCCAGGAGCTCCGGTACACAAAGGAAAAGCTAGGAGAAGAGTCTCTGTACACACCCCAGATGCTGATACAAACTCCCAAACGGGAAGGTGAAAACATCCTGACCCCAGAGGCCTTGGGAATGCATCTTGAAGCTGCTCTGGCTGCAAGCAAAGTGCAAGTCTTACTTTACGGAAAGTGAGTTTCAAAATGGAAAATCTATGTTATTCTCATAAGAAGAACATACACTTTTTATAATGGATTAGATGAGGATCTATCTAGTCCAGCATTCAGTTTCTATCAATCTTCAGGTGTCTCTGGGTGCTCACAAGCAGAGCATGAAGGTTATGGCCTTCCCCAATGTTTGTGCCCAGCACCTGTTACTCAGAGGTACATTGCCTCTGTAGCTTCCATTTAGTTAACATTCCTCTTTCCAGCAATTCTTCTGACTTTTTTTTTTTACATTCATTGCCTCTGCTTCTTCTTTCAGGTCTTGGGATCTCAACAAAATATGCTACAAGTCAGGTGTCCCCATAATTGAGAATGGAATGATTGCACGGGTGAGTTGCCAAGGGAATGCATGCATCTGCAGGGACAGGGGTTGCACTAAAACCCATAGAAATTAGGTAGATCAGCTGGGGAAAATCTCTTTGTTAGATGGCATAAATAATTCCCTGGGGTCTAGCTGGTTGGCTAGAGAATGGGGTGGGTCTTAGAGAGGATATCCAGGTTGCTATGGGGATAGGGTGGAATCTTTAAAAAAGGATGGTGTTACAAAGGAGCAGCTTCCCAAAGCACCCTTCTGGGTTCAGAGACTTGGACATTTCTGCATAGACTGGACATGCTTCTTTTTGCTAGACCCCTAACCCTGGTTACAATCACTCCTGTGTATCTGAGATAAGAGCTAACTATGAGGCTTTATTTCCCTTCCAGCCATATGCTGGGGGAGTAGAAAGAGGAAAGTCTATTTTATCCTCAACTGCTTTCAGCAGTGCCTGACCTCTGGTGATAAGAGTTTTACATCCTGCATGCCTCAGTTGCAAGAGACTGCTGTCCCCTTAGACAGGTATCCTCAGAGTGAGGACTTCCCGTGGCCCACTGTAGCCCATTTGGCTAGGACAAGTCTTCCAGGTTCGCATATCTGGGATCTGTTCGGATTGAGGGCTTGTATTTGGGATGGTACTCTTTGGTTCCCAAAGCCATTCACTGTTCCAAAAGGCTGCAAGGGAGAGAATGGGGAGACAAGGTTAGTTAAGTTGCAGTAGGACACTGGTTGTAGAGAGGGTAGTCCCACCTGCAATAAAATTATGTGAGCATTTGGGCAGGTCAAGGAAGGTAAGGGACAAAGAGAGCAGAAGAGAACTGGAAAGATGAACTTGTGGTTTTCCTCTGTGACTGTGGCTCTTGTCATTCCCAGATGATCGAGAAGCTCTTTCCTTGTGTTATCGTGACCCCACTGGACTGCTTTTGGGATGGTGCCAAGCTGCAAGGGGGTTCCGCTTACCTCCCGTGAGTACCTGTTTTTCAGGTGTACTTTTCTGCCCTGCTCTGATTGGCCTGTGAGGCCAAGTCTGTGTAGAAGGCTGTCTGTAGGTTAAGCATGTATCCAGCACAGGGATTGAGACCTGACATGCTTTTAGCTATTTCTTCTCTGTTCCCTATTCCACAGACTTATCTGGGCTTTAGGAAGTATGCTTGTCTTTACACATACACACTCTCACACACTGTCTTCTATCTCAGCCCCCCTCAGCTATTTGAGAGTGCTTTCAAGCTCTTTCACAGGATGTGAAGCATGATCATTTAGCATTTTCTTAAAGTGCCCAAAGCACTTCCACTTCCCTCACTAAACACAATAATAAATATAACAAACTTTTAAGGTAGGATAGTCCTATTCTTTCAGTATTAAAGAAGGCATTACTAAAGGCTCTTGCATCCCAGTGTGTTGGTGGATGAGCTGAGATTTGAATTGGGGATTTCCAGCTCAGACGTCACACCTCAAGCTCTTAACCTCTCGTACAGTGTCCCAGTTCTTATTTGCAGCTAAGCAAGGTCCCAACAAGGAGAAAGACATCTGAATGTAGCAGGAATGTTTGCCTGCAGTCACTGGTCAAGAATAAGGAGTAGAGGAAGAACCAGTCATGACAAGGAATGTACATGAGCCTGCCCAAAAAGATGGTGGCATCTTTTTGTGTTTTGTCAATAATGCTCTTTTACCACTAAGTCGGAGCTGGAGTTAACTGTTTGCTTTTAAGGTCTGCAGGCTGGATTGCCCATGGCAGGCATTGTTAGAAAGCATAGCTGCTGATGATGGAGGAGGAGGGGTTGCAAAAACACATTGTGGCTTCATAATTTTCCTGTACTAATAAGCGATAGGATCTTTGCCTAATAATTGGGTTTCTTGCTTGGCTTGCTTGGCACCTGTGGACAAGCTTCCTTCCTGTATCTGGTGCTTCCAAGGTTACTTCCCTACCTTTCAGTATGTTTTCAGCGTGCTTGTTTGGGGAAACGGAAACATAGTTCTCATTTTCAGTGGCACATATACTATTAAAGTGGCACCTGTGGCACAGGAAGGAGAGTAATGTCCATCTGCTGTAGAATAGCATAATTTGCCAGTTACCACCATAATACTACAGCTTTTCTCCTCTTACCTATTCCACCACGGCATGGCCAAGGGGATTTTGCTTACACACACACCCCCACCTTGTTCTGCAATGCCACATTAGGGAGGGGGGTGGTAACAGTTAGTGGGTGGTAGGATAGTCTCACATCCTCCAGCCTGCCCCCCACAGAATTTGGGAATAGGTCCACAGCCCCAGCAGTTTCTCCCTGTCCCACTTCCTAACCAGAGGGAAAACGCTTTCTCTAGTCTCCTACCCCCTCCCCTAAGTTTCTACTTTGGGGCCAATTGCTTTGTTTTGTTGCTCCTGCTGCCTCGTAATTATGTTTCTATTAAGGTGTACAAAATGGGGGATGGAGGGGGAGAGAGGGTAAAGATGTGGGGACCAGCCCCACTGGAGGCACTGGGGGAGGGAGGGCCAGGAACAATAGCCAGCATTCTTTCTGTTTACAAGTGTGTTTGTCCATAAGGGGCCCTGGAGACTTATGCTTTGTCAGCAAACGGCAACACCACGTATTCTCATGCTAATGATACTTTGAAAGCTCCAAGTTGCCCAACAAATGGAATAGTAGCTTTATTCAGCCTGCTGCTGAGAGAAAGGGGACAGGGAGGGAGGGAGGAGAAAACAGATTTCAGAAAAATTAAAAGAGGGAGGGATTTTAATATCAAACTGCCAAGAATAAGGGTTGGGGTAGGGTGAAGTGTTTTCCGTTGAACTCGGGAGCAGCACAAATGCAAGGTGTGGGGTTTTGTTTTTTTAAGGGAACAGGGTCTGTTTCATCTCACTGAGTTTATCTCATACAAATGTTGGGTGCTATTTGCAGGGTGATTCACTGAACAAAATGGAGAGTTACTCTTAAGCACCCCCCCAAAGGAGAACTAAAGGTTACAGGATTTGAGACTTTGGGGTGCTTTCAAGCTTCCCTTTTCTTTCCCTTTTTTAAAGTAGATGAAATATGGGGTTTTAAGAACACACTTTGCCTAACACCTCAGACTCATGTGCAAACCAGGGCAGTTGGCAAGGAAGCCTGGGGATTTTCTTGCTCTTCCTAGATTCTTTCATTAAACGTCATGTCCTTGCTCCCTTACTTTCTGTATCCAGTCTCTTGGGTTCCTTGTTTATTTATAATGACTCTCGTATCCCCCCTCCTCCACTGCTCAGAAATTTCACACACACACGTCCCAAAGTTTTCTTGTCAGTAGGTGGAATGGGGGAGTCTTTTCCTCAGGTCCAGCTTCCGCTTCAGTTCAGCTGAGGGTCTCTCTCTCCCCCCCCCCTCCTTTTAACGCAAAGGGAGAGAAAACTTGGGAGAACAAAGGGCAGCAATCTATGGAAAAACAAAAGGGCCCGACTTGGCTCAGTGAAGCAAGAAACAGCAGATAAAAGAAGCTCTCTTTGGGAGCAGGAGCTGGGCTGTTTGGAATGTGGGAATCAGGCAAGGAGGAACCTTCTTGGGACCTGGGGGTTCATGAATGATTGGAGAGTGATTCTGCTCCGAGCATGACAAGACTTTCCCTGCCCCTGCTTTCTTGCTTTCCACATCTTTTGCTTTTTCCTTCTGTTTTTTAAAAAAGAAAATAGCAAGCAAAATAGACTTTGCTTTGTGATTCCAGCTGAAAGGACAAAATGCTGCAACTCCCTTCTTCATATCCAACCACTTTCCCCCCCTTCTTCAACTTATTTTGGTTTGTTTGGCTACAAACTTGTGTGGAGAGACAGAAAAAATCCCTAGCAGCCAGCTCTCTAGAAAGAGTCTGGGAGACAAGCTTTGCCTATCAAGGCTTTCAGTAATTTGATAGGCTCTGAGAGTAGAGCATGTAGATCTTCAGGCCCTGATCCTGCATGGACAAGCTCCTCCGATTTTAATGGCTGCACAACAGGAACAAGAACAAATTCTCCTATTAGAATGGGGAAATGAACATGGAAAATCATACCTGGCAAATTTCCTTGCTGCAGAGCTCTTATAGACCCAGAAACTTAGGGGCTAATTACTCCGGGGCTATGTGAGCAGGATTGTCTCTACCTCCAATCCACTGGGAAGAAGTTGCTAAGATTGTATCAAGGCAGTGAGGGAGACTGCAGTCACCTTGCCACTTTCCCTTGCTTCTGTGGCCTCAATGATGCAACCACTCCATGACAGGAAGTTGAAGACAAGAATGCATGAGAACACCAGTGGAAGAGTGAGTGGCATCAGTGGAACTGTAGCTCCAGTCTCAGGGTTGTTGTTGTTTACAGCATTTAAAGCAGAGATGGGGAGCCTCAGGCCCAGGGACCTGATTCAGCCCTCCAGGCCTCTATATATGGTCCTCATGAATCTCCCTGGGCCACAGCTCTCACTTGCTCTGCTTTTTGGAAATAGGCCTCTTGTTAGAAATTTGCTTCTGTCATGTTAGGAAGATGCTGCATGAATGGCAGTGGAGGAGAGTTGCTGGATATAATCAGACCTGAAACAAGATGCCAGGATTTGTTTGGATTGTAGCTATAACCTTGATCTCGGAGAATGTGACACAAAGCCTGGATCAATTACAATATACTGGCTAATTGAGTTCACTGTCAAATTCTACTCTCTGAAGTTTCAAAACCTCCACCCTTTCCAACAGGTACTGGTCTAGGGAAATATCTTTTATCAGTTAATCTCTTGTCAGACCAAGCAGAGGATTTGCCCCTCGAAAAGTTGCCCATTTGGAGAGTTTACTATAATCAGAGATCCCTTAAAGACGATTCCCCTTTCTGCTAAACTGTATTCCTATCTGTCTAGAGCTGGAATTAATTCCTAAGCAACTCCCTTGTACTTTATACAGATAAAACTAGCCTCTATGGCTCATTGTGGCCTTTGGAACCATTCTTATTGCCTCTTCTCTGACCTTTGCCAGTACTTTATATGTTGCCAGAAACAGTCGTGCAAGTTGCTTGGGCTTAGTTCTCTGAATATCTTGTCTTAGTGGTTCTACTCTCCTAGCCCCAGATAGTCATTTTGGTGGGTCACTGACCCTTTCTCACAGTATGAAGCCAAGGAACATTTTCAGTGAAACTAGAAAGTGACCAAATAATGGAGTTTTCACAAGATTCTTGTGAAATTTACTGTCTCGGGATAATGTTGGGCAGAACTAGGCACAATTTGCCCTTTCTTTGGTGGGTAGGGAAACTCTAGGTCTAGTACTACATTTTCAGGGGGTGTGACCTTTCCTCTATAGTACAACAAATCTGTCATTGCAATGGTTGGAGATGAAGCCTTCCTGGGATAGATCCTTCCACACTTGCTCATTAAATAAGTTGCATGTTACAAGGGTTACACTTTTTGTTTGGGCAGAAGCAAAATGCCTTTTTTCCCATCAAGAAGCCTTTTCAATATGTGTATATTATCTAGACATCTATATAAACAGAAAGAATAAAATATGCACATAACAAATTATACTGCTGTGTACATCCCTGTGCACAAATGCATCAGGCCAAGTGTTGTGCATGGAAAATACCCCTCTTCCCTTTCCAGCTTTTGTTGAAAGATTCTCTTTTGCTTCTGGAATACACCCTGATGCCCCTACATGCACATGACCCCAGCCTACAGCACACACACACAGCTCTGGTGCTCCCAGAGGAGGCACTGTCCAGATCCTCTGGAGCTGGCACTCTAAACCAGATGCCAAATGAAAGCAGCATGCCTGATCCTGTTATGCACGGGAACAAAAGGAATGAAGCCCTATATCAGCACTGAGCAGACCCCTCCCACCCCCTAAATGAGTCTTGTGCAGCCAGTCAGGGCAATTAACGCCAGCGTGCTAACATCTTGATAGAGGCAGTGCTGGGAGAGCCAGGGCTCTGCATGCAAGGGAGAAGCAGTAGTACACAGGACAAGGGAAATGGACTTAAATTATGGCCAGACCTAGTATGTGGTGTGTGTGTGTTCAGAGATCTTCCTTCTTGGGGGACAAGTCCATGTTCCTTCTCTAGCCTCTTTATTGCTCCAAAGGAAAATAAAAGCTGCTCAAGTATGCATTGCTGCATAAGTCTGCTACAGCCCAGACATATGGTCAGGTTTAGCCTTGCAAATATTCACACAAATTACTAGCCTACCAAAAAATGTAGTTACCTGCCTACTTATACATATATGAATTTACAAGCCTCCTCTTAAAATCATCCATTTAATATAATCTGTAATAGGAATAAGTGATGCTATCTGGATACTTTTCTTTCCCTGTTAACCCATATTTTATCTCTGTAGGGGCCGGCGCGATATCCAGTGGACTAACTTAGACCCCATTCAACTGATGGAGGAGTTGGGTCAGTTTGCCTCGCTGGAAGGATTCAAGGAGATGCTGGATAAGGCAGAGGTTGGCCAGGCCTATATGGAGCGGCCTTGTCTTGACCCCTTTGACCCTGAGTGTCCTACAAGTGCCCCCAACAGCCAAAGCCGGCAGGTAGGTTTGAGCCAGGCATGTTCCCCAACTACTCAGTGTATTTCCCAAATGCATATGTAAATGAGAAAATGAATTCTCTCAAACAGTATACAAGGGGGTAAATATGTATGTCTGGACTGTTCTTCACACTGCAGATGACAGCTCATACAATGGCAATAAAACATTTGGAACTTTATCTAGCTTTCAACACATAATAAATATTTGTGTAAGAAAGCACATGCTTTGCATGCAGACAGTTCCAGATTCAGTCCCTGTCATCTCCAGGTAGGGCTGCAAGGGACTCCTGTCTGAAACCCTGGAGAGCCACTGTCAATCAACTTTGACAGAATTGAGCTAGATGGACCAGTGTTCTGAATTCATGTAAAGCAACATCTTATGTTCCTAAGGAGGAGAGTTCCATTTTATGGGTGTCTAGATCTGATATTAAGAGATGCACTAAGACAGGTTGGACAGCTGCACACACAATGCAACCTTCCTGTAACAGCCTATTTGAAAAGTAGAGAATTGTAATATTGCGAAGTGCACTCAGTAGGAATTCTGCAGAATGGGCACAAAATTTGCCACATGGGCAAAGAATTTGGTAAATGACGAATCTTAATTGGGATCACAAAGCTAAAGAGATCTGCAAATTCCATAGATAAATGTGGCAAAAAGGCGAGTGCCATTCAGTGCTCCTAAGACATGCTAACCAAATAAAAAGGCAGTTTCTCCAATTGTTATACCTTTGCTTCAAGATACCAGGAGCCAAAGTACCATAGGAGCCAACTCCTTTGCCCTCCCAATAAAATATTTGAGGGATCCCCCCCAAGTTGATGGGCATTGCCATTCAAATGGTGTGTGCGTGCTGCATCTTGTGATCGATTATGCAGGGTGGGGCTTACCTGCCTCTCCCCCCCCCAATGTTTTATTCAAGTTGGCACCCCTGCAAGGTACACACTATATACCATGACATAAGACTGATGTAGCCAAAGTAAATGAACATTCTGGCTACAAAAAGTAGAGCTGATTCTCTGGCCTGGACTCTGGGAGGGGTGGGGAGGAGGCTCGATGAAGTCACAGAGCTCTTCAGATTGTAACACATGTGCAAAGCAACAGAATAGCTTCCTTGTGTCTTGTTGGAGCTAGGGACCTCTTTTCAGGCACCGTGTGCCCCAAAAGGCTGGATTCACTGTGGGGTCCCCCATTTGGTTAGCTTTGCCCTTCTGCGTCCAGGAGTGTGGGGAGATGTGGAATGCAAGGCAGCGTGCCAGAGAGGCACAGGCAGGAATGATGGTGCTGATCCAGGCAGACGCAGTGCAAGTGCTCACCAGCAGGTGGTCATAGTTGGAATGTGTCCCAGAACAGATGGCAGCTTCGGAGCTTTTGGAAGGTGGAGGGGGGAGAGAGCAGTGTATGCGTACACACACGGAGCACATATGACCAAGGGCAAGCACAAGGAGCGGGAGGATGGAGTTGCAGCCATAATTCCACATTTCCTGGCTTGAAAGCCAGACTGTTATCATTATGGCTATCCAGTTTCTCTCGCTGCCACCACAGGAGCAGGAAGGAGATGCCTGTAGGATTGAAGGGAACACCCAGTGTGCCTGTGGGCAAGCACACGCACACACAGGATGATATAGTCAGAATGGATTCTGCAAACTCCTCAATCAAATGCAAAAAGACACTATGATTTATATGCAGAAAAGCATAGTAGTTGCCTGGTATAATACCGAGTCTTCTTATATTTCTCTTAGTTGGATAAATAATATCAAGCATTAGCTGAATTGAATTCATCCATCTGGTATTGTCCAAATGGGCTGCTTGTTGTTGTTGTTGTTATCCTTGTTGGCTGAAAATGTGGCACTGCTGCTTTGCAAGGTAGATAGATAGATAGATAGATAGATAGATAGATAGATAGATAGTGAAGCCATGATTGGCATGCTTTATGAAAGTGCTGTCCTCCAGCTTACAAGGCGATAGGAATTTTCCTGCTTTTCCCATTGCTTGATGCTTGTCTTATGACTGTGTGGGTGACTCACTGGTGATTGCAGGGCGACAGAGCCAGACTGATTTTGGGTCGTCATTCTATGAGAATACCTAGACCAGGGGAGAACCAATGTGGAGCACTGTCACATAAAAGCTAGAATCTATCAGATCTCTTTAGCTCTGCTTGCTTTCCCTGCGCAGAGATTGTGTGATTTATTATGTCTCAGGGTTCCAGGCATTATGATAATGGTGGCAATGCCATCTGGCATGTCGCCGTCTTCCATCCTCGGCAATCAGGGAGGCATCAGGCTGCTCCAAGGAGTAGTTATTCTGACAGTTGTTAGTAAACCTTCTTAATTGTTCCAGGCCAATGTCACTGAACTGAAATGTGGATTATTATTGTCAGATGTGAGGTTACATAGCTAGGAGCAGAATGGATTATTTCCAGAGAGGATCTCAAGCCTTGCCCATTATTGTTAACCAGCAGAATATGCAATATTATTATGTTTACGTATGTGGTGTTTGCTAAAAGAGAGCTTCTGTCTGTTGTATGCCTTTCAAGGGCACATGTGTATGTAGGGTCCCTATCAGCAAGGGACTGACCACCCAGGGTCATGACTGGAGGGCAGGTTTAGCCCCCCAGTCCAACATTGTCCCAAAGGGCAGAACTTTACTTTTCTCCACAGAAGAGGATGTCAGCTATTCACTAATGGGTGATGGTAAAGAGAGGCACTTGGGCACCTCATTGGTGTTTGGGCTACACCAGCTCCAGCCAGTGAGAATTAAGCCTGTTCCTATTTGTATAGTTCCCTATAAGGTTCAGTTACCTGGTCACTCCTGGATGTGACAGAATGCTGGAATAGTGTTACGGAATAATGGGAAATATTCTTTGTTTTATTTATAGAGACATGTATTGTTCCAGTAGCATCGTTAATGTGCTAAAGTGCTTTACATTTTTTTCACTATTTTATTTCCATTTATTGGATACAAAACTGAAGCTAATAAATGTTGACTTTTCCAAAGTGCTCAATGAATTCATGGTTGAGCAGGAATTTAAACCTGTTTTGGTCACTCAAATTCAATATTCTAGAGCAGGCTGCCTGTCCTACTGAGAATTTCGTGTGTGTGTGCGCGCAGTTTTTGTTTTGTTTTTTTACATGTGTCATTTGCAGAGGAGCAACATTTGCCCTTGCTTTCCATAACAGCTGGGTTTTGTTTTATTAGCCAGCTAGTCAGGGCTATAGCATATAATCCCTTAGTCTTAATCAGAACAGTTCTGCTTCAATAGTAGTAGTAGTAGTAGTAAATGTACACAGTGCACAAGTCAGAAGTATGCAAAGATACTTCTTCCTCCATGAAAAGCAGGAGATGGGGCTATAGTGGTGTCCTTAATATGCATCTAAAATACCTGTGCTTATGTCTGGAGTTTATGCTGCTATTTTACATTCCATTCTTGTTGTCTCCACCAGGAACCAGACATCCCCTCAGAGCTCACAGGTGGCTGCCACGGCTTCTCACGAAAATACATGCACTGGGAAGAGGAACTGATCCTGGGTGGCACCGTGAAGGATTCCCAGGGCAAACTGCAGGGGTAAGTGTGTGTTTGTGTGGCGTGTGTGCCTGTCAAGTCAGAGGTCTTTGGCCAGGAATAACTCAGTAGCTAAGGAATTCTTTATGCAGAGCAGATGGCTTTTCCCTGCAAGCAGGGCCAATTAAAAAGGATGGACAAAGTCATAAATGTTGTGTTTGAATGGTGAGGGGAGAGGACAGTGTGGCTCCTGGGAACTGCTTGGACTCTCGCTGCTACCCCTTTCACAGTTGGGGGTGGTAGTAAACTGCCTCCTGAGCCAGCTTGTAACTTGATGCCACTGAGGTTCATATTCTCGTGGGTGCATGTCCGCGACCTGACCCTAGGAGCAACTGGCTTGGGCATTCCTAAGCCATGGGATTTATGTTGATCCCTGAAGCTCTGGCTGCCATCACCCCTTGCCTCCCGAAGCCACCTCCCCCCACCCCAATTCCTTCCAGCTGCCGTGGATGCTGGAAGACACAGCACAGACACCTGCTTGCAGCAATCCGCAGCCCTGATCCTAGAAAGGGGCTCAAATGCACATTGGGAAGTTGATTCCACACAAGTCTGCACTGTGCTGGCACCTGCACTTATCTGTTCTGCAGGTTGCCATACCTTCTGTTTTGGCATGGTGGGGCACGTTCTGCATGCTGGTGGGGGCAGTGTCATAATCGGTGTCAGCTTTTAAAAACCATTGTTCTTCAGAGGGGAATTCTTGTGTCTCTGAACCCTTCCATATCTCACAAGGCAAAGAGCTGCAAAAATGGCTAAGGAATGGGCAATAGATTGGGGGCAAGTGTTATTGCTGCTATACATCGCCTTGCTTTGGTTTTAAAATCCCATGCAAGGAAGCAGTCAGAAAATGGGAAGCAGCCAGAAAATGGGAGAAAAGATCCTCACCTTTTAAAGTTGGAAGGCTCAGGCAGAAGAAAGAGATGTGCTTCTGATATTACAGGGAGGTGCATCTGCAGCCATTTCCAGCTCTTTTCATGCATTTCTAGAACACAATACATGCAGGCTTTTCTTGTTGTGTATAGATTGGGATGTATACATGGTGAACTTTCTATGCAAATGATCTGCTACAATCACAGGTCTGCTGGGAAAGCCTATTGGTTTTTCTCATGTTTTGTGTGGAACATTAGTCAGTGACTTGTTTTCCATGGCAGCTGATCGACATGGCATGCATACCTTTTGCATACCTTTTTGATAGGGGTGGCTAGCCACCTGTTTCAATTGAAAAAAGCCCCATAAGTAGGCTTGTGAAAGAACTGTGCACAGAATGAGGGCTGACTGTGAGATAAAGAAAGCAGAAATCAGGCTTTTGGTTTCTGCCTTGAGCCTGGGCAGTGGGGGAGCAATGGGGCCTAAAGGCTCTAGTTCCAGAGCTGAAAGGAGCCCTGCCTCCTTGACTGTGAGTGTAAGGGTTGTCTCTCATCCAGCTTCTGTTTCCTGCAGAGCCGAAGCCCTACAAAGCATGTTCCTGTTGATGAGCCCACGACAGCTCTTTGAGCACTACCGGGATGACTATGAGATACACGACATCAGCTGGAGTGAGGAGAAGGCAGCTGCTGTGCTGGAGGCCTGGCAGCGGGAGTTTGTTGAGGTGAGACGGACAGGTTGGTTTGTGGCATCTGTGTGGGAACTCCAGGGCTGTTTGATGCAGGTGTGTGCAAGGGTGAAGACACAAATGCGTCTACAAAAGGCTGAAAAAGTGTGTGCGTGGAAGGGAAGATGCTAGAAAGATGACGGGCAAAACTGCATGCAGGTCTGTCAGTGAGGAGCAGAATATTATGTAGGGCTGCATGCAAATATGCACCTGCCAGTGTAAAAAGGTTGGGTGCCACCATGAATGCTTACGAGCATGTAGAATGGCATGAAAAGCAATTTATAGGGTGAAAGCATAGCCAGTTGTTCTTGAATTGAGTGTATGGACCCTGTACAGTTTTCTGTCTTGCTTGGTATTACTACATGACATGTATAGCAGCATATAGGCTCCTTCATGCCTATGAGCCTTCATGCCTATGCCTGGCATGTAGATGGATCCTGTGGATGCATTTATGTATGTGAGAAGGATCCCAGCCACTGAGATGACTCTTCTCCTCCCAGTATCTCATGAGTCTTGCTTCTTTGCAGTTGGCCCAGGAATCCCTCCCTGCGAATTCCTCCCAGACTATCCATGCCTTCTCCACCACCACGCTCGATGACATCATGAAATCCTTCTCAGATGTGAGCGCCATCCGTGTGGCTGGCGGGTACCTGCTGATGGTGTGTAGCAGCTTCTTCCCTCTCCTCCCTCCCTCCTATTCCTTTATCATCCATTGTGTACTAAAGCATAGCTTTTCCATCCTTGCCTTTCTTCTCATTAATTGCCATCTCATTCTCCTCCACTTGCAGCTGGCGTATGCCTGTGTCACCATGCTGCGTTGGGACTGTTCCAAATCACAGGGTGCTGTGGGCCTGGCTGGGGTTCTTCTGGTTGCCCTTTCCGTGGCAGCAGGACTTGGACTGTGTTCTCTGCTAGGAATCTCATTCAATGCAGCCACGACCCAGGTAGGCCACATTTTGGAGAGGTCTGCCTTCCCTAATGCCCACCCTTTGTTCTCCGTCAATTTCCCCTCCTCTTTGCTCAGCAAGCAGGAGAACTGTCTACTCCATCAATTTCTCAGGTTATGCAATGCTGAGGTTATGTTCTGCCTCTCTATCCCTGCTTGGCATTAGAAGATGCTGTGTTGTAGAGAGCACTTGACCTTCAGGTGCATGGCTGTTCCTGAGTTTCCAATGACCATCGTGCTGCCTTCAGCAATCAGATCACTCTAGCTGCCTACATGCTGTTTCTTGTTCAGAAGTTCCAGAGGAATATACGATACTGCATATTCCCTAGCAGCTGAGTTTTTTAAAAAGAACAACTGTCCATTTGTACTGAGGCAGGTACAGTCTAGGAGTATGCCACAAAGAGAGCCTCAGCTAAGGTGCCTGCAAGGCAAGGAAGGAGCCTAATAAACCAGGTGCAGGTGACTCAAATATGTGTTAGCAGAAAGCAAAAGCCCGCCAGAGTCACCAACCAACCTGACTTTGGTTAACATGAGAATCATTTAGAGCCTGAGTATAACAGCAAAAGGAAGAATTTGTGGTGCCTTCCAGTCACATTTTGCAGCCTGAGACCTGTTTCTACTTTTGTGGGATTTGAGCAAGTCCTGGATGTGCTCCTCTAATTGGGATTCCTCCCATTGTGCTTTCCTCCATATCTGTATAGGTGCTGCCCTTTCTGGCACTGGGCATTGGTGTGGATGACATGTTTTTGCTGGCACATGCCTTCACAGAGACCAGCCAGCACGTCCCTGTCAAGGTAAGAAGGTTCCCTGTTTTTGCACAAGCTTTTGAGTCCCTATGCATTGCCAGTGCACGCTCAACCCGTCCTCAACTCTATTCTCACGGTTCCTCATTTGCACCTTTTCAATGCAGGAGCGGACTGGGGAATGCCTGCGCCGCAGTGGCACCAGTGTGGCACTCACCTCTGTCAATAATATGATTGCTTTCTTCATGGCTGCTCTTGTGCCCATCCCAGCACTGCGTGCCTTCTCTCTGCAGGTAAGCCCCTCTGCTAGGAGCTCCTCCGTGCAGGTTTGTCAGCAAACTGTGCTTATGCACATTTGCATTTTCTTTGAATCTCACTGCAGGCAAGCCTTCACTTTCACTCTGGAGGTAGCTGTGCCCCCAGTTTCCATGGCCTTGGCTGGAAAGCTGGGTGATCCCTCCCCTTGAAGGATAGATGCCCCTCCTTATACAGAGGGTGACTTGGCTCAGGATCTTCAGCATGTTTAATTGTTCTCCCTCCTTCATCTCCTTGCAGGCTGCTGTCGTGGTAGTGTTCAACTTTGCCATGGTGCTTTTCATTTTTCCTGCCATCCTGAGTCTGGACCTTCACCGGCGTGAAAACAAGAGGCTTGATATTCTGTGTTGTTTCTACAGGTACTGTCTTAAGAGAGTTTGTTTGTTTGTTTGTTTGTTTGTTTGTCCGTAAATAAATATGTGTAGCTGCTGGTGGTGGAGAGACAGTTGCCCCCCCCCCCCCAAAGAGTCCCTTCTCCTTTGGGGCAGTACTGCGCTCTCCCTGGCTAGGCTGGGCTCCATCAGATCTCCCAGGAGAGGAGACGCATGCTGCAATTGGGGGCAGTGGTTTGGAAAAGTCATTAAGCCCAAGAAGAGAGGATCAAATGCAGCTGTAAGGAAAACAGCAAGAGAACAAAGCCAGCTGCACAGATGGTAGTGCTCTCAACAACATTTTGAAAAACACATTCCTTTATTATGGTAAAAGTTTGTCTATAAGAACAAGTCAAAATGCACATCAAACTGCACATAAAATCAGCATACTCTGAAAAGCCCCTTTAAAGACATTGTGAAGGGTATCTCTATCTGCTCACCAAGAGAAATGGAACTTTTTGTGATAGTTATATCCAGATGCTGGGTGTGAGTTAGGATGCCTGGCTGGCTAGGGGACTGTGTGTTGCCCAGCAGTTTCTCAGTGTCTTCTTCTCCCCACAGCCTCTGCTCCTCCCACGTCATCCAGATTCAGCCACAGGAATACACGGATGCAAATGACCCCATGGCACCTGCTTTCCCGCATGGACATCCAGCACTGACCACAAGCACACGCATCACCACTACGGTTCAGGCCTTCACTCAGTGCGATCCCTCCGGGCGTCATGTGGTCACCATCTTACCACCCACCCAGCATGTCTATACCACCCCTTCCACTCTCCTGCCTGCCAACCCTTTGGGGTCGCAAGTCTTCACCCCTGCCAGCTCCACCCGTGATCTTCTGGCACAGCTGGATGAGAACAAAAGTGCCCAGGAGTGTGTGCCGTTGCCCCTTTGTCACTGGAACCTCTCCAGCTTTGCTCGCGACAAATATGCACCTATCCTGCTGCAGAGCCAGACCAAGGTAGGCAGCTGAGAATCACTTTCTTTGTGGGTGGCATTGTGCCCTATGTTGAAAGAAGGGGGGGGGAGTACAGCATCCTGGGTAGCAAGTCTGTGATGCCAGCACTACAGCCAATGGAGAACTAAAGCTCCCTGTTCTTCTCGGAGATGAGAGAACCAATCTGAAATGTAGTCATTGTGCATGTCATCCTATATGAGGACATGTTGCTGCTCTCCCCGTGCCCCGCCTATCAGGGGCAAAGATTGCATGTCCCGTGTAGTCATTCAAAGACAAGAGCTGTACATCTTTCCTAGTCTATTTTTACACATCCAGGAAGTTAGGTATGAAGGCTCTGCATCGTCCTTGGGTAATTCCAGATGAAGTGGCTGTGTCAGTCACAGATAATCTAGATGATCTTAGATATTGTGTGTGTGTTTACCTTTAGAGAGAGAGAGGGCCAGGTACAGAGTCAAAAGAACTATGTTCTCAAGGTTAATATATGTGTGTGTTATGTGTCCCCTTGCATGGAAAACTCCCTACCTGTCATTATTGATTCTCTTGCCTTACAAGTATGCTCCATACTCCCACAATATGGCACATGTTGATATAAACTCCATTAGGGGCAATTCATACCCTACACATACTGTAGGGACTAGGAAGTGGGGCTGGGTGGTTGCAGTTCCAGCCCCCAAGCAGTTGTTTGCTTTTCATAAACATCTGGCTGTCCACTGTGTCCACTGTCCACAGATTTTCTTCCATTCTCCCTATGTTTGTTAAGTCAAGTCTCTTGACAGCAACAGAGGAAAAGTTAGCTTCTGCAGAAGAGATTGGGGTCTGTGTGCATCCGTCTTCACTCTTTCCTTTCTGCATTTCCAGGGAATTGTTGTAGTCCTGTTCCTGGCACTGCTGGGCCTGAGCCTCTACGGTACAACCAAGGTGCATGATGGACTCTACCTGACGGATATTTTACCACGAGGCACAAAGGAGCACGCCTTCATTTCAGCTCAGTTCAAATACTTCTCCTTTTATAACATGTTTGTGGTTACAAAGGGTGGCTTTGACTACCCCAGCTCACAGGAGGCCCTCTACAACCTGCACCAGGCCTTCACCACCATCCAGTATGTTGTACGTGATGAGAACCGCCAGTTGCCGAAGATGTGGCTGCACTACCTCCAGGACTGGCTGCGAGGTGAGTCAAGGACACTTTGCCAACCCTCTCTCCTGTCCTGCACTGCCTCTGCCCCAAGAAGTGGGGTGGGATGCCCTCCTCCAGCTCTCTGTGCAGGATGCTTAAAGGCTAGAAGATGCATGGGAGTTTGGATGAGGTGTTAGTGGGCAGCTGCTTCCAGGGAAGGAAAGCATCAATGTCTGTTTCACAACCATGTTCAGCATAAGTGCTATAAATAATTTTTAGCTTCTAAGGAACCAGAAGCTCTTCATCTTATACACACATCCATTTAGGCAAACACTGTTTACAGCCTTCTCTGCAGTGGCTCCCCATCTGTGGAATGCTCTCCCCAGAGAAGTTCACCTGGCACCTTCATTATACACCTTTAGGCGCCAGGCAAAAACGTTGCTTTTTAACCAGGCCTTTGGTTGATTTGATTGATATCCTTTACCCTTTAAAAATGTGTTGGGGTTATAGGGTTGTTGTTTTTATTTTGATTATGTATTTTGTAGTTTTTATATTCTGATTATATTCTGTGAACCACCCTGGAACCCGTGGGTATGGGGCAGTATATAAATTCTATATAAATTCAATAAATAAATATAAATGTTTGTGTACATGCTCACTTGCACAGTTGTACATGTGCCCTTCTGCCTTCTAGGATTACCAGCTCTGTTCTTGTTCCTCTAAAGTAGGGACAGAAACATGTGGCAGGGGCTGAGAGATCTGAGTTAAACGGCAAAGGGGTGGAGGTCATGAAAGAGGGGAAGGGATTGGCATAGCTAGTGAGAGGAGCTCTTGCTTCTGGGCCTTGGGTTCCACAGATGGCACTCCCTTACCTGTCTACTCCCCTGTTGTGCAGGTCTACAGGTAGCCTTTGACCGGGACTGGGAAGCTGGGCATATCACCAAGGAGAATTACCGCAATGGATCAGAAGATGGTGCCCTGGCTTACAAGCTCCTCATCCAGACAGGCAACAAGAAAGAACCCTTAAACCTCAATCAAGTAAGTGGGGGAGCAATCTAAAAGTTGGGAGTGGGCAGGCAAAGAGAACCCAGTGTGCCATGAGAATTAAGGGTGAGTCCTTGGTGTACCAGGAGGGAAGGAGGAGATAGATCCCCACTGCAAAAGAATGGAGAGGAGAGAAAGCTTTCCCATTGGCATTTGGGGTCCCTTGGAGATGGAGGAACACATGAGATCTACATGGCTTTGGGAATGGCCAGCTGGTGCCCAAGCAGGGGGCTCAGCCCTATTTCCTGCCAAATGATAGCACCTGTCCAGTAGCACCCTGACCGCTGCTACTACTTACTATTAGTTGCTATACTTCTTAACCGCCCTGCATCCCTTCCATCTGCCTACAGCTGACAACTCGCCGCCTGGTGGATGAGAATGGGATCATTCCTCCTGACATCTTCTACATCTGTTTGACAGTGTGGGTGAGCAACGACCCTCTTGGCTTTGCTGCATCTCAAGCCAACTTTTACCCACCACCCCCGGAATGGATCCATGACAAATACGATGCCACTGGCGAGAACCTTCGAAGTGAGTTCAGGCAGCAGCCTCATTCTTGTTCCACTTTCCATCATGCATTACTGTTTCAGCTCAGTCCTATCCCCACTTCTATGGCAATTCCACAGTGGAAATCCTTACGATGTATGTTTCCCACATTTGCAAGCCATGCCTGGCACATGGGCAAAGGAAGCAATTCATTTTTGGCCCTAGAGATGGGAGTAGGGGGCAGAAGGCCACTATATCTGATGGGCTGCCTCTCTTTCTGACAGTCCCTGCTGCACAGCCCCTGGAGTTTGCTCAGTTCCCCTTCTACCTCAATGGACTGCGGCAGACATCAGACTTCGTGGCAGCCATCGAGAGTGTGCGTGCTATCTGTGACGAGGTGGCCCAGACGCATGGTGTCCTCAGCTACCCTAGCGGCTACCCTTTCCTCTTCTGGGAGCAGTACATTGGCCTTCGACACTGGCTTCTACAGGCCATCAGTATTGTGTTGGCCTGCACTTTTCTAGTGTGCACCCTGCTACTCCTCAATCCTTGGACTGCCAGTATCATTGTGAGTATCCTTCTTCATGAGCAACAGGGTGTCTAGCAGTAAGGGAGATGTTTTAGCTCCAGACGTTATATGTAGTAGCAATATGGCATTGTGCAACAAGGGAAATGGTCATCAAACACGGTCACTGTTAGTTAAATCAGTATTTTTGGCTCTCATGTTTAGGACAGGAAATTTGGAAATGGGAGTGGGGGAGAATTAGTGCGATGCTTCCTGTAATCTCTGCACAGTTGCCTTTCCGTCTCCCTTGCCTTACATAGTGTCCTAAAAAGTTTTCCTTCAATACCAAAGACCATTTTAAATCATTCAGGTTCTGCCCAAACTCAAAACTGTGCAGCTGTACTGTAATACATTTAAAAAAAAACTTGCTGCAGTAGTTTGCAGAATTTATTCTGACTGCAGAAATTGAGTGTTTTGTTGCAAGTCTGGAATGTTTTTGTACCTTCTCATATTCTTTTTAAAAAAAACATGAACATGCGCATATTTTCCCATAAACGTATTAAGGTTTGGCACACAACAGACACCATGTATGTATTGTACAGGTGTACGCACCAAGGAGCTGGGAATGAGACCAATTCCCACTGTATGCAGATGCAATAGTAAACACACATCTGCTACCAGATAGAGTGTAAAGTAGAGCTTTACCTTTGCAGCAAAAAGTAAATATCTTTTTCTCTCCTCAAGCTTCTTTCCACAGTGCTGAAAGAGTTAAGCCTGCACACTAACATGCAGGTGCTCTATTATATTTGCATCCTTAGCCACCTTTAGGGGTAGTGTGTGCACAGTCCCATACCCCTACTGTTTACCATACAAAAGCGTATAATGCAGCTCAAATAAACAAACAAACAAACAAATAAATAAATAAATATTTATTAATTAACAATCAAGGTATCAAACAGGCATGGTAGTAGTGGTTGGGTGATTACTGTTAACTAATAACCCGGTATTCATGTGCCACAATGAGATGTATGCATTTTCTGAATTAGTTCTGAATTCAGAAATTACATACATATGAGCATATGGATTTGTAGGTACCTATTCTTAATCTACCTGTTAACCTCTACATTGGGCTTTTTTCATTGCTGTAATTGACATGTCCATAACCATAGCTTGCAGGTAAGATACTGAGCTGTCCCTTCTCTCTGACGTAGGTATTCGTTCTAGCTATGATGACAGTCGAGCTCTTTGGGATCATGGGCCTGATGGGCATCAAGCTGAGTGCCATCCCAGTAGTCATCCTCATCGCCTCTGTGGGAATTGGTGTGGAATTCACCGTACATGTGGCTCTGGTAAGAAGCAATTGTGTGAGCACAGCCCATTCTGCTACCATGTCTAGAGCATGTGATTCAGTGAGACTTCCTCTTTTTGAAGCTCTGTGGGTCCATACTGAAAGGAATAGGGTTCCCTGAACACCCTTGCAGAGTTTTCAAGAGCTCTTTTTCACACCAGAGAACTTGGTGTGTGATATTACAACGATATACATTCAAATAGCTCTAGTGGCACCCAACCAGAACATTTAGATTATTAGGTTTTTATCTGTTGTATCAAACCTGATCAGTAGTGCAGTCTATAAGGGAGAATCAATAAATTGTGGGTTCATTACCCCCTTAATATCCCTTAATATCACCCTGTTGCAGTCTGGGTGGTCAGAGCAGAATTTAATCCATAATTGTGGGTGCAGCACCCAAGGGTTGGCAGTTCTTTTAATTAGTGCTGAATATAATGAAATAGCTGTGTATGGTATGAAAAGCAGAGTCCAAGCTGTCATTTCAAGATGAGCCTGTTCCAGCTCTGGCAATACCAGCCGACTCAGTGCGCAAGAACAGATTTGGGCTTAGCTTTTTGTTCTTTTTCCCAGTCTGCTTGGACAAGTCACTCTCTTTAGTCGCATTCTGACTGTTCGTCTTTTCTCAGGGCTTTCTCACGGCCATTGGCAACCGGAACCTGCGCACTACTGTGGCCCTAGAGCACATGTTTGCCCCTGTGATGGATGGTGCTGTCTCCACGTTGCTTGGCGTCCTTATGCTAGCTGGTTCAGAGTTCGATTTCATTCTGAGGTAATTGTCATGTGTCTCTCTTCTCCCCTGGTATACCTATTCTGGTGGTGCTCTGGACCAATGTGCTGGGGGCCATTTCCAGAGGTATCAGTAAAAGGAATGGCTAGAGAATGGGAAATTGTCTTTCTTGACATCTGTTGGGAATTTGGGTAACACCACATGGGGCAATAGGTCTGAAGGTCTCACTGATCAAGAATGGATATAAAGGCAGAATCTAATAGGGTTCAAGCAGCCCTGGAGGGGCACTGGTACATTCTGCCAAATTTGGAGAAATCTCCCTGTTCAAGACCACAACTTACAATGGGTTGAGGGGAAGACATTCTACAAGAAATTTATTCCTTCTCTGACACTTTGCCATATGGCAGCTAAGACTTGTGAGCTCTGCAAGTGTGCTGGCTCAGAGAAAGGGACGCTCTTATCTTCTATAGGGAGCAACCTTGAGCTGAGACTGAGGGATAGCACTTGTCAGTGCATGCGTGTAACAGTAATGAGTGTGCAAGAGAATGTAAATGAATGTGTGCTGGTGAACTAACTCTGTACTTGGCTGCCCTGATAAGAGGCTGAGATGCTTTACTGCCACCTGGGTAAATAAGTAACCCTCCCTCTTCACAAAGGCCGCAGAACTGTGCTGCATCTCAGCTTCCTGGGATGGGAAAGAAAAATATACAGAGCAGTAACTGATTTTCATCCTAAAGTTCTATTGTACGCAGATGATTTGCACAAATGACAAATCTGACCATTACTGACCACCTTGACCTCCCCCCAAAGGTATTTCTTTGCTGTGCTCACCATCCTGACCATTCTGGGACTGCTCAATGGCTTGGTGCTGCTGCCTGTCCTGCTGTCTATCATTGGACCACCTGCAGAGGTAAGAAAACTTCTGTTTCCCATCAGGTTGCTGTAGTGGAGAACCATAGAGAAAAGCAGAAGGGGTCCTATATCTCACTGTCAAAACCCACTGCCAGATTGAGGTGAAGTGCTTGAACAGTCACACAAGTCGTAATAGAACATAGGTCTTGGCTTCACCTGCTATCAATAGATTTCAGGATTCACTACAATGAATGGAAAGCCTGTGCCTCTCAGGGATCATGCACAAAGACCCTTTATTTGACACCCTGTTTTCTCAGTGTGCTTTCTGCTTTTTTCATCTAGGTCACACCAGCAGATAACGGTAGCCGCCTGCCGACACCGTCCCCCGTCCCCCCACCCATCAGCCACCACAGCTTCTACGTACAGCGGCACGGTGGAGCCTTTGGTGACTCCTCAGACTCCGAGTACTATTCAGAGAGCACAGGAGCATCAGACACGGGTGAAGATGACCGCAGCACCTACATCATCCCCCCAGCGCAATCACATATCTTGGTCAAGGCCAGCAAAAGCCCCAGCTTCCCCAAGATCACTGTAAGTGCCCATCAAGAGCCGGGGAAGCCAGAACTCTGGTTTCTCTGGATGGAGAGAGTGGTCTCAGCATTCAAAGGCAGCTGGATTCTAGTTCAAGTGTAAAGATAGTGTCCCCAAATGAGTTGGGAGGCAAGGCAAGAAGAGAACCAGGAATGTTTGTTTCTGTTCTTATGCTAGTATGTCAATAGGCACTGGACTGGGGTGGGCAGGTCTCTGTGAGACAAAATTCCTAGGATCTCTGGGAAAGACAGACCATAGCACCTTGGAGCATATCTTTGGGGTGCAATGTGGCTATAGTAATGTATAATGGGGTAATAGGAGTCTAGCTTCTATTCCCAGGTCCCAGGAGTTAAAACAGATAGAGCAACCCCCTGTAATGCAGGAATCTCAGCTAAAGCATCCGTGACAGATGCAACGTGGTTGAAGTCTCCTCTTTAGTACCTTAGGGCAACATAATTCACTCTCTTTGTGCTTCAGATTCTTCTTACTGAATTTGCTGCTTTATGGTTTGAAAGTTGCTGTCACAAGGACTCCATGCCAACTGCACTTGTGTTGTTGCCTTCTTCCCTTCCATATCCAATACACTAACATCAACCTTTCCTTTCCTGGGCAGGTGGTGAAAAGCTACAAGACTAGCCTCGAATCGCCTCTGTCGTTGTGCAGCCCAGACTGGACCCAAACTGTGACCCCTGGAGGACATTTGCCACCCACTGTCACAGAAGTCAAAGACGCTTCACAGCAGCAAGAGCAGCCAAACCACAAACAAAGGCCTCGGCTGGCTCAGACTGCCCCCAACCCCCCTCGGACCGACCCTACTGCCCACAGTACCAAAGTGCCGCCTCCTGCATCCGGTGGCACCTTCACCACAGTTACAGCCACTGCCTCAGTGATGCTGGCCTTGCACCCACCCCTGCCTGGCTCATGCCGGGGCTACACACACGAGGGCTTTGAATCTGATGGACCTGAGGAGCCTCGTAAAGACGCATCCAACAGCTTGGAACTGCAGAGCCTAGACCAGAGGCACTAGCGTTTCACTTTTGCCAGGCCCAAGACCTTGGGTCTAGAACTCCTGCCTCAGGGATGGGATGTGCACAGTATCCCTGGTGGGGTCAGGGGCCCAGATTGTTCACACATACACACACCACAGACTGTGAAGCAGGATGGATACCTGGAAGCTCTTGCACTGTGTTTAAACAACTGTAGACATAGACAGTGCCTTTGGGAACTGGAGCAAGAAGGCCAGATGAGCTACTGCCGTGAAAAGGTTGATGGGAGAATCTCTCAGCACCTGGTACTCCACTTTCCCATGCCTTGTTTCTCTAGGTGTTATCTGCCACCAAAAACATGCTGGGTTTCTTGGTTACCAGGACTTCTGGCTTCAAAACATCCCTAGTTTGCATCCTTACATTGGACTGTGATAGCCCAGATAACATTGTGCCCACTCACCTGCAGACAGGGAAACTTCCAATCCCATTGAACCTGGAAAATGAAAGTGACAATTCCCCATATGCTGTGTGAACCATCTCATGGCTGTCATCGGGGCAGGGCGAGAGAATCGCCCAAACACTGACCCTCCCATGGAGAGAACAGGACTCAACTTGTGCGTGGGGAAACTCCTCCCACATTGTGCTGCTATTCTTTTATTTTTATTTTTATTAATATTAATATTATTATTTTAAGCTGTATAAAAAAGAGTCACGAACCCTCCCCCTTATAATTATAATAATTATTTTTTATTATTTTTACAGCTCCCTCATTAAAAAAAAAAAAGTGGCGTGTCCCTTTAAGGGGAAACACCAGGGTGAGGTTGTAATGGAGAGAGGACCCCCTGGGCGTGTGGAGTGGAGGGAGCATGCAATGGAGGGGCACAATGTGTCTTAGCGCCTTCTATGCAAGCTGTGTGGGATGGGCTGCACTCTGCTCCTGCTTCCACCGGCATGTCTGCCTATGCCAGCATTCGCCATCTGGCTGTTCCAAATCCTGTTAAATTCCTCCCTGTCCTATCCCACACTACAAAAACCTTTCTGCCCTATTCTTTTTGCTTGCATGCCTCTTTATCAGTCCAAGGTAGCCCATCACACAAGTGTCCCATAAGTACTTCCTTTTAGAATTTACATTTTAAGCTTCATCATTTCCCAAGAGTATCAGTGAGGAATAATTTGTGACTAACAGAAGATGAGAATCATACAGGGCAAGTTTTTGGGCCCTGCAAGACATTTACCCCACACGGATGGAGATCAGAGCAGGGCTTTCTGGAAGAGCAGTTTATATGGGTTTATGTTTTTTCTGCTTCCATGTTTTAAGAGGTACTTCTCACAAGTGAGTTTGTAGTCTGAGACTGCTGCCTGAGTACAAAAATGTATGTGTACTGTGTTGGTTTACGAAGGAAGTGTTTCAAATGGAAATTTAAGCTTACTTTAATAAGAAAGCTGGGCGACCTTGTGGTAAATTCAGCCATTCATTGCCCTTGTTAAGGACAATGTACCGTTTTGAGTTTTTCAACACATGTTTTTCCTATACTGAGATTATTAGCTTCCTGACCTGCATACTTTCAGCACAAACATTCGTGCTGCACCTTCACAACTGATGGTGTACAGAACTTTCCCCCCATCTCTTCACAAATATTTCTGTGCAGGAAAAAAAATCATGTGTAAAATTATCCTTTGATTCTCTCCCACCTAAAAACATCCCTATGTAGTAATCAGAGCAGAAAATGTTCAACGGGAGAGACGAGTTGGGCAAAACATTCCATTTCCTGCCCAAAAGTATGAGTGCTGTGGTTGCTTTTTCTGTTTCTGAAAGATCTCTTTCCGGTTCAGCTTCTTTGGCTGAAAAACAAGAAATGAACTGTCGCTTGGCAGCAGGATTGGTTCTCAAGGACCAGTTCCATTTCCATCTGACATGCTTGGTTTCCACATAGCTAAGTCAAAATTGCTTTATGAAATGTTTCAGTTTTTCCATTCTGGTTCAGGACACAAATCAGAATTTTGCACAAAATTCAAAGTACAGTTTTCTGGCCAGCTCTGCCCTGTGCATCAATCACAAAACAACAGCTCACAACCTAAATCCTGAAACACAATGCTTCTTTTTTTATAAAAAAAAAAGGTTATTTTCTTTCTTACTTACTGACCTACTCTAAAGGAAAAAGATGGCAGCTGGGGAAAAATATTCTGTTTGCTAGGATTCTTGAGTGATTTTGGAACCTGATGGATGTGCCACAGTTTTCAGCACACACACATTTCTTTCAACAAGATACAAGGTTTGGGACCAAATGTATTTTTCACCTAAGACAGTGAAATAACTTTAGGTACTCCCGAAGTTTGGAGATTTTGGGCTTCAGGAAGAGACCCCTCCAACTGCAGAAGTTGCTTAACATCTTTCTGCACTGCAATTATATACACAAGTAGTTTGCCAGTTTCTCGGTGGCACTGACATTTGTAGTGGAATAACACTTTACAACTTTGTCTTTAGAATGAGATAAATAAGAAGTGCAGATGTCTTCTAGCTGTTCTTTGCCAACATGGAGTTGTCCCTTGGGGGCTTTGTGTGAAATTCTGACCCACTTGGGCATAAAATTGTGTCTAGTTTTTGGGCACAGAGACTGACGCACCATAGCTTACTTGTGTGAGATAGCAGGGCTGATTCACCTTTGAATCCACTTCCTCAGTGACATTCTTCCTTCTCGACCGCAGGCACTTTATATTCCCCCTCCCTTTCGCCCAATAACTGCTGTAATTATATCCCCCAAAGTATGCCGGATTGCCTATTCACTTCATGTTGCCAAGGGAGTTTCTGCTGAGATTTTCACATTTTGGTTGTGTGAACCCCCTTAGCAGCTTCAATAGGGTTGGGCCTTCTATTAAAATGGATTAATTCAGTTGATTTAAAACTAAGAACTGCTTCTAGGATCTGGAGAGAATTCCCTGCACACAGAAACTTGCCATGTGGCAGAGATTCCTCTGATCATTTAGATTTGTCCTGTTTTCTCACCATGAAACTATTTAGACCAGAAACCACTGTCAAAGGTAGAACCTAGCAGCATTTGACATGTATGCCCCACTTCTCCCACTCTCCTTTCCACCCACCCACTGCTTAAAAAACTGCTAAGTGCTTCTAGCTAACTCACAATAGAAATTGTGTTTCTCCTCCCCCCCCCCGCACCCCCGCCAACAAGTCTGTGACCAGCAAAGCACAGGAAACGGTGGAAAGGGGGACACATTGTGTGTGCATGTGTGTATCTGTGTGCGCGTGTGCATGTGAGTATGTAGCAGGTGTGCTGGAGACCTTTTAACCTGAAATGTTGTCATGCCATATAAATTATTTATATGAAAAGAAAAAAGATTTATTTTTGTAGTTTGTACAGACCTCTAGCCTTGCAATGGAAGTTTTTATTTTTAAAAGTAAATATATATTATATATAAACCTATCTTCTGATGGTGCCTGTGTGCAGTTCTTTGGTCCCCGCTTTGGAGTCTCTGTGTTTGTAGTCAAGAGTGTACCTACTAGACTGATGCAGGCTGTACGCATAGGTTTCTCTTAACAGGACAAATAACAGCTGGGGGAGGAAGCTTTAAGCTGGGAAATGGTGCTGGGGGAAAGGGTTAAACGCCTTTCTCCTCAGCACCACTGTCCTGGTCTGAATCTCCCTTTTGGCTATTATTTGGTAAAACTTAATGAGGATGCAATCCCATCACAGATTTCTGACATTGTGTCTTGTTTTGCTCTAGACTTCCATCTTAGAGAAGTGTGTGTTGATGAACACCAGGAGTTTGTGTGTGCATGAGTAAGGATGCACATTATATATAATTAATATATATGATGATGCATGCATAGCTGGACGTTCTTCTGCTCCCAGAAAGATCAAATCCTGCCCCAAGAAAGTACAAGCTTTGGATTAATTAGTTAAAGGAAACATTTTAATATAATTTGCATATTTTATTCTGACTAACCTGTTCACAGAATTTAAAATGTATTTTCAAAGCCTGATAGAGCACGGAAAGTACTGGTGCAGGAGCTAGAGGGAACCATCCAAAGTTTACTTTTTTCAGTCTTCAGCAAATACTGTGCTTTATTTTTTAAAAAAGGAAGAAAAGATCTGTGTGCCTTGACTTGAGTGTTGTCTCTGGACATTTTCACAGGTGGTACTAAATTACTTTCGATCTGAATTTATGATGCGGGAATATTACTAAGGAGACAGAATAAAGCTAAAGAGAGATCACTTAAAAGCAAATGTACATTTCTACTTAGTGTAATTTTTCGTGCAATTTACAGATGCAGAAAATGTAGTCGAGTACAATTTGTGAAAATTAGCTTCTGCAACCAGCCTGACAAAGGCAGCAGGAGACCCCAACAGATGAAGTTGACATGGCCAAAGATAGTGTGTAATATAAATGATTGTTATACTAGGTTATCAGTAACAGCCTGTAAAAGCATGAAATCTCTGCAGAAGAGGGAGACGATTCTGATGTAAGAGCTGGATTTTTTAACTTGGTTGGGGGTGACAACTTAGTTTCAATTCTTTATAAACTTCAATTAATGTTATAAATATGCACAGGTTTCCACAAACCAGCAGAAAACAGGTGTATGAAGTGGGAAGCAATTGTCCAGTGGGATAAATATTATCTTTGCTTCTCTGGAAAGTGCAGAGAGGGACTATGTAATTAGATCAACTTGTGAAAGAGGGCCTGTGTCTGCTTTCAACTCTTATTATGCTGGAAGTAAGACACTGTAAGTTCAGAAGTATGGAAAGGAGTCTGGCCCAGGAACAACACCCCCCAGCCCTGTATTGCCCTCCCTGGCACGATCAATTTCTTGAGCCTCCAACCCCATTTCAGCAATGGCTGTACTGCAGCTGCCTGGCAGTGTTTATTTTTCCAGTGTGTTCAGGAAGCTGGCATGGTGCAGCCCAGCCGAAGGGGGGCGGGCAGGCAGGCTAGGAGGTTGTCTTGTCAGCAGCCACAAGGACCACAGCTGAGCAGATTCCGCAAGCAGAGCAACAAGCAGAATAAAGAAAAACAAACCGAGACCAGAGCTTGCACACACACAGGCAGCATTGTAGACTCAGTAAGGGGCACCCTCTTCACAAAAGTCCATCAGACTTGATGGCCCTATTAGGTGTCCCCACAATTGTTTGTATCTTGCCATTTCTTTGCAGAGAGAAATTGTCTATGGGAGCAACCAAAGCACTGGGGGGCAGGCAGATGCTTGAATATACCAATGTGCAACTTCTGTTCAAAATTCAGTGGTTACTCCCAGGGGAAAGAATGCTGGATTAGAATAATGGAGAGCAGTGGAAGACAACTCTTAATCTTGCTAGTTCCAACCCCTCCCTTCTCAACAGGTAGGCATATCTACTAGCCCATTAAAAACAACTGTGGTCTGGGAATTAAAAATATGGTTCACTCAGCAGTTTGTATGGATCCAGACTTTGTGTCTGAGCGTTAAACGCCCTGCTCCCACTACCTGCCTCTTCTTTCCCCCTGCAAGATGCTTCTCAGCATGATATCACCACGTTTCCCAGGGAGGAGAAGCTTCTTGTTCAAGCCTATTGCACTTCTACTTTCGCTTTTGGAACTCTTCTATGAGATACTGCCACAAGATTTTTCTTTTTCTTCTTGTTCCAACACTTCTTGACATAGCAGCTGCTCCTTGTCATGTTCTCCCCCTATGTTATAGCCATTAATTCTGCATGTTGCAAGAACCTGATAGAATTTACAAGTAGCAGCCTATGGCTTAGTCTTGAGCTCCTCATTAAGTGACTCATAATTACCACCATCTGCAGTCTTCCTGAACTTCTTCCCTCATCTCTTTCCTAGTTTATCTTATCTCTTCTTTGGCACCATCTCTATCTAGGTTAATTTTCTCTTTAACTTCTCATTTTTGGCTATACATTCCTGAGTACAAATACCCAGGCAATGCATTAATTATGAACAGTGCACAGCCTATTCCTTTCCTGACAGCCACTTCCGTGTATATTTCAGGGGGCAGGAAAAAGGCCATTTAGGGACAAATAAAATGCGGCCCATTGGCACATTTACAAACAGAACAACTTCTCATGGGCAGCATGCACATGCCACAACCAAGCACACACACTTCTATTGGCTACAATTCTTCAAGCATCACAGTGGGAGGAGGAAACAAAGGAAAGGGTGCCAGGGAAGGCCTTTGTGGGTGGTGCATGTGTTCCTGTGGCATGCAGCATGTTGATGAACTCTACAGCAACACATTAAACCCTTTTCTGTTAACAAAGATGGCTTTAGAAAGCTCAATTTTCAGTGGCAAAATAGTGGGGAAAGGAATGAGTGACTTAACCTTTTCTCACCTGCTGTTTTCTCATGATAAAATCATTCCTCCACTGCCTTTTCTCATTTTTATTACAAGGACATGTTTATAACGCTCGGGGTAAATTTAGAATAGGACAGTAAGCAAGAAATGTATGAAGCATCCTTTGCCTCCAGCTCCCTCATGCAAAACAGCAACCTCTCAAAGTTGCTTTTCTTAATAAAAATATATACTGAGGGAACGTCACATATTTTTGCCACATGCCCTTTATATACAGGTGCATCACTGACCAATGCTGCACTATGTATTTTGTACTCCATGTTCAGTGGCTAAAATGTGAATTGGGCTTCTGTTACTCTTAGATAGACAGACTTCAGGAGCTCTATCTCTGCTTCTTTTCTTTTCCTTTCTGCAAGAAGCCAGAATAGTGCACTTGATAGTACATATTAGAGGTCCAATCCATGCCCTTAAAGCTGATCAGCTGAGCTATCATGTTGGCCCTGAACAGGTTAGTTGTGCTGTTAAAAGTTTAGAGAACAGACTCTGGTGTGTGGGCACTTGGCCCTCTTGCAAGCACATTTAACCCAAAGAGCAACAGAGAAGGCCTTGAAGGAGCAAGCTACGCTAGTCAGAAGACAATAGCTATTAGTGATGGTCTACTTCCAGTTTGTCTAGGCCTGAGTTTAAAGGCACTGGCTCATTCCTGCCTAGGTGCCCTACTAAATCAGTGCCAGTGGTTAGAGATGGTAATTAATGTGCTTATTTATTAAATTTCCATACTGCCCTTCATTTGACAATCACAGGTGGCTTACAATATAAAAGCACAAAAACGCACAACAGTGAAAAACATAAACAATAGCCCCCCCCATTTAAAAAGCCATATATTGTTTAATTAGCCCATGAGAAGAGGAATGTTTTAGCCTAGCACCTAAAGATACCGTATGTAACAAAGGGGCCAGGTGAGTCTCCTTAGGAAGAGCATTCCACAAGCAGGGAGCCACCACAGAAAACACCCATTCTCATGTTGCCACCCTCCAGATCTCTCGTGCAGGAAGCACATGAAGAAGGGCCTCAGATGATGACTGCAGGGTCTGGGTCAGTTCATATGAGAAGAAAAACCCTTACACAGCACTCTTAGGCTACAAAGCAAAAATAGTCTTCTACAGCCCTGAAGAAAGCTGAATCTACACAGAAAACACAGAATGAAAGCACACAGGACCTGTGGGGCAAAAGAAAGAAACGTCTTTCAACTGTCTCACAGGCCAAGTCTTGTGGTGCTTCAGTACAACAAATTTATGTCACTATCAGGTTGTTCAGATCTATTTTTTCTGAATGTGCAATTGGCACTCAGTTTTTTCAGTCTTATGTTTTTCATATCACACCAGCAGGCGGTGGTCGTTGATGGAAAGCTTCCATGCTGAGTTTCTGGGCCCTCTCCTCAGTTACTACATTCACCCTCCACTACTGTTCTCCATTTTGGGTTCACACACAAGTATTTCTGTACCTAGGTGCATGCACCTTTTCCAAAAGAAATCACTGGAAATTTTAAAGAGTGAAAGAGCAAATGTTACCAGCCCTTGGCTATCATGCTTCAAAACTGGCAATATGGAGGGTGCTGCTTTTGAGTGGGGAGGGTGGGCAGCATCTATTTTTATTTTTATTTTGTTTGTTTGTTGCTTAAGGCCAAGTTTTTGCACAACACCAGTATTTCACTGTAGCAAAACTCTAATAAAGAGTTACATCTTCGTTCCTTAACAGATTTTCTGCTGCATGACAAAAGCCACATTAAATGTGGAAAAAGTGCGGGCGGTCATCTCGATGGCAATGTTTTGGAGACGGGGGGGGGGGGATCATGTTGGGACAGCACCGATTCCACAATAAACATCCGTCTGGAAGCGCCCTTGGCTTGGCTGAAAGCAATCTCGGGTCTTTCGCACATGGGCTAGACTACAGTGCCCCCTGCTGGGAATGCTATCAGTCACAAGAAGTCGGCTCGCGCTTGTTCTCAAGTAGCTTTTGTGTGAAAACCAGCCCAAGAGACCCCGAGAGTGACCCATTAACCAACCCACGACTCAGCCTTGCTTCCTCAGCCGCGACTTCCCGCTCTGCTGCTTCCACCTATGAGGCCGCTCGCGGCTCAACGCCTTACCCCCCGCACCGCATAGTTAGGTCACGTGCTTGCTTATAGGGGCTGTGCCGTCCTTATGGCTACCATAAAAGGTGGCAGGTTGTCCTCACCTGCGGTTTAGGTTCAGTCAAGTAACCGCTCCCTGCCGAACCACGGGGTAGAGAGCGAGCCACGTGCAACGGAGAGCAAGGCTCCGCCACAACTTTCACAGCTGAGCTGAGAATTTCAGCAGGTGCAGCAGCTGGCGATGCAAACGGCTGAAATTCCCTTTTTTGCACGACTTATTAAAGAAGGTGCGGGAGCCCTTGCTCTCCTTTGCACCTGCGAGTCGCGCGCTCGTCCTGCTACTCGACGCGCGTGGCCTGGGGCCTCATCCCCACCCGGGACCGGCGCGAAATGTTGAGCCACCTGCAGTTCCTCCCTCACGCATCATGGCGATGTCGGGAGGGCAGAAATGCATGTTCCCCTTCTGCGCGACTCTCCAGCAGGCGCGCTCTGGAGCCCGGGGCACGGCCCTCTCTCCGCGCGCGCGCGGCGGCGCTCTCTTTCGGTGCCCCTCATTGGCCTGCTGTGTGGTCTGTAATTAATCCCCCGCCGCAGGGTGTCGGGGAGTTACACGTCCTCGCCCAGCAGGGGAGCCCCGGCATCCCCGGCTAATCCCCGTTTCTTGTCGCTCTCCTCAGGGGGCCCGCCGGCACCTCCACCAGCCCCTCTTCCTCCCTGTCAGATTCGCAAGTGGCTGTGCGCAGGCCTAAGACGGGGGAGGAAAGCGGCCATCGCCAGGGCAGGCGGTGGTGTTCGCCAATTTACAGAGCTTAACCCCGCAGCAAAAACTGCACAACGGTCCCGCTCGCCGCCTCCCCAAATTCCCCAAGGCTCTCATGACTCTTATGTGGGGAAACCCGGGAAGGGGCGGAAACGGCTGGGAGGGTTGCAAGAACCACGCCGGCCGAGATAAGAGAAAGCGGGTGGGGTGGAGGAGAGGAGCATTGAAGAGCAGCTCCGAGGTGCTGTGAAGTCGCGGGATTTAAGCTTCCCTTCCTGCCCCGCTTTGCATGACAAAAAGCCCAGCTGCAGAGATGACACCGTCCCTTCCCCCCACGCCAAATTCACCTCCCCAATTACCAATCAAGCCCATTATGCGGCTACAAAAGCCTTCAGCTCCGAGGCCCACCCAGGCAGCCAACATACAGACAGTACATCCTCGACCCATGAATGGAGCCATTTTGCCAGAGTGTTCCGTCTCCCCTCTTCTATTAAACGCAGCCCATTGCTGTTACTGGGAAATAAATACTAGTAACTGCTGCTATTTGAGTAAAGTGAAGCTCGTGGCTTTTGAGGGCCACAGTCTCCATTTAGCATTGGGAGCAGGCAGACCCTGCTGTTTTGGAAAGCTTATCTTCAAAAGGTGCTTCGCAATCCCCCAGAAAAACGTATATTCCGGGTTCTGTATTCCCACCCCACCCCTCAAATTCTTTTCAGAATGTCAGAACTCGGCCTGTCTTAGCAAACCGTCTCTAACAGCTAGCCAAGCACAGTTCTATTTCCCTCAGCCAAAGCGGGACAGCTTTGGTGAAAGGCTTTAATGAAGGTGGTACCAGAGAAAGCCTAAAATCAAATAGAAGCAGGGATTAGCAGGAGTGTGGCCCCTCACAGTCAGCAAAGCAGAGGAGGGGCTGACTTTTCCTAAACCTCAGCATCATCTTATGTTATTATATTATCTCATGGGTGTAGCCAAGTGGGGGCAAGGTGGGGCAGCTGCCCCCATCAGGTAAAACAATAGAAATACTTAACTGACTGATCAATCACATTGGTTCTGCCCCCCCAACATAGTTCTGCCCTCGCCCAAAAAAATCCTGGCTATGCCAGGCCATGGGATTATATTGGGCTCCATTGTGCCATACCGATATGCTTTGGACGGGTAAGGAGGATAGCTGAACAATTTGAACAAAACAATCTTAGAATTAAAATGGTCAGACCACTCCTTTTAATTATGGTGCCATAATGCCCACTGGTGGCCGGAGCTGACCACTGCAACTGCTGAGACAAAAACAGGAAGACTTGGAAGAAGAAAAGTGGGTGGAGGGAGTATTGAAAACTTTGGACTGTAGTTCTGCACAGAAGCAGGCATGGAAATCACTACAAAGAGGAGGATCCTGAACTGTAACCTGAGGATGAAGTCATTAACAGTGTTGGTGTGTAATGAGGGGACAGTGTAATTTAGTACTAAGAATTTATGGTGCTATTGCTTGTGGATTGAATATATCCCCCCCCCCCCCGATTGAATAGATTTTTAGTACATTATGTGTGCTAATTGGCAGATCAATACCAGGATGTCTATGTCATCAAGAACTGTTTTTCAAATTACCGGTACTGTATTAAGTACATAATTATCACTGTACTTTATTGCATTTCCTTTCCTTATTACAACCCTCCTCCCCAAACAATGTGCATCTAAACCTATAGCTCATGATAACACTACACACATCTGATGCAGTGGATGGTAGTCTATGACAGCTTATGCTAGTCATTAAAGTGCTGTAAGATTCTTGTTTTCGCTGCAAAAAACCCCAATACTCCTCTAGAACTTATAATTAAGCTGTGGCCCTCATGTTTATCTTCAGCTAGAAAGATTGACAGAGGAATCTTATAAACATCACCTCAGGTCAATGGGATTTGCTCCCAAGTAAGTGGGTTTGGAACTGCAGCCTAAGGAGAGGTACAGGTTTCAGAAGAGAATTAAGACTATTCTAAAATGTTAACTAACAACAACTATATTTTGCAAGTGTCTGAATCTCTTGTTTGACATCTTTCCTGAGAAAGAAACCAGAATTATTGAATTCTGGAATCCTACATGCCATTGTCCACTTGCTGGCAACTTGTGTCAGAAATGAAGAGTTTTTCACCATTCCCATTTTTTGTTTTGGGCTCACTAAAATCCAAGGGGGCAGGCTGTCCATTTTATTGTATCTGCTTATCAATAAACTGCAAGCCTCACACTTGGTAATTTATTATATATACACATACATGCTTTCTGGATCTTAATAGTAAGAGATTATTGCATGTATGAACTATGTAACACAGAAGAAATGGTTAACAAGGCCTCAAAATAGACTCACTCCTCCCATGGGCTCACATCTGTGTCAATAGCCACACAGTTATAAGCCGCATAACGCAACTTTTCCTCGCAGACTTTCGCCCTATAAGTGAAAAAGAAGAATCACATCAACATTTTCACGTACCTTCTGGTCATCCCAAACTCATCTCTGACTCCCCAAGATGCTATGCTTCTGTAATTAACACCCCACATTGCTAATACTCCCATCTCCATGCATATTATTCTCAATGGCAGCCACACTTCCCAGTACATTGTCCTATTTCTTAGCCCTCCCCCATATCTCCCCCACCATAATCCGCTTTGCATTGCCACACTATAAACTGGGAATATCATGTCCCTGGTCACTTGGTGATACTCTAGGCACCTTTAAGTCACCCAATGTTCTTCCCATAGCACGCCTCCCAAACCTTTCAGCTGCCTTTCCCAGGTCCAATACACCCTTGCCCAAGAGATTTATAGAACAAGACTTACGAAGCATAGTTTGGCAAAAAAAGTGTGCTGGAGCAAGTGGAAGATTCAGGAAGTGCATCAGTGGTTTCAGAGCTTTGAGAGAAGAGATAACAAATCAATGAGATCTGTGGAGAAGGCTTTATCACACAACAGAAATACAAAATGGCTGCCAATCCATCATCACTCACTCTGCAATATGATGCACGTTAACAGAACATAAGGAGAGCCCTACGCGTCAGATCAAAGGCCCATCTTGTTCAGCATCCTTTTCTCACACTGGGTAGCCAGATGCCCATGGGAAGCCCCCAAGCAGAACTTGAGCACAGCAGCACTCTCCCCACCTGTCATTCCTACAACACTCACCCTAATTTGTCAGGATAGATATAAATCCGAGCAGGAAGTCGGCTTCTTCCAGTAACAAACCTCAGGAAGCGACTGCGATCCTCTGAGGGGAAGAGTACACAACCATCAGAAACTCCCAGGGACATCTCACCGGAAGTCATTATCCACAACAAGCTTGCCCAGTATGCATGTGGGAATGAAAACAAGACCCAAGCTTTGAATGGGAGCCAGTCAATGTTCGAGGTGGGAGTAAAAACTGACCCTCCTAAACAGGGGGAACCATTCAGTCGGGGGAGCTGTTGTAATAGCCTGTTTGGGGCTATTTTTCTCCACTGCCATCTCCCATTGCCACATTGCTGTGACTCCCTCCAGGTTAAAAACAAAACCACTTTCTGGGAGTGGTTATGAGCCACAGTGGGAGGAGCCTCTCAAAACCCCCTGAACCTGCAATTCATAGCACAGATTTCTTCACATCATCACTCCACAACAGTGTGCATTTACTAACATCTACTTACCATTAGTAAAGTTGTTCAAGGCTTCCCAGAAATACTGAATTCTAGTATCTGATGGTTCAAAATCCTCAAAGCGAGCTGTGAGAAAAAGAAAAACAGATACAGTGGTACCTCGCAAGACGAATGCCTCGCAAGACGAAAGAGTTTTTCGTTTTTTGAGTTGCTTCGCAAGACGAATTTCCCTATGGGCTTGCTTCGCAAGACGAAAAACGAAAAAAACGAAAACGTCTTGCAAGTTTGTTTCCTTTTTCTTAAAACCGTTAATACCCAGGGTGACTTCGAGGAGCAACTCATAGCACGCGGTGTGGTAGCCTTTTTTGAGGTTTTTGAAGACTTTGGTGATTTTGAAGACTTTGGGAAACCGTGCTTCGCAAGATGAAAAATTCGCAAGACGAAAAAACTCGGGCAGAACACATTAAGGAAGAAAGGAATATATACCTAGGCACATGGATATGAGGTGCTAAAATGCTAGCTCAAAATCATAGTACAACCCACCGATATGGCATTTGTACTGTGAATCTCCACTCAGTGCAGTAGCTGAATGTGGAGTCGCCACATGTTTTATGATGACATCATGCGGTATGTTACCCATGAAGAGTGCAAGGTCTCCCACACTTACTGAGCTTCTTTAGAGCCTCAACGGTAACTTCAGGGTCACCACAGACCTTCTTCTCCAGTTCCTGCCAAGTGAGCAGATCCAGTACTGCCTGAGGCACTACCTTGAGAAGTCCAGCCTGCATGGCCGCAAGCTGAGAGAGTCAGGAAAGAAGAGACAGATGAGATGGGGCAAGGAACCACAAGTCAGCACCAAAATCCTATTGCCCAAATGCTATACTGAATTACCTGCTCCTTGCTCTCATTTAGCCTTGCCTTCTGCACCAGGCGGATGAAATCCAAGCGGTCCTCATAGTGCACCACAGTGCGAGTGCCACCAGGGATAAGCTCCACCATGCACTGGTCGCTCAGCACAGTGGTGTATGTCAGCTCATGCCCAAACTTGAACTCAAAGGTCTCTTTGTCCATTCCTTCCATCATCTCCAGAAGCTTCACCTGAAAACAAGGAAAGGGATAATCTCACCTATGCCCAAGAATGCAAGGAAGTGGCAGACAGGGATTTTATAAAAAACCATAGCCATAAATAAACAGTTATTATAAGATATTGTCAAACACTTTCTATCACCTGGAAGCTTGCATTATGTCTAAAACTGTGCAGCTGTTATGGTTGGAAGCTGCAGTATTTGTGTGTGGACCATTGCTATGTGTTCAACATCATGAAATGTTGAAGGAAGTTTACTTACGCACCCCTTCACCCTCCCCACTGGCAGATTTAGAAAACAAAATGAAGCCAGCTGCTCTGCCATGCCAGTATCCAAATCCACAGGCCATGCAGACAAATGCTAAACAGAAATCTGCACCCCATGTTTCAATAGCGACTCCTAGATACACGTCCTGGTGACTCACCAGCACAGAGTCAACAGCAGGGAAGTCCTTGCTCCAGCTCACTTCCTCCCCTGTCAGTTGCTTCCAGACAAAGCCAGGCAGGGCCAGGACCTTAAAGATAAGAGGAAGGAGAGATGCAGCACTGCAACACATTGCCTCCAGATGTGGTCTTTTGTATCCCACTATGCTCAAAGGAAATGTTCAGGAAGGAAGACAAGGCAGTTCCTAGATCTGATTTTATAAGAATACTTGCAGTTATGAATGATTAGAAAACAATTTGGCACAGTTTGGCACAGGAGAAGGAAAGTCTGGCTTCCACTACCGGTATCAAAGAAAGACCCAGCCTTCATCCTATACTCACCAGGAACTCCTTGCCACGCAGGGCGGCTCCCATGATTTGCCCAATCCACTCATATTTTGTGAACTCTTTGCAGGACGGGTTGGGGACATACATGTCTCGGGCCTCTCCGGTACCACTGCCCTGAAACAACAGACAGTTCAGCTCAAATGTCCTGATAGGGACATAAAAATGAATGTTAAAACACATGTACAATCCAGTCTCTCTGCATTAATTTCCCCATGCAATAGTGGCACACTAAATTTCCACACTGACCAGGACTAAGCAGAGGGTGGATACAGCAGGAATAAAAGTTGGATTCTGGGAAAGCTGGAACCAAAGGACAGTGCTTTGGTGTCCATATTCTCCCTCAGAGAGCATTGCTACCTAAGCACTTTCCTTTCTCCAGAGCTTGCCCGAATCCTCACATTGACAGTCTCTTGAGACTCATGCTGCTCTAATATCCTTAAGAGGAGGAAAGGGTTAGCTTCATCAGGGAGCAAGCACCTGGTTGGACGTGCGGACGAAAAAAGGCAGCGGCACTGGAGTCTCAGCTGAACTAGGACACAGCTCCTCAGACATATCAGCAATGCTGTCTCGGAAACCGCCACCTGGGAGAGAGAGCACATGGAAGTGTGTGACCAGCTTTGCTATGTTGTCACCACCTGCTTGCGTTCCTGAATACATTAGCTGGATTTCAGATTTTCCCACTCACGCTCTTGAGGCCTATCCAATTTTCTGTAGGATGCAGAAAACCCTGAGAGGACACAAGAAAAATATTTGAAACTATGTTTTCTCCCCACCAAAATCTCTTCACACTTGGCATTCTCCCTGGTGGACCCATTGGAGGAGGGGGGCTCAGGCCTCCGTTGAAATCTTCTGCTGTAACCAATACTTCGATCCCCTTCAAGGATGCAATTGGTTTAACAGCCAACTCAAAGGCAGCAGCAGAGTTCTCAACACTGAACCGCTGTACTACAAATCACCATCCTTATTGTTTATGCTCCTAACCAGAACTCTGTTCAAATAATAATAATAATCTCCAAAACTGACTCAAAAGAAAACCCAAATTTTCAGCTTCAAACTCTGGAAACTGTCAGAGATCAAATTTCTATTAGCTACCATTTTGGACTACACAAAGTGCAAAACTTACCCTGATCAATGATGCCCTCAGCAATGAATTTACACTCCCACCACTGGTCATAACGTAGCGGCCACCTGAGATGAATGAAAAATGGTCACTTAAACCTACCTGTGGAGGCTTGTGGGAGGCACTGCATTGCTGGTGAAAGTGCAATTATTCTAGCGCCTCTTTTTCCCAGTCGGAAATCTTTTGATATATTATTATTATTTCCATTTCATTTCTATACTGCTTTATATTTTTAAGAAATATGGTAATAGCGCCATATTTCTGTGTGGCCCAGAACCTACTAAGGTCCTTGAATAACTGGCGTGTTGCAAATATTTGCAGCAAGCTCTCATTTATAAAAATAAGGCTCTGTTTTCTTTCTGAGGATTCAGCTTTCACTTTACTCGAAACTTTGTTGTGCTTGGCATTCAGTTACTTAGACTAGAGACACCAAGCTGGAAGGGGCAGGGAAGACACAGGTGGCTGCTGGATGAAAAAACTCACCTGTAATCCAGGGCCTTCTCATACTTGTCAGAAGGTTTTAGTCCCTCATATACCTAGGAAAGCAGACAATGCAGCAGAGGCATCAAGAGAAGAATCCTGGGCAATGTGCTTACAGATAGCAAAGCAGGAATAGGCATCCTCTGAAGGTCTTGATGAATTTGTTACATGACGACTGGCAACAGGCAACATGCACCAAAGATGTACAAGAAGTTCTTTTGCGCACTGCACAGTCAGGCAGATCCCTAACAACCACCAACGTATGTGTAGCAAGGGACACACATTAAATTAAAAAGCTAGTGTGACAAAGTGACTAGAATAGCTAGGGTTGGATGTAGGAAACCCAAGTTCAAAACCCTGCTCAGCCATGAAGTTTATTTAACACACTTGGGCAAGTCACTAACCCCACAATATTAAGAATAAAAAGGTATAACCTCATTTATGTCAGCTTGAGCTCATTGGTGAAAAGACAGGATAAAACAAACAGTAAACAAGCAATGAACTACAATTTCCAGTTACCCCAATGCCTTAGAAATGAGAATGAACCATAAACACATGATTCCTGCAAATCTGAACTAACATACACCTTGAAATTAGAGTTTAGAGAAGCGTGAACTAATTGGTTCTGGGAAAGGTATGTTAGTTATTTAATCCCATGTGAAAGAGGAAATAATCATCATTTTATCATTTTATCTGAGGTACATTGTGCATGTGCGTCACCAGCAGCCACTGCTGAATTTCTTCTTATATTATAAAGTGAGGGGCTCCAAAAACACACGGCTCCCATTAGCACAGTAAAAGAGCAAAATGGCTAGGGAGAGGCGAAGGGACTGTGAGCTCCTCTCCCTGAGCCTGTATGCTCATGTATTCATGCTAAGCCAGGGTTCGGGTTAGTGTGACATGTAAACCAGGCCACTGAGTGGGACTCCCAACCACACAGAAGCTGCATCGCCCTGCAAAACTGTTTGCTGAGCTTATGCTCAGAGATGGATCTTGCTTTGAAGGTATAGGCTGAAAAAGCATTTCTGGAGTACAATAGGACAGAACACATGCTGCAGGTTGCAAAGGCAGAAGACTCCCCCCATCCCTCTTGCCACAGAGTACCTGCTAGTGGGTGAGCTGGCCTTACCTGAGTGAAGACTGTGTTTTTACAGCTGGGGTCAAGTGCAGGATTGTCACGATGCTCCATGGCCAGGCGACGGTTGATGTAGAGCCGTGGCATGAAGTTGGGCTTGCTAGTCTCTGAGTCTTTGAGGCACTGGGTGATTAGCACTGTACGTCTTTTGGACAGCAACAGGAACTGTTTGATGTGCTATCACGGGCAAATCAACACTGGGTCAAAGTCAGGAATATCCCGCACAGTCCTTCTCCTACTTTACAAACCAGCTGGCTCTACTGCCAACATCACCGCAAACTATTCTAGCGCCTCTCTTTCCCAGTAGGAAATCTTTTGATATATTATTATTATTTCCATTTCATTTCTATACTGCTTTATATTTTTAAGAAATGAAAAGTCTCAAAGCAGTTTACAACCTACCTTGAAAGATCAGATAATAAAACAATCCAGAATGAAATATTACCGAAGAAAGTCAAATATAAAGTAGACATTCAAAGCAATGGTTTATTTCCCCAAGATAGAAAACACAGAAATTGGGAATCAGAAAGTCCCTCGCCTCACCTTGAGTTGGCTGAAGGTGCCAAGTGTGTAGTCCCAGGCTGGAACAAGATGGTGAAGAACACTATCCAAGATCTTGATAAACCTACCCAAGCCAAAAGCGCAATAAATAAATACCAACGTTGCCATTGCAGATGGCGGCAGAGTAACCAGACGTGTTAAATTTGACCCCTACATTTACTCCTACATTTCTTGCTATCTCTGTTGGCTTCCCTCCCTATTTCACCCGACAAGCTGATTAAGCAGGTGAGGATTTACAACTACAGGTGAAACAAAACAAAAGGAAACAATAAATAAATTCAATAGGGTTTTACAGCACAGACACCCAGTGCTGTACCACAGTGCATGTACACGCACATGCTCAGCCCACTACCACCACAATGACTGTGGGAGCTCTCGCTCTTTGAGGCATTTCATATTGCAAAACAAAGAAATGCTGTCAACAACAACGGCAACACCGAGGCTGGAGAATGTTCCTCAGCCCTGCCCTGCTCCATACCTCTGGATGATCACAGCCCGCCGATAGAGCACATCAGGGTCTCTTCCCTCCAGGCGAGGATACCTCACCAGGTTGGCTGGCTGAAACATATCTGCATTGAGCCCCAGTTCCCGTTGCCGAGAAGATTTGATCTTTATTCCCCGTAGCCGAACATCTATCCCATCATCTGTATTAAAAGGGAAGAACAAAGCAGCTTAAGACACATCGGTCAAATAGGGAACTGTTTCTCCAGGAGGCGGGAGAGAAATACTGGGGGGAAGAGTAGGGATGAGGGTCTCTCTCTGGGTCACTCTAAGTGACCCATGGTTATCACAAATTGGGGGTGGGTGACTACTGGAGAAATTCCAGGGCTTAATTCATCACTTGCCACAAAAACAGCAGACCTGTGGTGGCTTAAAGATTAATAAATATATTGTGCCTTTTCTGTTTTTCCTAGATAAAATAATCACAAAAAGGCATCCACCAAAAGGGAAGCACCAGGGCAGCTGTCAAAGCAGTGAACCACTAAGGAGACTAATAATAATAATAATAATAATAATTTATACCCCGCCCATCTGGCTGGGTTTCCCCAGCCACTCTGGGCGGCTTCCAACAAAATATTAAAATACAATAAATCATTAAACATTAAAAACTTCCCTAAACAGGGCTGCCTTCAGATGTCTTCTAAAAGTCAGATAGTTTTTTATTTCCTTGACATCTGATGGGAGGGCATTCCACAGGGTGGGCACTACTACTGAGAAGGCCCTCTGCCTAATTGTACTCTGACTCTAGATGCAACCTGCCAGGGTACGTAACTACAGAGGGAGTGAAATTCCAAAGTGGAGCATTTAGAGAAAAGCAGGGAGATCATGGCACCCCACCTCCCAGGAATTAGTAGGCGCATCCCCAAACTGACACCCACACACCTCTGCATTCCACAATGCGGATTTCAATGACAGGCAAGTGAGCAGTCATGTCTTCCAGCACACACACATCCCCGATGTAGCTCCTGGAGACACAAAAACATCTATTTCCTCTTGCACAAGGTAGTCTTACTACCCCCTTCCAAAATAGAAATCCTTTAACCTTACATGCTCAGGGGAAGTTACATCAAGGTGGATGTGGGAGCCAGAAACCAGAACTCCTGGGATCCGTTTCCAACCTTCTGGGTACCCTAAAGAGACCCATCAATCACCTTCAGATGGTTTTCGAAGGGAGCACAGGGAACTTTTATGCTCATGAAGGTAGTGGGTTGGGGTGAACTACACTATGTTTCTCCCTGAGACACTGTAGCACGCAATGGTAGCTTTATGCATTACCTCAGGCATATGAAAGATGCCAGGAAATGTCTCCTCATAGTATAGAGCAGAGATGGGGAGTCTGTGGCCCTCCAGACTGTATCTCCCATCTTCCCTGATCTTGCTGAAAGGCAACTAGAGAGCCACAGTTTCCCCATCCCTTGCATAGATAAATATTTACTACACTTTAAAAAGTATTGCATTTTGGGATGGCACTTTACTGTGGACCTCCAGTCTGCCCTGTGTGTGGCTTTATGTTTTTGCCTTTTGTACTTTATGTAACTGCATCTATTTAGCCTTGAGTCGCAGCTGCATTTGTACACACTGCATTTTACTGGACTAGTATAAACATGTGTTAGTTCTCCAGGTGCTGTAGTGTTTGACCGGGGTTGGTGGGTGGACTATTAGCTATGTTCCTTGATGTTCACTTATCTCTGAGGTCATATACTGGGCCCTGATTATGTGTCTTTGGGGTTATAAGGGTGTGAACGCTTATATATCAGTTGCTATGGACAGAGGGAGAACTAATGGTAGAGGATGGATAAACTGGGAGTGTCATGGGCATAGCCAGGGGGGTGCACGGGGGCAGCTGCACTTGCCTCAAGCCAATAAAAAAGTTAATAATAATAATAATGAGACATTTCCTTCCTTGAACCCGTTGGGATACAATAGGCTACAAGCTCAAAAACAAAGAGATGTCCATTAGCCGCTAACACTTCAGGTCTAGTATTCTGTTGCTTTTCTGCACCATCTGATTACAATAGAACCCCTTTCATATTCACTTCTTCTCTTCCCCTTTCCATGCCTCTTCCCCTTTCCATGCCTCATGAGGTAAAATCAAAGGTGCCATACAGGCATAGGCTAGAGCAGGCATAGGCAAACTTGGCCCTCCAGATGTTTTGGGACTACAACTCCCAATATTCCTAGCAAACAGGTCAGGGATTATGGGAATTGTAGTCCCAAAACATCTGGAGGGCCGAGTTTGCCTATGTCTGGGCTAAAGAAAGAATCTGAGCCAAATTTAGGCTCAGTTTCACACCTGGTTTTCCTCAACAAGCAAATTCTCTCTCTCCCCACCCACCCCCCCCCGCCTCCCTCGTCTGACTTACTCATCAATGCCCACGTCACTCAGCTTCTTCAGGTTATCCCCCTCGCCACCATACACAGCCACCCTCTTGGGCATGAAATTCTCATCTGTTGTGTCCACAGTCAGGAACAGCTTCCTGAGAGAGAGAATTAAAGGGTAAACATGAGACAACAATAAGATATAGGACAAGCTTATGGCTTTTAAAACCACTTCCCAGAGCTCCTATGAACAATGGTGGGTCCAAATATGCTTAGAAACCTTCACTGCAAAGAGCTGAGAAATGTGGGGAAAGCAGGGGAAGTGGGGGGGGGACCTGGCAGGCAAGAGAACTGGCTATGAAGCTTCCCCCAGGCTGGACCTTTATGTGGCTTGGAGGAAAGGCTTAAACCTTCCCAGGAACGAACCAAAAAGGGCCAGAAAGACTCAGCCATTTTGAATCGAGAAGGGTGGTTTTTGTACATCACTAGTACCACATTCTGCACAAACCTATGTGATCACAGAAATCTTACTTAACGGAAAAGCCAAGGTGGGTGGAAGAAGAGGTGGGAATGCCTTTGTCTGCCATATGGAAAGGAGAGGGCAGATTCAAACAAATATTTTGCTGCAAACCTCAAAAGGGCCATTCTGAAATTGCTCAGCATTCAGTTTCATGGCAGTGGTGGAATCACAGTGGTATACGTGAGAAAAGATAATTCCTTTGTTGTTGTGATGGAGGCACAAAATAGTAGTAGCAATAATAGTTTAATTTTCTACCCACCCTTCACCCTGAGGTCCCAGAGTGGGGAACAACCATTTAAAATACAGCATTAAAACAATTTAAAACAACTTACAGTCACAAAAATAGGGTGGGTCCCAAAAATATGCATCTCAAGTGTCAAAGGCCAGTTTATAAAGAGGTACATCTTCAGCACCAAACTTAACGCCTCATAGCACCTAACTAGAAGTCTTTTCCATGATTCTCTCTTTGGGCAGGAAGAAGCCCAAGCACAGAACAAGACCAACATTCATGTGCATTAACATGACCCAGCTGCTCTCGATGTAGCTTTCACACTCAGTGAGAGCAGAGGAAACAGGGTTTAACTACTATGGTACTTATAGGAAGTAGCTGATTAGGCCAGGACAGCGAAGTGTCTGCCAGTGATGTCCCCACACATAAGGAATAGGCTAGTAAAGGATAGGGAACTCACTTGATAATGGTCCCTTTCTTCATGTTGAGACGGACCCAGTGCTGACCCTGAGACCCATCACTCTCCCAGTAGGTGTCTGCATGGTTGTCTGTCAGGCATGAAACATTGAATTCTTCCTGAGGGAAGCAAAGACAGACTGAGGGGAGTTAGAAATATCCATGTAATAGCTTGCTTTCAGGCAACCCACAAGATCCCTCCCAAGAGGATGCCAACTCTAGAACCTCAGACAGGAACTTTTAGTTCCAGACACTCAAGCTGCACCTTCCTACTATCCCTGAAAATAACTGAACACATCTTCCTCCCTCAAGGCTTCCTGGATTTTTACCACTCTCCATTCACCTAGGAGAGGCAACCTGCAGATCTATGAAGAACGGTAGAGGAGACACCGGGCACAATGTCCTAGCACTGATCAGGGTAGTTAAGCGAGAGAAAGACTTGATGACCACTAAAATCAGCAGGTGGCCAACTTAATCTGAAAGTTTGCAGACCTATGCCAAGACAACACAGAATTCAGAAGTGTATATATTCCTACAACTATAAAAGTTGATCAAGTAAAACACATTATTTCACACATTATTTTATTTCATTTTCTGGAACCAAGAGAACAACTGTCTAATAACCCATTCCAGGGGCCGGTGAAGTTCATTTCATGGGTAGAGCCCTACCATTAGACAGAATAAGGCAGTCGCCTCGGACAGCAGATTCTGGAGAGTGGCAAGATTTTGGAGGACAGAGCTGTGTGCCACATGGCCTACCCTGTACCCCAAAGCTAGCCTGCTGCCCCCAAGTGTGGCTGGCCTGTCCCCAGTGTTAAAATAAGATTCAACCGCCGGTCTAGTTGTACATAGCATTGGAAGGGAGTATCATTTTATCCTTTGCCTCAGACAGCAAAATCTCTTCATTACCAGCAAAGAGACATCCAGAGTCTGTTTACACAAATAAGTTATCCTGACCTAACAAATTCTTAACTCAGTTCACCCTAAGGTTATAGATATCAACCAGAAGTTATCTGTTGTCACAATCTGGCTGGCTCCCAGACTTAATAAGCAGCAAGTAGATGTTGTCAGTTTACAAGCAGATTTATTAAACACCATCATTGTACTCAGAGCAGCTCCCATGGGCTACTGTCTCTTTCAAGATGTTGAGGCATCTGGGCTCTGATTTCGGCGCCAACAGGAAGCACGCCAGAACCTCGCCTTCCACTTCCTTGATTGACGCCTTTCCCTGACCCTCGTTAACCTATGGGAACGGGGAGATTCTGGCTGGCCTCCTACCTTTTCCTCTGACGAATCATCCCTCCCCTATGTTGTTGCTAGGGTCCGCTTATCAGCGACTTGGCCTCTCTCCAGCCTCCTCTTCTCCGGCTGAGGAGAAGGGGTTGCGGGCGACTGTCTTCAAACAGCTGAGAAGGAAGCAAAACTACTCCTTCCTCCTCTGACTCTCTGTCCCCCTCATCACCCTCATCGTCCCTCTGGGAAGCCCTGTCCCTGACATCTGCCTTTGCAAACCCTTTAATATTAGCAAATGATGGCCTAGTGGTTAGGATGCTGAGGCAACAAGGGACAGTATGCATGAAGGCAAGGTCTCTATGTAAAGGAGCCTGGTTGATAGTGACACTTTACCGTGTAGGAGGACACATCAATGCTGTCCACATATTGCTTGATGCTGCCCAGATTCTCATCTTCCTTGCCGATGTGGTCATAGAGGAAATGCACCAAGTCCTCATCACATTCGTAGCTCCATGTGGGTGGTACAAATCTAAAATGGCAATAATTGGTGTTAATAGTACAGGATGAGAGAGAGGGCTGGGTTTACAGAAATTTACATCCCTGATCATGCTCTCCACTACCCAATTATATCCTTCAGGATATTATTTTTACTCCCACTTCTGCACAAGCGCTACTCCCAATAGAATTAAGTCCTCAGGCATACAAAGCCTGGATAATATGTAGAAACGTCCAGTGCTGCGGGCCCAGTTACCACTTTCAAATTAAGTGCATTGGCTGCCCCACTTTTTCTTATTGCTGTAAAGGAGGTTGCATGCCCTTTACCGGAGTCTCTCTACCGCAGCTGCATCTGGCTCCATGATTTTTGGTTTTGCTCCAAGACGGAGGGAATATGTTAAATCCACCACCTGCTCCCATCTGGAAAAGGGAAAAAGGCAGAATTAACAACTATAAACTTCTGTGTAAGCAAACAGAAATTAAAAAAGTTCTAACTGCATTATTAGCTACTAAAACAAGGGATAAGTATCTGAGAATAATTCAAAGGGTTGATATATAGCCCTTTGTTTAATGCTACAGAGGATCTAATTTATAATGCTTATAGTAATAATAATTTTTGCTGCTATTAAAATGAAAAACCTTCCATTAATTAGATAAAACAACAAAATGGACACACAGAACTTAACACATCTTAGACTTACTGATAAGGTTTGAGCCAAGTGATGTGTGTGTTTGTGCGTGTTTGCATACATTTTTGACACAGTTGTGAATATCCCTTTTTTACAACTTTGGGAGCTATGGACAGGAGTGACAGTGTTTGCAGTGCAGTAGCTGTACTCCTTGTTCCCCCAAAAGACATTCAAAGTGAGGGCAACACTTCCTACTTTCACTCTGAATTGGCTTCGTTGCATCACCACAGTCTAATCTGATTGGCTGTTTTCCACTGTAATGTCACTACACGGCTTATTTGATCCCCAATTGGCTACAATCCAGAAGAACAGAACCTCTCTCCCCCTTGGCACACAAGCTGTAGATCAGAGGAGGAAATCAGCCATCAGGAAAGAAGCAAACAAGAGATGAACCACTTGAGAACATATGCCACTCCCCCCCACAAAAAAATCTTTGAAATTTTGGTACTGATACAAGTTTCTATTTGAAACTAAGAATTGAATGTAGGCAAAGTGCTCTTGGTTGATTCCATTAGCAAAATGATTGGAAGCTACTAATTTAGCTTGCAACCATAGGTATTTCTGAATGTCATACATTCATTGATAGTATTATGTATTTGTTTTGGCCACCTCATGAGAAGAGAAGACTCTCTGGAAAAAACTCTGATGTTGGGTAAGGTTGAGGGCACAAGAAGGGGACGACAGAGGACGAGATGGTTGGACAGTGTTATAGAAGCTACCGACATGAATTTGACGAAACTCTGGGAGGCAGTGGAAGACAGGAGTGCCTGGCGTGCTCTGGTCCACGGGGTCACAAAGAGTCAGGCACAACTAATCGACTAAACAACAACATGTATTTGCTTACAGCGAGTGCCTTCCCCAATGGTCCTCCTCAAAAGCCAATCAATGCAAACAAAATGTGGAGATGGTTTTCAGTACCTAATTACAGGCTTATAATCCACCCCAAAGAGTTGTTGCTGCCTCTGGATTCTCTCCATCGATTCCACTGGCACCAGCCTGTCCCCACCATCTGCATGCTTACACATGAGTACCCAGCCTTCCTCCAGATCACAGCCAATCTTGAATTCCTCCAGCTGCTCCTATGAGGGAAGAATATGAAATCGTATGTCCAGTACAAAATACGACATTGGAGATAACTAAGAAATCCAAACAGTTTATCAAATCCTCATACATCATACAAAGAGATTTACACAGATGGTTAGGAACACTGATTATCCATAGAGAAATGCACAGCTCCTACTAATTGATTAAAAACCAAAATGCATGTCTTTAGTCTGTGCTAATGAGTGTCTATGACTACTTTTTCTGGTCTCTACAGACCAACAACAGTCCCCTTTCTCACTTGAAAGAATGCACATGCATGTACTGTCAACAAAACGGTATTAAACTGTCCTTCCAATTATAATTATAAGAAATTTGCTGAATTCTAAAAGATTGTAGGAGGATGTCCAGGTATACATGCATAGGAATTACTGAGGTTTACTAGCACATAGCCTTTGAGGGCCATGCAGTTATCAAAAAAATCTCCCCAACTATGATAAGGAACATTGTTGGTATTACAGCTGTTTGCATATTCCTTACTGTTGCTATTTCCCAAGTGCAAAATGTGGCAGCCAGTTTATTGCCACACTAATACTAAAAGGGAAAATGATAACCAAGGCAGAAAAAAAACATATGGGCCAGGAAAAACTGAAAGGCTCTTCTGTCAGCTAAAATCGTATCAAGGAACCATAAAACTAGCTGATAGTAATCTATGTCTGTAAACAGTGCCAGTCTCTGAGAAACGTAGGAATACTTGTGCCCTGTGACACCATCCTTGAGTGCGCATGTAGGACACAGCCCCAAAAAGCAATGGGAAAGAGAGGATGAGATGCCTATGTTTATCTCTGTTACATGTGTCTTAAGCCTACATCTACATTTGCTCTAGCATGCAAATTATGTAAATTGGGGGGGGGAGGTGTCAACCCTCAAACATTTGAAATTGTAATAACGGCTCAAGTGCCTCTGAACATGGGTAGAGTGCATTTCCATCCTCTTCAAAAAGCATCCTGGCTGGGTTGCCAGTTCACACCAGGAATTAAGGACAGCAGGAATCATTACATGGTCGGAGGAATGTGGCGCTAGCAGGCTGGAGCCCTGGCAATTTACCCTCCTCGAACTTCCGCGTTCAGCGGGTGCGGGTGCCCGTGCGCTGCAGGCCCCGCCGGAGGCTACACCTTGCCACACTCACCTTTGTCAGCTTCACCCAGAGCCCGTGCCCGTTGCAGTATTCCTCGCCGCTGGCTCGGATGCACGAGCCCTTGCGCAGCTCGATGGTGCCCCTGCCCAGGCCCTTCCTGCCGCCCGACCCGGAGCCGGCGCCGGCCTTGCTGGGGTTCTCCCATACCGACAGCAGGGTCCGGCCGGAGGCCGAGGCGGGCCCGGGGGCGCTGGGGTCCTTGCAGATCTTATACTGCACCTCGCGGGGCACGTAGCACAAGGCGGCGGGCAGCGGCTCCGCGCGCGTCAGGCACCCGATCGCCTCGCTCAGGAAGCGCAGCCGGCCTAGCAGCTGGTGCGGCGACTCGCCCGCCGTCGGGGGCATCATCCTGGCCGCCTGCAGCCGCCGAGGCGGGGTTGGCCCAAAGGGAGCAGCCGCCGCCGCAGGAGCAGCTCCGCCGGTTGCCCCTTCCCTCCCGTCCCGATTCTGGCAGCCGGCGAGTCTTTCCCCAGCGCAGCGACCGGGAGGAGGGCGGCTGCGGCTGCTTCCTGCTACTCTCGCCCTCCTTCCTCCTCGGTTCTGCCGGGTGTACCGTAAAGCAGCCTCTATCGGCGGACGGGTGAATGAGCAAGCCTAGCATGCAAGAAGCCAGGGGAACCGCACAACGGGAATGGGTCGGCGGCAAGCGCCGGACCCCGCGAGGGAGGTTTAGGCCTAAGGTGAAAGTGGCCAAGGAAGGTCGACGCGCAAGATCTCTGACTGCGTTTCACTTCAGTTCTTGGGCTCATGTGAATGGCTGGCGATGAGGCATATCATAAAAGTTCGCGTTTCCAAAACAAACACCAGGACAGGCGGAAGGATCTCTGATCAGGTGCTAGGAAATTGACACTAGTAGTAATATAAAGAGTGGCCTTAAACTAGGGATAGGGGACCTGCGGCCTGCCCCGCCTTGCTGGTCTGGATCACAACTCCCATCATCCCTGATCATTAGCTATACTAGCCTTGGCTGATGGGAGTTTGGAGACCACCAGGTTGTCTAACGCATTTAAACATGTTCTCTGTTGCTGAGTTGTGCTCTTTAGATGTCACTGTTCTTTGGAGCTGCCCAGTTATCTAGTGGTAGATCTGCTTGGTACAATCTTAACACTTTCATCTCTGTATCTTCTCTTCCAGAAGGACCTAACACTGTTTCTCACGTCTGTCTTGTCTGTCTCCCTCATCATTAATGTTCTATGATGACCTGGAGTCATATTGCTTCTTAGGCTTACCAGTGTTGATGAACATTGTTAAGCAACACTACAGTACAAGGATCTGTGAACACAAATGCACAACCCACATGGGATTAAGAAGCCAAGTGGCTTCTGGAAACTTCTGCTCGGCCTGATGGCAAATTTTGCTGTGGAGGTTTTTGCTTGTTCTTCTGCCAATCTTGGGGTCTCCCCGAGCCTGCTAATACTTCCTTCTTGCACATATATGTTGCACCTTTGGTTACATAAGGACTGGATCTCTGAGAATTGTGTTTGCTGTTAGTGTATGTATATCATGACTGAGCTGTGGATTCCCGAGTAATATGTGAGGCACAGACAAAGCAGCCTTTGGCAATACCTTCCCACATTTTTATCTATTGGTCCCATGTGGTGCTGTGGTTAGGGTAATTTTTATCTCCAAGCAAAGAGCACAATGTATCCAAGGAGGAGGTGGTCCAAAGTTTTTATCAGCCAAGCACAGGGAGTGGCATTCATCCGCTAGGACAGGAAAATACCACATATTTTATGGATGTAGAACTAGTAGCAGATGTACTAACCCAGCTTCTTAATCATTCCCCTTGGCTGTGAATACGGGGGCTACATGAGGGCAGTGGACTTGTGGGGAAATGAATGCATATTTCTGTTTTTTAATTCATTTCTGCATGCACAATTGCTGCCTTGACCCAAGGGTTTGGTGCATTTGTCTAGCTCCCATGAACTATATGGGTTGTTGCAATGCTCTCTGTACTGTATTTAATTTAATTAGGAGTTCTAATGCCAGTTACTTGTTGGATGTCTATGCTCAAAATAGACCAGAGAGGTTATTGCTGCCCCACACTTGGGCGTCTACGAGCCCTGCTCCGCGGTGCTGGTTCTGCCCTCTCTCCACCGCCCCAGACAAGCGACGGCGCGTGTGTTGTGCGCCTCCTTTCCTAACTTTTCCGGGAGACGTGCTACAGCGCACATTACGGTAATGCCGGTCCTGCCCCGGCCACGCCCAGCTGGAGCCGTGGGTGGATCCCACAAGCACCAATCGGGGGAGCTGGGGAATGAACCCGGAAGTGGGGAGGAAGAGGCGTGTTGTTCTCGCCGCCAGAACTCGGGAGTAGGGCGGCCGCAGCAGCGCGGGCGCGATGGAGAAGAACGGGCCGGTCGTGTGAGTGGAAGCGAGAGAGCAGGCATTGTGCGGTCGTGGGGTGGGACAAGGGTTCCGCGCAGGGGATGAGGGACATTTGCTGCATGTTCCCTTGGCCGGGCTGCTGGGTCTTCCGCTGCTGCAGTGAAGCACCACCTCAGCCCCTGACGCCCTTTCTGACATGCAGGTCCACCCGTGCAGTACTTGGGGTTGAGCTCGCGTTGCCGGTGCAGGCAGGGTTGACATGGTGCCGAGTTGTCTGCTTTGTGCCGAATGTCGGTGCGCTGAGCACCAGTAGGCAAAGTTTGGGTTTCCACCTTGCTTTGCTTTGCGTTTCCACCTTGCTTTGCGCTGCTTTTATCCATTAGACATTAAGACGCAGTGCTACAGAGTATGAGAAAAAAGGAGGGACTCCTTTTTCTCTTTCCCCCTTCCGGCCCGTATTTGAGATGATTCTGCGTGCTGTAAGCAGACATTGCTTGCTGCAGTGAGAGTCTTTCTTTCACCTGGGTTGCTCTACTTCAGCTTCTATGATGGTATTACTCTCATTGTGGCCAGCGTGAAAGCACGTAGGCCACGGTGGGCTTGATGGACTCTACTTCTGAAGTACTGTAATATACATACAGTTGTGCTTGCACATGTGGCCATGGCAAACCAGGCTTTTGAACACACTGCAAGGGCTAAGCCCAAATCTAGCTGTGATCCAAATGACACAGCGTAAAGCAAGGGTTCCCAAACTGTAGTCTGTCAACGTCATTCAGGTGGTCCACAGCATGTCTGTTAAATAAAATTAGAAATAGTCCCCCAAGGGACTAATATAAATATAGAATGTAGAACCTGTAGTTGTAACTAGCTAAGAGGGGAATAACTGTTCCTGTATGGCACTGATAATTTAATCCATGATAGTTCCATGGACTGGACTGGTGTTTGTGTGTCTTTTCCCCTCCGGCTTCCCTCAGATTGTAATGCAATAGTTTGTTTGATAAAGTAAAACAGACTTCACCCCTCTTGCAGCAAAGAATACCGCAACATGGTAGTGAGAGAGGAAATAGTCTGTAAATATTTTTTCCAAGTTTTAGTTAGTGAGTGCCACTTACTACCTTCCCTAGTTGTCAATTTAATATTTGAAAGGGGGAGGAGGTGGAGAATCTTCTTTCATCTGGGAGTCACATTATATTGGATGGTTTTTGATAAATGGTCAAACATACCTCTTCACCCAGACCTTTGAATGAGTGGCTGTTTTCTGTTCCCTGATAAGTCTCACAGAATTCCCTGAACTGAAGAATGATACCTTCCTCCGAGCAGCACATGGAGAAGAGACAGAATACATCCCTGTTTGGTGCATGAGGCAAGCAGGAAGGTACCTCCCAGGTAAGTGAAGTGACTGAGGTGTTTGGGGCAAAGATGTTTGGATCTTGTCTTCATGTCCTTGGGACTGGGAAGGCCTGCTGGTTGGCCCTGAGTTCTGAGAGAGGAGTACAATTACCTAAAAATGAGTAGGAGGGAGAGGGAAAGAAGCTCTCAAGACCAGAGCCTTTGGAGGATTCTGAAAGCAAGAATCCAGCTACTAGTATCTGCCCAGAAAATGGATCTGGGAGAAACTTCAGCTCTGAAAAGCATTGACAGATAGTGTCCTGTGCCTGGAATTTTTTTCCTTGCAACACCTCTGTGATTGACATAATTAGCCTTTACCCATTTCTGAGGGCGGGTTCCTTTAGTCCACAGATGGAGGGAATCTATGGCCCTCCAGATGTTGCTGGAATCTGACTCCCATCAGTACCACCCATAATGGTCAGTGGTCAGGCATTATGGAAATTGGAGTCCAACAACATCTGGAAGCTCCTAGGTTCCCCGCATCTCTCCTCTAGGTTAAGTTGCATTCCTTTTGAGAGGCATCTCCCTGCCACTCCATTTTCTTTTTTTCTTTTTCTTTTTTTGCAGAGTTCCGAGAGACGCGAGCAGCTCAGGATTTCTTTGCTACCTGTCGATCACCAGAGAAGTGTTGTGAACTTACCCTGCAGGTGTGTTGTGAACCTATTCTGCAAGTGTGCAAGGTTCCAGGAGGGAGAGTTCTCTCTCCCTGCCCCATTCATAATTGAGGGTTATTCCTGTTCTTCAGACTGTGGCAGGAGCTGAATATACCCCAGAATATAAACTCTGACATTTGCTCCCACAAGATGGTCACCAGCATAGTTTTACAAGAGGCTCCCCAGACTCACCATCTCACCTTCCTTTCCCTAACCAATTTCATTTGTCTCTTCCATCTAAATAGCAAAACTAAATACAGTGGTGCCTCGCAAGACGAAATTAATTCGTTCCGCGAGTCTTTTCGTCTTGCGATGTTTTTCATCTTGCGAAGCACGGTCCGTTGCAACTGTGCCTCTTCAAGCGGCTTTAAGAAAAAAGCGAACAAACTCGCAAGACGTTTTCGTCTTGCGAAGCAAGCCCATAGGGAAATTTGTCTAGCGAAGCAACGCAAAAACCGAAAAACCCTTTCATCTAGCGAGTTTTTCGTCTTGCGAGGCATTCGTCTTGCGGGGCACCACTGTAGCAGTTATTGATTTGGGTTTTAATGTCCTCCTTGCTGCATTTGCTATTCAGTTGCATGGGCAATTTATATATTTAGGTCAGGGGTGGAGAACCTCAGATCCAGGGACCAACTGTGGCCTTATCTGTCCCTTGGGACTGTCTCTGCTTCACACCCTTCTTTTTGTCTGGCTGGAATGTGTCATGAGCTCTGATAATGCTTCTTGCTTGCCTGGGTGGAGGAGAGAGAGGGGTGTGTAGAAACTAGCTCATTGTGCAAAGGGAAAACTTACATGTGTTGCTTTGCCCACTGTTGCCTCTGCCTTGTGACTCCTGGAACATTCCCCTGGAGGGAATGTGGCTCTCAGGCTAAAAAAACACCACCCCCCCAGTTTTTAGAAGCATTGCAGACTTCTTCATTAGGTGTATCTAAGCATTCTTCAGGAAATAATTTGGTATGTTGTTCTACACTGTTCCTTGAATAGAAAAACAATAGTGTCCATGGGTGGAATTCAACATAGTGAGAAGTAGGCTGTTCACAAGTGGAACAAGGTCTCCTTGCACAATGGGACTTCCCTCTGGCTCCCGTCCACATGCCCTCTAAACCTGATCTGGACTGTTTCCCCAATTTTCCAGAGCAGGTTTTGAGGGGAGTAGGGGAGGGAAAGTGCTCATTTTACTCATGCAACAACGTAGCTGAATTCCACCCCATTTCGCCATGAATTTGTTGTCTCCAGCAAGCACAAATGAAAATGCATCTGTTAGTTTGAAATATGACAGAGGGATTGTGATAAAATATGAAAGATAGGTATATAAGTAATAAGTTATTGCCACAAATGTAAAATTACTAACAGAACATTATAATTTTGATAAATGCATTTTTGTGTTTCTTTCAATACAATGTAAATATTTTAAAAAGAAATACGAAAGAAAGGGCTCACTAGCTAAAACATGCCGTGGTACCTTGGTTCCCAAACGGCTTAGTTGTCGAACAAATTGGCTCCTGAACGCCGCAAACCCGGAAGTAAGTTTTTCAGAAGCTGAACATCTGACATGGCTTCCGCGGCTTCCGCTTGAGTGCAGGAAGCTCCTGTAGCCAATCAGAAGCCGCGCCTTGGTTTTCGAATGGTTTTGAGAGTCAAACGGACTTCTGGAATGGATTAAGTTTGAGAACCAAGATACGAAAGTCTTCGCAACTCTACTAATAGGAAACTGATATTTCCACTGTGACTATTACGCTTTCCCTTGCACAGACAGTGCTTGGCTGAGCAATAATGTCTCTGTTGGGTGTTCCATGTAGCAGGAAGGGTAGCAGGGTGTGTGAATGAAGCCTCTGCTCCAGTGTCACTACATGTTGGCTCTATTCTGAAGACATTCACTTGAACTTGCTTAAAACATCCATGACTGGAACCCTGATAAGGCAGAGGTCCTGACTGCAGGGAGGCTTCTAAGGCTTCCCTCCTGCAGCTCCCTGTAACTGGTATTCAGAAGCATTGCTGCTTTCGACCATGGAGGCAGAATGTAGCCCATTGTGGCTAGTAGAATGCCCTTAGAAACTGCCTTCAGATCTTCATGCTCAGCTTCCAAAGATCTGAAGCTTCCACATGGGGATGGGGAGGTTGGAGTGGGGGCTAACATGCAAGCCCCCCCCATACACACTGTTTTGAATGCCTGTGAGTGGACTACTGATACATGTGCATCAGATTGCCTAATTCAAAATGGAAGCATTTGATTGGACTCGGTGTGCTTTCAAATGCACAAAGGCACGTCGTACGCTCTGGCAATGTCCTGAAAGACAGATGATGCACGATTGTTTTCTAAGACCCGTTTCCTTCTCAAATAACATACATCTGTGCAGTGTGCTTTCCCTTTGTTCTTTTATAATGTGTCTACTTCTTGGACCTCCTCCCTTTTTTCTGCTTTTGGCACTTTCATGCCTTGCACTTGCATGGGTCTCTGATTTTTCCCCCCTCCCCATGTTCTTTTTCGCAACATCATTACAAATATTTCTATTAAGTCTATTTTAGTAACATTCATTAACGCTCTCCCCCCTGCACAGCACCATCTTTCTCTTCAAAAATGTTATTAACGGCTTAACGTTTGTTCCTTTTTGTTCAGTTGTAAAAGAAACCCCAAAATTCTATGCGCAGCTGACTGCTTGAGGAATTCTTCCACCTCTTTTTTTTAAAAATAAATAAATAAAAAGACTGCATTTATACAGTGCTTCCTTCTGTTTTGCCTCACTTCGTTATACAACCTGTCAATATGTTTTTCAGTGTTCATTGTCCCTCTGACAGCACACCTGTAAACATTACTGTATTTTTTTTAATGTTTATAACTCTCTTGGTGTCTCTCTCTCTCTCTCTCTCTCTCTCACACACACACACACACACACACACACACGCTTTCTCTTTTTCTACACATTCTAATCTCATTCTGTTTTGGGCTGTTTTAGCTTTTGAGTCAACTTGAACAGATTATCGTTTTGGTTCTTATTATCTTTGTAGTCTTTTCCTGCCATTTTTTTTTAAAAATCACAGCTCCTTTATTTTTGCAATTTTGAATACTAGACTCCTTTCCGTTTAAAAACATTATAATAGAGTTTCCAAGAACTGTGGGGATTGTGGACTGAGAACACATTCTTTGAGCTCCAAACCCCCCCCCCCCCGCCCCAGTATCCTGCCTTAAGCTCTGTCTATCCTGAAGGGAAGCAGGCGGAAAGCAAGTTCTGTTTTATATGCATAGCCAGAGAGAAGCTCCACAAACCAACATTGTCCTGCGTATTGATGTAGTCTGTGTATCAGTGCAGTTTTCCTACATATCTGTACTTAAAATGGACTCGGGGAAAGACAGGAATGGGTTCCTGCATACCCTCCAGCGCACGGGAACCTATTTATGCCTTTCCCCATGTCCCATGCTGTGCTCCACATACAGCACACCCACTTTACCTTTACAGGAAGTGATACTGTCTGAATTTGAATATTTTGGTAATAATACAGTGGTGGTAAATCAGGGGAGATGTGGACTCAAAGGGCCAAGAAGGCCAGGCTGCGGGAAGATCATCTTGTGCAGTACACAGGCAGGACTGTATCACTGTCTGCTGAAAATCTAGGCTGCAGGGTTCGGGCTGCCTATTGGAATGTCTGCAACACCACTGCCTGGCATTCTCTTTCATGAAGGAGGGGCTGTAGCACATGGTTAGATCACGTGCCTTGCACACAGACGGTCCCAGGTTCAATCCCCAACATCTCCAGGTAGGACTGGACTCCTACCTGACCCCTGGAGAAGAGTTTCCAGTTAGTATAGATAGCACTGAGCTAGATGGACTAGTGGTCTGATTCAGTATCCTGTGCTCTGATTCAGCATCCTAAGGCAGCATCGTATGTTCTGGTGTTCATACGCTACGTCTATAGTGCACTAGCTTTTGGGCCTCAGCAGAAATCTTGCCCTTCTTCCCCCCTCCAGTTTTTCCTGGATTTTGAGTTTTCAGGCTTACTGCCTTTGTATTTTCAAATATTTCTTCTCTCCTATGAGAGGGTGGTTCTCTTTCTACACACGTGTCATTTCTAGCTTAAAAACAGGGCAGAGCACCCTCTACAAGGTCTGTGTTTTCTTCTTCCTTTCAGCCTCTACGGCGCTTTCCTCTTGATGCTGCCATCATCTTTTCGGACATCTTGGTGGTGCCGCAGGTAAGAGATGCTGGACGTGGGGAGGGGCGGTGGGGGGCAGCTGTACCGCTTATAGAAAGAAATTCCTTAACATCCTACTGCTTTCCTAGGCACTAGGCATGGAGGTGGTGATGGTGCCTGGCAAGGGACCCACCTTCCCTGAGCCACTGAAGGAAGTCGAGGACCTGCTGAAACTCCGCCAAAAAGTGGATGTGGCAGCAGAGCTTGGCTACGTCTTCCAGGCCATCACGTTGACCCGGCACAAATTGGAAGGGAAGGTGCCCTTGATCGGCTTCTCTGGCGCCCCGGTAAGTATAGTTCTTTGGAAATGGGCGTCTCCCAAAGAGACTGTGTGTCATTCCCTAAAAATGCTGGTGGGCGCTGGGAAATGTTGGGATGTGCTGGCCACCTGTGCCGCTGCATGAGGCCAGGTGGATTCTGGGTACCGTGGATTTGTAGCTGCAGCATTTGACAACCTCTGCAGAGGAGAGAGTGTCATGGGGGGTGTCACTTACAAGCTGGCGTAGTTCATGCTCTCTCCTAGTAAGGCTGTTGGGTCCCTGACTCCCTGCCTTAGCTTTCTGCTGCTCAAACATTGACTTCATAGGATGATATTTGTGGAACTAACTGATGGGTGGCAGGTGGCTGAGAGAGGCGGCTTTTCTATGCCTTCCTTTCCAGCATTTTCTGCTAGGCAGGGAAGACACACTGGAAAGGGTGTGCCAAGTATCTCCTTAAGATAGTGCTTAAAATAAGTATGTTGCATTTCATTTAGGTGAACATTAAAAATTGTCATGCATTTGACTGATTACAGTTGGCCAAAAGTCAACTTAAGAGTGGAAGCATCAAAGCTTGGGCGTGTAAGTTTTGGGGCAAGAGAGGCAGTGCATGACATCTTTAGAAGTGAATAGCATCAGTTAAGACAAATGCAGCTTCTGGTTTTTAGGAACCCAGAGGGGTTGAGGCCTGGTTCTGAACTGAACAAGTAACCTGATATGTTGTGAACCGCCCTGAGATATGCAGGTGAAGGCCAGTATGTAAATTCAATAAATGATAATAGTAAATAAATTAAGAAGAAGAACAGAGCTGCCTCACAGTTTCTGCAAGAACCACTTGCCTTACAGAAGCTGGCTTAGGCATGGTGAGGCATTGGAACAAGTGCTTTTGAATTCATGCCTGCTTTCACTTTCTGCTTGTTGTCTGCTTCCTAGTGGACACTGATGTCCTATATGATCGAAGGTGGCGGCTCCAACACAATGGCCAAAGCCAAGGCCTGGCTCTACCGGCACCCTGAGGCCAGTCACCGTCTACTCACGTTATTGACTGATGTAATTGTGGATTACCTGGTGGGGCAGGTGGCTGCAGGCGCTCAGGTGAGTGGAAGAAGAAAGTGGCATCATCCTGCTTGAGAAGAGCTGTAGACTCCTGGGCAGCTCCTGCCCACAAGCTTTCAGGCATAGCTGTAAGTTGGACAAATTTGCCACTCATTTTCCAAGGCACTTTTGAGATACCCTTCGTCTTCTACAGCCACGACCCTTAAGACAAATGAGATCTGGGGGGAAAGCTTACTTCAGGAAGGTAAAGGGTGCCGGCAAGAAATCAGTAGTGCCATGCTGCTAATCATAATCTTATCATGTAACCTTTTATTACAGAATCCAATCACTTTGTTTTTAGGAATAGGCTTTTAGCCCTCGTGGTTGCAAATAAAAGAAAAGGAAAACAGCTTTCCTCCTTTGGCAAAATTGCTGCCTGATGGCACTCTGCATAACACAGCAAACTTCTCCTCCTCCCCAAGATCATGCCAGCTGGCTTCAGCCCTCCCTGGTTTTATTCATTCAGCACTAAGGTGACACTGGGCTATGCATGTGATTGGGGAGCATGGCAGGGTTCCCCATCATGGGGACAAGCACTGTGCACCAGATGCTCCCTCTTGCGTTATGTGGAATGCATGGGAGGTGGGGTCAGCTGGTGCGATTCCTACCTCCCTCACACATTCACATAACTTATGGCTGGAACATGAGAAGTAGTAGCCTTCCAGCTGATTTCCTTCGCTTGTGACAACCTCCTAGAGCACAACCTTTTAGATGATGGTGATGAGAATAAGGTCTGTAAATTAACACTCTGATCTTATTCATATGTACTCAGAACTAAGCCCCACTGGCATTCTTCCATCCCTGTGTGATTTACTTCCAAATAGGGGGTTTAGGATGACAGCCTAAGGCAGTTTAATTATAGCATTGGTTCCAGTTGAAGAATTCGAGATTGTTTACTGGAATCGCTTGCCTTGTGTCAGGAGAGTGGATTAGGGGGGAAAATGCATTGTTCTGTGCCAGGCGTGGGCAAACTTTTTGGTGCCAAGGGCAACCTTTCCTTGGGGTGTGGGTGAGTGGAGGAGACCCACTTGTGTGCTATGGGGAAGGAAGAGTCCTTTCTGATATTTGTAGAAGAGTTGCACTTAAGAGGGAGAGATGTCAGCCAAGAGGGATGCTGATTCCTTGGTGCTGTCTCTCTTGGCAGGCTCTACAGCTTTTTGAGTCCCACGCAGGACACCTGGGGCCAGAGCAGTTTGCAGAGTTTGCCCTCCCCGCCATCCGTTGCATTGCCAAGCGAGTGAAGAGCAAGCTACGGGAAGACGACCTGCCTCTGGTGCCCATGGTAAGAGACAGATCTCTTGGGTTCCTTGTGGGATTCATAGGATCAGCAGATCTTGGAGCTGGAAGGACTGTTGGAGTTTTCTGTTCATCCTAAAAACAGATACCACATGGTGATATTGAAGCAGCAGCCATGGAAGGCCGCTCCATCTGTCCATACCGAGGGTAGGACAGAAGGCCTTTGGGAGCTGCCTTCCAGAAGACATATAGATGGGCAATACTGGTGTGTGTATGGGCATCTTCTCTAGTGTGCCTTGTGCACAATTAAATGCAGAGGACCATGGTGCCACAAGGCTGAAAGGAAATTCTTGTAGAGTCAGAAAGAGAGCAGAGGATAAGGTGAGAGCAGGACTGGGTATCCTTCTCTTAAGTCAGGCTCCTACTGTAAGAATTGGGGAGCAGGAAAATTCTACCCTCTCTTTAAAAAAAAATGTTTCCCCCAACTCATCCTGATTGGATGAGGTGGGCTACGAACTTTCCTAAATCCTGGAGAAGTTTGGCTTTTGATACCTCACACCCATGTGCTGGAGGTTACTCCTTAACACACTCAGTACTCAGTTTGATAATCTGGGACATCCCTACCTCTGCACTGGGAAGGAGTATAGCTCTGTGATAAAGCTCAGGATATGCACGTGGGAGGTGCCAGGTTCAAATTATGTCATCTTCCATTGAAAGGACAAGGTAGCAGGTTTCCAAGTCCTAAACGGCCTCTGCCTAGTATACCTGAAGGAGCGTCTTTACCCCCATTGTTCAGCCCGGACACTGAGATTCAGCACCAAGGGTCTTCTGGTGGTTCCATCACTGCAAGAAGTGAAGTTACAGGGAACCAGGCAGAGAGGGCCTTCTCGGTAGCTGCGCCCACCCTGTAGAATGCCCTCCCAACAGATGTCAAGGAGATGAGTAGCTATATAACACAGAAGGCATCTGAAGGCAGCCCTGTATTTCCAAACTTTCTTTCCAAACTGTGTTGCGACACATTAAGTGTGTCAGCTGCAGTGTGTAGGTTTGCCGTGCAAACACTCCCCACACTCCTCCCAGGGCTGGAAAGGGGTTTCGTTTAACCTCCGGTTTGCTAGTAAAGCTGAATTACTGTGTCACGAAATGATTCATGTCTAAAAAGCGTGTCACCAACATGAAATGTCTGGAAAGCTCTGCTGTGCTGTATAGGGAAGCTTTTTAAGGTTTAAGGTTTTATTATGTTTTTATGTTGGAAGTCACCCAGAGTGGTTGGGGCAACTCAGCCAGATGGGCATGGTATAATAACAATAATAATAATAGGAAGGAAGGAAGGAAATAAATCTGAGACCCTGGAGAGGTGTTGCCAGTCAGGGAATATGGTGCAAACTAGGTCTGACCTGGCTCATGAGGCAACTTCTCAAGTTCCTGTGAGATAGCAGGAACAGCAGTATTGACCAGAAGTGAAGGAATCCTGCAGAAGGAACTTCCTGTGCTCCTATATTATATACCAAGCTGTTGACTGCTTGGAGGGAATCTGCCCCACACAACCTCCCTTGAAATCACCTGCATTCCAAGCCAATTCTGGGATGGCAGGAGAGGCGGTGATGGAAGATATTCCAGGCTGGAGGTATCTCTTGGTCTGTCTGCTGCCTGTCCCCATTCCCTGTTTTCTGTCTTTCCTTTTAGCTTGGGGCTGATGTGTCTGTGTTAAGGAGAAACCCCCCTTTTAAAGTAAAAGCAAAGTACAAAGTTGTAGTAGTCCTGTTTCACCACTAGAAGGCAGCCAAGTAATGAAGCAATGCCAACTGGGCAAGCCAGAGCGGTCAAGGACCTGCCTGCAAAGATCTGCTTGCGTATAGAAACTTCTCCGTTGTCCTCTTCCCCCTTTCCCATCGTGCACCAAGAGAAGCTCTGCTTGTTTGTGGATGTGAACGTCTTACAATGGAGGAGACATGTTGCCCTCCAGATTCTGCTGGACTCCTAACTCACAGGAGCACTAGTACCAGCCAGGGATGCTGGCAAAGGTGGCCAAACTGCATCTGGAGGGCCACAGGTTCCCCAGTCTTGCTTTGGTGCCAAGCACGCAGCCCTGCCCACCACATTGTCCTGTTGTTTTGTCTCCTCTCTCAGATCATCTTTGCCAAGGATGCGCATTATGCCCTAGAGGATTTAGCACAATGTGGCTACGAGGTGATTGGCCTGGACTGGACCATCTCCCCCCAGGCTGCTCGGTGAGAAATTGACTGGCCTTCCGTAGGGACTGTTAGGAGGGTTGGTAGGATTTCTAAAGTGCTTTTGCCAATATCAGAATCCTTTCGTTTCCCATAAATTTTGCTTCATACGGTATTGTGGATACAACAACTACTGGCTAAGCGGAATGGACTGGGGAACAGTAAATAAGAGGCTTATGTAAAGTACTAAGGAGCCAGCAGTTTATAGGTGCAGGGAGCTCCTCCATTGAATTGCTGCTATGAAGAGCCAAACCCTGCTCACATGCAGCAGTTGGGAAACAGAGAGCTGATTGTTTCATACGGCTAGAGCTGAGTGAGCCCCCCAGCCAAGATGATCTTTGAAACGTCTTCTAAGACTAGAGGCCAGTTTCCCAGGATGATGGGTAGAAAGTAAGACTGTGAGCAAACGGGGCAAAATGTCCCATTGTTCTGCCTTAGGAAATTAGTTCTCTTCTCTCCAGCTTTTCAGAAGCAAGGAAATGGTATTGTTTTGTGACCTGACATGATAGCTGTCTTCCAATATCTGAAGACTAGAAGACTCTCAGGGTCCCTTTCCAACTCTACAATTCTATGGTTCTATCACGTGTCAGTGGAACAAAGTAAATTTCACTCTACTGTTTCAGGAAGCAGAGCTAGAAGGAATGGGTGGAAACCACAAGGAAGCAGAATTTTGGCTAAATCTTGTTAGAAATGTCCTAATGGGAAGAGCTGGGCAGTGAGCTCTTCTTCGCTAGAGGCTTCCAACTCCAATATTTTATGACTTTGCAACATAAGTACAACCTGGATAAGTTTAATTAGGTACAACCTTCTAAGTAGGGCTAGTCAGATACATCAGAATTAGACCCAAGAGGCACCTGGGACACAGGTGTCAAGTAGATGTAGGCAACCATCATTAGCTCTTACGGCTTCCAACCATTGCTCTTCCTGTTTTATAACCATCTGATTTCGTAAGTATCTCAAATTCTTGTGATGATGAGGAGCTACATCTTGCTCTGGTGCCTACAAGTATCCCTCCTCAACCTCCAGAGCAGGTACTGATGTTTTATTTTTTCTGTTGCAGTCAGAGGATCGGGAAAAACATTACCTTACAAGGGAATTTGGATCCATGTGCCCTCTATGCACCAAAGGTAAAGAGGCAGGTATCACAAGCCCCCTAGACAAATGTCAGGGAACCTTTCTTAGGGCTAAGGTCACGTTACTTCAGTGGAAAGCTGTTGGTGGGGGGAATGGACACATTTCAGTAATGGGCGAGGTTGGACCCAACACACAAAGCCACAGGATGCTCCTAGTTAGCAAACAATGGTTGTAAGGACTGTCTGCACTGAGTCTGTCAAATACGCTCTCTCCCCCCCTCTTCCAATACACTATAAGTTAGCCTAGGTTGGTTGCTTCAACTGTCTTGCCCTGCTGATTCTTCTTCGCTTTTGTCAGGAGAAGATTGGGGAGCTGGTGAAGAAGATGGTGGAAGGCTTTGGCTCCAAGCACTACATTGCCAACCTGGGTCATGGCCTGTATCCTGACATGAGCCCGGAGCACGTGGGGGCCTTTGTGGATGCTGTACATAGGCACTCTCGCCATCTCAAGAAATGTTCCTGAAGACTTGGGGAGCCACATGGAAAATGGACAAAGCATCAAAGAGACTGCAGCAAGAGAGGATCATGTTTGCGAGTGCTGGAGAGCCAGTCACTATGACTGAGAGAAAGAACAAGGATGTGGGTTTGTAATAGCGCACTATTAAAATGCTTTTCACATTTTAATGGCACAATGCTTGGGATGGTGGGTGGGTTGTAGAGGGGGAGAGAATGTATGTGTCTTGGGCACTTCCTGAAGCACTCAATGCTTTTGATCCTGGCTTTATCCCTACACACTACAAAGCTTATCTGAGAAAGGGGTGGATCCTTTTCTTGCCCCTTCCAACCAGTGGCTAGGTGTGGCCTTTCTTATGCTCTGTCCTCCACAGCGGAGTAAGTTTTTTGCCGTTTAACAATAGAAGGTGGGTCAGGGTACCTTGTATCACCCAACTGCTCAGTTTGGGGCCCTCTTTAGCAATAGCCATGTGTCTCTACGAAGCGATGGCCATGCGCCATACCGCAAAGTGAAGTATTTACAACAGTTTCCCATCTGGATTAACAATCCAGCACATGGTGTTTAGTTAAATGATTGAATCTTCCTCTGCTTTGGTGCTGCTGTTCTGGCTTAGTCAAGGTCTGCATATGCACAACGCACTCAGGAAGGATGAGCGACCATGTCCTTGCTGCTGAACAGGCGACCCAGGAATAAGTGGAAAAGACTCTTGTGATGTTTATTCTCAATATGAACATGCTGTGCTGCACTGCGCCTCACTCACTGCTGTTCATTATCCAGCAACAGCTAAGCAGGTTCCTCCAGTAAAGAAATCCAGCCTTCCTTTTCCTATATCTCTGCTGCCTTAGTGGTGACTGTGTCTGCTTCAGCATTCAGCCTGGTTGCATCTGACAGTTATCAGCTGCATGTCATGATAAGGAAACATGTTTACAGAAGACACAAGCAGCACCAGCCCCCTCACAAAGTCTGTTACTTGTGTGTGATATGTAAACAGACCAGTGGATGCTTTTCTTAGAACTGGAATAGCATGGGAGGAACTGTGGTGGTTAAGGCAATGATCACTTTGTTAACAGGTATTTGGGAAGGGGATGCTACAGTGTTGAGGCTGCAACTAGTAAAGGTGGCATCAGCAGCCAAGAGAGGAGCAGGGCTCTTGCAGAGACCTGTTAGTTTTTTCTCTACACTTCTGTTTAGGTCTAACATAACACCACCACCTCCAGCGGTTCAGATAAAAGAACAAAACCAAAGAAGGCATCATCAGCTAGCAAAAAATAAAGCTCAAGCCTTAAAATTGAAAGGATGAGAGTCTGACTCTTCAGTCATATATGGAAAGCAAGTGCCAATAGCATTGCTTTCCCTGCCTGCCGAACCACCCTCAGGGATGGCCTAGTTTTACCTCCTTTGAGAAGGAATTCCTCCAAAGTGCTGCCACACACAAAAATCTTCTGTTGGCAGGACGTATAGCAAGGCCTCCAAAGAGGATTTCAACCTACAGCCGTGTTCCGATTGCGGATGGGGGGGAGAGAGAGGTTTTTTCAGGTTTCATTGCCCTAAGCCACGATCATCACAGATGTTACGCCAGTGTATCCCACTGTACATCAAAGATCCATACTCTCTTTATAGGATTGCTTCTGCACAAGTATATTCCATCTGAGGCAGGGGATATTGACATATAAATATTTGCCGGTGAAGTAACTGGAGACTCAGTACAGGAAGAGGCAAAAGCCACATGTGGTTCTTTCCAGACCAAAAGGATGCAAGGCTGGTGGTTTAGAAGGTTGCATTCACTCCCTTCCCTCCCATCTCAACAACTGCTTTTGAACTGCTGTCTTTTTATTCCCTTTTAATTGGCAATGCTGACAACAGAAAGGGCTGGAGTGATACAGAAGTGGTATGAACATCTTCCTTCTTTTTTATTAAACATTGGGTCAAGAGGTTGTACACAAAATAAAATAAGTCAGACGTGAAGAATGATACTTCTATGGCAACAAATACTGGGGTGAGCTGGGTTTCCCTGGCCCAGTTTTCTCAGAGTATTGTGAAAAACAAAACTGGAGTCAGACAGTAGGTAATTTTAATCCACATTTTCTAAGCTACCCTTCAGCCCGACCCCTGCCCCACCCCACCCCATTCCCTCCCTGCCCCTTTTAAAACTAGGACACACTGGAACAGGGGAACACAAAGACAAGTGGAAGAGCCGTGTTGCTCCTGCTTCCTACCCCCCAACTTTATTTTTCATTGGAAGAAGTTAAAAAATTAAGATGAACCACTTAAGCAGTGGTGGGAGGTGGAGCAGCAAGAAATGGGACCAGGAAGGCTGTCCTCCAGAGGGCACCAGACTCTGCAGGTGCCATCAAAGGCAACGGTTTAGAAATGGAGTTGAAAATAAAAGACACATAAGCAAGAGAAAAATGTGTTCCCTGCTCCCCATCTGCCAAAGGAAAGACACATCTTCCCATGCGCATATAGCATGCAGCTCTTGCACGCATCTATCCATAGGCATGTGGAGGAAGGCCAAAAAAATCGGTTATTTACACTATGGGCTCAACTGTTTCACAGCCAACAATCTGGCTTCCTGGGGTCTTTGTATTCCATAATTGGAACCACAGCATAGACCAGCAGAGGCAGGGCAAGTGCTGTGGCTAGCAGCCCATGGGCCAAGTCCACGCACCCTGATGGCGGGCTTTGCCATTTCCACCTTGGTCTCCCCTCTTCCAAGGCTGTTGTGTCACGGTAGTTCTGCATGAACTCTTGGTCCATCCTCTCTACTCATCAGACACCACCCACCAGCCCCTCTTCACCAACAGTGCTGGCAGGGCAGGGAACCTGAGAAATGTTCATCTTTTCTCATGTTCGGATATGCTTAACGAAACCAAAACCAAAATCCCCAGCCCACAACACATTTCAAGTATCCCCCAAACAAAAAGAGAATAATTATAAATAATTAGAACTTTACAATTTAATAATCGACACATATACTATCGTATTTACAGTATCATAAATGCTTCTGTTACTTTTAGTAAAGCAATCCCTGAGAACAGTTAACGTTAGGTTTTTTTTCAGTTAAGGATCTTCACAAAAAAGAAAACGGTGAAACGTGCCCGTCTTGGCAGGCTGCACCTCTTACAAGGCCACTAGCCAAGAGCCAAGGGGGCAACGCAAGAGGCTGAGCGACGCATTACCCTGCCTCCTTCGAGGTGGTTTGCTTTTCAGCCTCCATCCGCCATGCCCTTTGGGAAAGAGGTATTCAATTTTTCCTGGTTAGCTTTTGGTATTGCCGAGGTGTTTGCGAGTGGGTGGGAAGCAAACCCTTCCTGCCGTGCTGCTTTTGGTTTACGTTCCTCAAAAAAATAATAATCCAGGAATCCTCTCTGGATGGAAAACATAGTTCGTCTGGCCCAGTAGGCATGATTCCACCAACAGGGATCAGGGTTCCTCCCTTCCTTCTTTCTTTTTTTTTTTTAACTAATGCAGAAGCTCATCCAAACCGCTCTCTCACTAGCAACATGAGCTTCTTCTTGCCCTTGTATATCTGCTTGAGGTTGTCTATGAACTGCGCAAACTGAATGTGGCCATCCTGAGCCAGGAGGAAAGTCTCCCGAGCTTTGCTGAGAAACTCTATGAACTCCCCATAGTGCCGCGGGCTGATGTGGGTGAGCCGAGAGTGCGTCGTGTTGATGTAAGCGCTTATTGTCGCGTCCAGCAGTTGGCGCAAAGGCGCTTTGTCTGTGGACATCAGTTTCCCAGAGTTCCTGCGGCCGGGAATCCCTGCAAGGCCTGGGGCTGTCATGGTGCAGCGGCGCAGGATGTCAGACAGCACCGTGGCACAATGCACGCTCTTCACCACCAGTGGAATGATGGCCGCCAGCTCATTCTTGCCCAGAGAGTGGCTGAGCGCACATGCCCAAAGCACGTCGTTGATGGCTGGGTGCGTGTCCTGGTTATAGGCAAGGTTGAGGTGGGTCATGGCGAGAGATGCCAGCTTGAACGCCCGCAGAGGGTACCCACGGTGCTCCATGTACCGTGCAATGGTGAAGAGCTGCGAGTAAGTCATGCCTGTGGAAGCAGCGTCTATCACAATTTGGTAGGCAGTCTCAAAGGCGATGTGGTCTTTCTCGCAGAGGGTCAGGGCGGAGAGAGCGCAGTTCTGGGGATCCTTCATGGCGCACTGCAGGGCCAGCGTGCGGGCACAGCTGGCCAGTTCTTCTCGCTGCGGGTAGTCCAGGCTGAGGCGCAGGATGGTTGTGTGGGACATCACTGTCGCCGCTACTATGCTGGTGGCTTCAGTGGGGGTGAAGAGGGTGTACCAACTCTGCAGGATGCTGACTAAGGCCCGTACACCTGCAAGAAGGGAGCACAAGCTTTTCAACCAATAGTAAAGTGGCAAGCATGATGTTGGAGCACTTGAGTATGTGGCAGTGGCAAAAGAAGAGCCGAGTGACTGCTTCAAAACTGTGTTCATAAATATTATGGTCACTGGGCTCTGCAGTGATACAAAAGTGCAGGCTAAATCAGCCACATCCGAACTTCTTAGTCTGTATCCTGGAAGCTGGACATCACTGCTAAATTTGGCAAGGCTCACAATGAAGGGCTGTGCCAGTAACCAAAACTGCTACGATCACAGGAAGCTTAGTGTCTGGCTTAAGGTGGAAGGCCTCTGGTTTATGTTAGCCAAAAAAACAGATGTTTTTAAAAGCTGCACACAATGGTATCTTCCTTAGTATAAAATTCCATTTATCTGTTGCTGTTGTTTTGCTAGTGCAGGGATCTTATCACATGGGAAACGGCTACATTTGTGGATGTTTGGGTGCTGTTGCATGTAGCCTGCAAGACATGGAGCTATGATTCAAGATGTCCTTGATGTGAATCTTACCTCTGCCACAAACTCAGTAAGAGTTCTCAGGCAAGCCCTTCTCTTTCAGTCCTCACATTTGAGACATGGGGATGATCAGTGCCCATCTAACCTAATTGTTATGAGGATTTCAACAAGATGTAACACTTTAAAGTGCTGTCTTAAATAATATTATCCTTTGTGTGAGCAGGACCTGCCACTGGCTCATCAGAATGTACAGACTCGCTTTGGGCTGCAGCACTCCCTGCAACATGTGTGAATGAGAGATACCAACCCACTTCTGTAGCACAGGTCACCAGCCACCGCACCATTTCCCTCCGTCTCCAGTTCAAGGTTGATAGGGTCATGCGCATTACCTGGAGTGGCAAATGAGTGGACAATGATTATTTCCCAGAGACAGTCACAAAGCTTGGACTTGCACTTTCCTAGATCAGTATAACCCTGTATAACCCATAGAAAGATATGAAGACTGGATGTACCATATTTTTCGCCCTATAGGGCGCACTGGCCCATAGGACGCACCTCATTTTGGGGGGGGGGGAGAATGAATTAAAAAAATTTATTTCCCCCCCCCCCAGCCGCGGGGTTGGGGCGGGGGAAGCCCGAGCTCCCCCCCCAGCCCCCAGAGCAGGCTGCTATCCGCAAGCCTTGTGAGCCCGCGGGAACTCCCGCGGGGCGCGCAAGGCTTGCAGACACCTGCGTGAAGCACAGGGCGTCCTCCGGAGGGTGCCCCGTGCTCCTGCCCACAAGCCTTGCGAGCCTGCGCGAACTCCCCTGGCGCGCAAGGCTTGCGGATAGCTTCCTGAAGCCTGGAGAGCGAGAGGGTTCGGTGCGCACCGACGCCTCTCGCTCTCCAGGCTTCAGCCAAAGCCTGCATTCGCCCCATAGGACGCACGCACATTTCCCCTTCATTTTTGGAGGGGGAAAAGTGCATCCTATAGGGCGAAAAATACGGTATTTCTGCTGCAGAAAATAAGCAGAACTGGCTTCATAAGCTCCTTGGATGAAGTCTACCTGAGAACCATGCATAAGCTGCTTTGAACTTTTCAGGTGGTCTGTAAATTCTGTCCATTAATTAACAGGTAAAGTTGAATGTTAAGAGTCCACCATAAAAGCAGCAAGAATGCCCAAGTTCTGAGCCAGGTTCAGACTCTACCACTGGCTTCAAGGGAGGCTTGCCCTTCGAAAACATAGGCCTGGAAAGTTCCCCGCTTTTCCTAGCAATCGCTTCTCTCCCTTACCTGCAGTCCCAGCTCCAGGGCCACATTGAGCAGGGTTGTGTCCGAGTTGTTGTCCGCAGGTGTAGCAATCTTGAAGGCATCCTGGGCCAGTTTAAAGATCAGAGAGGAGGAATGGATGTTCTTTTGAATGGCTTCCAGAACCGTGCGTAGGCGCAGCATGTCCCCTGGATTGGAGACAGGAAAGAGCTCACCTACTGCCTGGCAGGTTGCTAACTCCCTACTAAGACATCAGCATTCTCACGATTAAACTAGACAGTACTGCACTCCTAAACATCTGGGAGCAGAGCAGAAAAGTGGATTCTTTCTTTTCCTCACAGCCTTGCTGGGGAGAATTGGGATGAAGTGTACATAAAAGGGACACCTTGAATTTCAGATCAAAGCCTTTACGTCTGCTCCATTAAGTGTTCACTTGACCCCTCCTCAACCCCCAAATTCTACCCACTTCAGCCTTTCTCAACTCAAGCAAATATCGTGTAGAGAACAACAA